CACTTAGGACATCTTAGGACACCTTAGGACACCTTAGGACACCTTAGGACACCTTAGGACACCTTAGGACACCTTAGCACCAGGTCAGGGACAAGGCATCGACCAGTAAGTTTTTATTCAGCAAGAGAAGCTTAGGAGTGCTTAGGGTACCCAGGCTCTGACACCTTCAAATGCCTCGCGAATCCAACTTTGCGACCACTCGCCTCTCATGCGTGAGGGTCTGTAGACTTCCTCCATCGTATTGCAGCTTCATGTGGGCCTAGGAGCTTCCACATCTTCCACTGTTCGCCAAACTTCTTGTATGTCCTATGTGAAGCTGCTTTATCCTAGGCATCCCGGCACCAGGCATCAATACTTTTCCTGGCATTGTGGCCAGGAAAGCCATGAATCCCAAAATTGTGGATTGAAAGGTGGAAGCCAACATGTTGACTGGCCCCAACACTTTGCGTGAACTGGAAGGCCGCAACTCAACTGTCACTGAATAGACGGTTGGATTTTTGCGTCATGCCAGAATTGAAACGGTGGCGGGCCGAGAAATTGATGGGTTCCAGCTCCAAATATCAATCGACTTGAACGGGGTAAATTTGGAGTATTAGACTCTTAGAGCTGATGTAATAGTTCCCCCTACCCTGCCATACAAGCACACCATTTGTAAGTTTGCCCTGTGACATCTGACACGGTGACACCGTGTCTTGAGATATGAGAATTGCTGCCTGGTGCAGGCAACGCTTGATTCCTCGCTGCAGCCAAGCCATCACCTAGCTGTAAGGAACAATGCGGGCAACGAATTGGGTTCCTGGTTTCATGTTTGATCGTGGGGAACATGCAGAAAGGAGAATCCCCGCCCTTGTTCCTAATATACTTCTATTCCAGTAGATCAGAATCATAGATGTCTGTCTGGCACTGCTGCATCCAAAGCATCCAAAAAGTCTTTCTTTGACTAGACTAAGGTCCACACCTTTTGCTTCAGCAAACAGTCTGGTTGAGTCTTGATTCAAACGTTGCATATACACAAAAGGATGTTTCTCCCATTCTTTCAACAGCAACACATTGACCAGCTAGAGCAGAGTATGTTGCCATCTGAGTTGCCCTGACCAAGCCAATAGTTGCCGGCAATGAGGTCCTCTGCAGCAACACACTGAGACGAAATATGATTCATGCACGACAACTTGCCTTCATTTACCAATCTATTGAATCTATTGAATCTATTGCATGCCTGCTCTTCGCAACGAGACCTAGTCTCCCAGTCTGGTAGTTTCTTTGGTTTCCCCTCCTGCGAGCCATGCATTCTCTCACGATATCGCTTTGCCTGGTGGTCACATAGGACTGTCGTGTTTCTTTCTCACATGGCTTGTGAGATTCAGAAAAAAAATGCAGTTTGTTGCCACAACAAAACATCATTTAAAAGTGGGGCTCCTGTCCGCGTGTACCATGCAGATCCATGCAGTACAGTAATTACTGTGACCAGTTTGGCTGTCGGCTTCATGTTGCGGCTTCATGTTGCTGCAGGAATCTGCTCAAAGCTGGAAACGTGCTGGAATTGTAACTGCAAGAGGTAGAGCTCTTTAAGGACCAAATCCAGAAATGTAAAGCACGTCCGAAAACCTGAAGAGTCTCATACTCATACGTGCATCAGTTCAAGGGATTACTAGTCCTGCGGCCATGGGTCAAAATTTCAACGGATCGATTGAATCTATGGTCCATTGTCGTCCATTGTCGTCCATTGTCCCCAGTTGGGACCTGTGACACACCCCACCTCTGCCATCGCTTCATGGTGAACAGCGGCTCTTGCATCGCTTCCACCAGCAGCCAAGGCTGCCTGATGCATCGCATCACTTCAGGGGAAGGTAAGGCACGGGACACAAACAGAGCGAATGGGGCAGCAACTAGCCATGCCATGCCATTGTACATAGCCATTGTACATAAACATCATACACCATCAAAGGGCAAATCTATTTGGGTCTGGGACAAACTGCCTTAAAATCCAACAAATTCGATATCGTTCAGTTCTGTCGTGTGTGTGTGTGAGTTAAAACATGTGAACACCGTGGGCCACGGGCCTGCTGAGCGGCCTGGCAACAGCTTGCTCCTCGGCTATAGCTCCAAGTCAACTTCATCAAGTCCCTATATCGTTTGATGATGTTTGATGTAGTACATTGATGTACATTGTATACAACGACAAAATTAATACAACTTGATACAACCAACAAAATCGAGAAGTGTTCAGCAAATGATGGCCGTGTCCAAAGATCCACCAACTGCTGATGGTCGTTTTGGGAGCGGGAGAACCAACGAGGCCATCGGAGTCTCCATTGTTTGGAAAAAAACAAAGCATATCTGTTCCAACCAAAAACGCCCGGTCGTAAACGCGCACCAAGAAAGATCTTGCAGGCACCATTTTGTTCTTTGGAAGTAATACATCGATATACATCGTAAGATCACATATGCTACTTAGTTCCAAACACACTGCTTAGGTTGATTTGATGATGATGAGAGTAGAACTTGCCGTCGCCTGATTTCCTAAGTCACCTTCGATGGGGCACGGTTGCAAACGGTGAAATTCGGTCAATCGATTCTTGCCAAAGGACTCAAAAACAAGGTAATAGAACAGCTTGTGCAAAAGTTCGAACCAACATTGCAGGTACGTCAACCTAGCGTCCCAGGTTGATATCACTGTGACATCAGAAGCGTCTTCGTTGGCTGGAGACTTCTGATTCACACTCCAGCCCCCTGCATTTCTGAATTAAAGGTTGTGGTCTGAAGAACTCAGTCCCTGTTGTCGTAGCATACAGTTATATCAAAATTCCGTATGTGATAACGGGTTTCACACACACACAAGCCCCGTAGGGCGATGATAGACAATACGAGTAGTTAAATTGTCAGACTCACCCTCGGAGAGTTGTTTAGTAAAAAGGTGAGTGCCCAAACTGCGGCCAACTGTTCAACACCAGAGCGACCGACGGGTGAAAAGCTGAATAGGCCTACTGTTCCACTTTACTTAGGCGTGTGCAAAAAGGTGAGTGCCCAAACTGCGGCCAACTGTTCAACACCAGAGCGACCGACAGATGAAAAGCTGAAAAGGCCTACTGTTCCACAATACTGAAAGGTGTGCAAAAAGGTGACTGCGGCCAACTGTTCAACACCAGAGCGACCGACGGGTGAAAAGCTGAATAGGCCTACTGTTCCACTTTACTTAGACGTGTGCAAAAAGGTGAGTGCCCAAACTGCGGCCAACTGTTCAACACCAGAGCGACCGACGACCAGTTGTGGTTCTGAGTAAGGATCGGACTTGGGTAAGACAACGGGTGAGACCCCCCGAAGGGTTAATCCATCCCTATAGGGATTAATCCTGGTCCTCCGAAGGGACTAATCCGTCCATCGGTGGGACTAATCCGTTGAAGTATGACAAATTGTCATAATTCGCTCCTAAAGTGGAGTAATCCTGTGGTTGACATAACAACCACTTCGAATCCAGACTGTCCCAACTGGACATTCCACTATCCACCGGAGCGGCCGGTGACCAGATCTAGACCCGCACGAAGCAGATCGACGGTGCTCACAAGTCAGTGAGTTCACCCAAACACACTGCTTAGGTTGATTTGATGATGATGAGAGTAGAACTTGCCGTCGCCTGATTTCCTAAGTCACCTTCGATGGGGCACGGTTGCAAACGGTGAAATTCGGTCAATCGATTCTTGCCAAAGGACTCAAAAACAAGGTAATAGAACAGCTTGTGCAAAAGTTCGAACCAACATTGCAGGTACGTCAACCTAGCGTCCCAGGTTGATATCACTGTGACATCAGAAGCGTCTTCGTTGGCTGGAGACTTCTGATTCACACTCCAGCCCCCTGCATTTCTGAATTAAAGGTTGTGGTCTGAAGAACTCAGTCCCTGTTGTCGTAGCATACAGTTATATCAAAATTCCGTATGTGATAACGGGTTTCACACACACACACATGGCCAACTTCTCCATCCAAGATACAAGTTACTAGTATAACTAGTATATAACATGAAACGTATTACCCCAAACCCCATGACGTAACGTAGGACATCTCTAGCAAAACACATCTGTGGCATAAGACCCCACGTACAAGCCAACTAAAAACCCCATGGTATAACTAGAACATCTCTAGCAAGACACATTCGTGACATAAGACTCCATGTACAGGTGAACATGAAACTTAGCATCACGTGAGCGCAAGTGCCTAGGAACGTTATCAGCCCCCCCGCCCCCCCAAACCCCAAGAATGGCCGAAGGAAAAGTGAAGCGCGTCATGTCAAGAACGTAGTGGGATGAACCGCCCCACCCAACCCCAAAACGCAACATACGTGCAGAAAAATGCACGAGAACCGCAGTTCCCGCTGATTTCAGTGAAAAGAAACGCGCATTTTCAGCCCGACCGAGCCACCAACAAATCATAACAAATCTATATCAGTGGATGAAATTCTACCACCTTGATTTTCACACACCGAAAAAACCACTTTGCAGGTGCAGTTTACCCTAAGTTGCATCCCCTCTGGTCAAGATTGGTCAAGGGGCATGTGCACTGCGCGTGCTTAGTATTGCATTGGGATTCCCATGGATTCCCTGATTCCAAACGGGCCATCTTTTAGCGGCTTAGCCGGGCTTAGTCCGAGACTGGCGACTGTTGCAGGTTCAGGAGCATCCCAGGGAGTTCCAACACCAATCTGCCGCGATGAAACCCGGGTAGTGGGACTAAATACCGTCGTCCTTCTATCAGCATCAAAGCCGTTTCAACATGACCTTCAAACAGTGCTCCAAAATGGTGAGCAAAAAAATGACGCAAAGTAATCACTGGGTCACTAAATGGTCCAATTCCTGCACGTAAACCCGCAGGATTTCCGAAACAATCCAGTGGACTGTCAAAAGATGAATTGGGGAATTCCAACTTTTTACATCTTTTGGCCATGCCCATCCCAGGTGATCCAAGGTTTGCTGGTTACATCATGCTATGTGTACAGTGTACATCATGTTATATCATGTTACAGACCCATATTTGCAATGGTGGGGCCCAATCTGCCTTCTGCTGAGCCTGACGGTTGTTCCGTCGGAGCTCATGAGCCTCCTACCAAAGTGGCTGACCGTTGGATGTGGAGGAACTTGGATTCGCGCAGAAATCGATATCTTTGGATTGGATCATCTGGATTTCACCAACAAGCCCTGGATTTGAAAAAAACATATCCAATGTTTGGGAACCAAATTGTTCAGGTCAGGAGATTTTCTGACGTTCGAAAGTGAGGACTACCCCATCGTTCCTGGTGGGTTCGTCGTGCGTCTGCTGTGGCCATTGGAGCATGTCGCGGCTGGGCCTCTCTGTCCTTTGCACATGCCATGCCGTGTGGATCAAAATCTGTGAAAACTGAATCCGTAAAAGCAGAATCTACGGAATATAGCAGACAGATTCAGACGGCAACTAATCAACCGAAATCACCTTTACACTTCTAACATCTTCTAACCCTAATGGGTTTTGGGCTACCCAGTTTTCACCCAGGTTTTCCAGCGAGGATCCGCAGCACTGGCACCAAAGGCTGAATGATCATCGAAAGGGCAAGTGCCACGATTACGCTGTGACACCTTAGCATGCTCACTGCACGGCGACTGCACGGTACGGAAGTAAGCTGAGGATTGAAGATATTGAAGGTACTACCGACGTCTCCGAATGGCGAAAGATTTGGAGGTGGTCTTTACAGCGAAGAATCATAGGAAGGGGCCCACTAGGAAGAGATGTGCCGTGCCTGACGACAGGCGCTTCTTGCTTCCGCTGCAACCTCCACAGGCACGAAAAAAAATGAATTGGCTCAGGGAACAATCAACAAGGAGTGCTTAATACGTGACAAAGAATAGAAACAATTCTTTGTGATAGTTTTGTGATTGCATTTTCAATCATGCGGTTACTTGTATAGTAAATATAATATATATATATATAATATTATATATATATATACGAATACACAGGGAAATGGACAAATGCAAAACGCGTAAATCTTGCCAGTCAAATATATAGGTTCTTCTAAGGTCTTATATACTATTATATACTCTTATATAGTCCATGCGATCCGTCTGACTGCTCACACATCGGAAAACCAAGGACAAAGCTAGGTCGGGTGTCATCACATTCCAATCGCACAGATCAGTCAAGCCACTTGGGTCAAGCCGTTGGAGACTTGTCTCACTCTATTCCGTCCACAAAATGAAACCACCAAAATGTACGACTTGACACAGAGCCATCTCTAGGTGTCGTTAGTTTTACATGCACTAAGAGGTATGCCACCATGTACCTCCGCGGGAGATGGCTCATAGCCCTGAAGCCTGAGCATTTTGGACCATGTGCCATTGTGATAGTCGTCACATGAAACGAAGGCTTGGCCAGGTGTGCTGCCAAGACTGGGGGCTCTACATGTTTGGTTTTGTGGATGATCATCCGATGGTCCCAACTGTTTGGATTCCCATAGATCTGTTCTTCACACAGTTCATGATTTGTATACATTCACTCACAGGCTGGCAGGTCAGCTTTGCAAACCACGCATCATTCTTGTTCTGAGGGAACGCAAGCGATTTAGCTCCGCACGTATGGCCATGAACCACCCGTAACCCCCGTGCCCCTGAACTCAACTGGAGTTCTCAACTCTCTTGATCTTAAAGCTCAGCTACGCTAGCCGGGCTCCAGCTCTGAGGCCAGGTGAAGCTGTGCCTGGCGACAAGCATCAAAAAGCTGAAGCAAAAATGATCAACAAAAAAACGGAAAACCTGCGCAGCTTCGCTGAAATCCAAAATATCGTTCCTTGACAAAGTCGTAACCCCAAGTGCAAACCGATGCTGAACCCTAATTGCTGATGCTGGGGAAGCCACAAGATAACGTTTTAAAATCAAAAAGAAACTACGACTAAAATATCTAAAATCACAGAATATCTCCCTGGAGATGCTCCACAGGCCCAGTACCAGATCATCTGACCACATCTGACCCACAGAAAGAATGATAACTTGATCGATTTGGAAGATGCAGTTGGTGACTAACATTGACTAACTGTACCTGGGGATACCTGGGGTATGTCTTTCTGTGCATGACATAAGTTGACAGTTCTCCCCTCCCAAACTACCACATCCTTCCCGCAGAGCTCTGGTAGCTCAGGATTCTCAGGCGCCCACGTGTCGCCGTGGAGCTGTGTAGGATCTGGGCGCCCGCGGATGTGACTTGTGGAGTGGAAAGACTTGTCAGGGGTGGTACCCAGGGGGCGCCCACTCGTACTCTCAACCGCTGAGGAAATCCATGCCTTCTTGATGTCTTGCGAAAACCTGAGAAAAGCGTGCGGTAAGACTTCAAGATCCAGAACTGTGCAGCAAAATAAGGAACTGAACCAACAGCCAGAACTGAACCAAGTTTATCCGAATCATTTTAAATCATGAACATACGTTCATTTTGGTGAGATCATTCCCACCCTCCCTCCAAACGCAGTGGCGGCTTGTTTTGCTTGGTGTCGAAGCAGCACAGTCAGCTGCTGGATCATTGACCCATCAGTCATTTGTCAAACATTGAAGCTGACTCCACCTGCATGAAGTCAGCCAAATTGTGCCCTTCTTTGACCTTGTCGCGGATCTTCATGACGTCAGAGCATTTTCTGCATCTGTTCTGATTGAACATCAGATTCACTGCCATCGACACCCTATCGGGATTTCGTGTGAAATTCCATCCACAAGCTGTTCCCCATTCTGCCATGGGAACTTGCCACCCTGCTCTGGTTACTCTGTGCCACGTCTTCTTGCCTTTCCTGACTTCGTTGGACGCCACCCAAAGGTTTTGTTTCCTCATTCCTTTCTCTTCCAACCCTTGCATGACTTCTACTTCAGGAGGTGCCTGTGACAGTTCCGCTGCTGGTGTCATCGGGGCACGCATCATTGGAGTTTGAGCGCTTGGCAACGGGGTCCACGGTGCTTTTCTTTGCTCCCAACTCATCACGGTTTTGTCTCCCATGAAAACTTTGTTGGCTGGTACTTCCTGTAGTGCATCGTTTGCATATGTAAGCACCACTGCCGACCGCCATCTCCCCAAGAACGCTAGCTCCTGGATCTGTAAGCCCTGCCTCACATGTTCCATTGCTCCACTTCTGCGTGCGGAGTGTCCTGATACCCTGCAACTTGTGGCTGAATTCCACACTTCAATCATTTTGCTTTTGCTCAGTTTCGCCACCTTCTCATTGACAAACATGAAGCCCTTCTTCTTGTACTTGTTTGGGCTTTCGTTCTTCATCCTCGTCCACAAGTTCCAGGCGCAAAATCTCGAGCAAATCTCCTCGCCGCAACACTGCAGGGTTCTTCGAACTCCCATCGCCGACTGATCCATTTTTGACACTGGTATGGACAATGTGACGTGTCTTGCTTGTTCTTCAGCTTGAACATGTTCCCACTTGCAAGCACTCGCCTCTATCTCCCTCAGCATCCACACACACGCCCATGCGTAACAGACAGCCGGATTGATGCCGCCCACAAAGTTGGCTCCACTTTGGCACCAAAGGTCCTCTCCGATGTCTTCTAACTTGGCCTCCACTGCCTTCTTCGTCGGTCCCTTGTTTCTTCCCAGCGCCTTTTTGCATAAGTTGAAGGCTCTGGTCAGCCATGGAGGCATGTCGTACCCTTCTTCTATGTGCAAGAGTTTGAGTTCATTGAGATATTGGTCACCTGATTTCATACCCGAGCATCTCAAGCAGGCTGCAACGCCCTCCACTATCTCCTGCGACAATGGCAAGGGTTCCCTTGTTTCTCCTGCCACCATTGTTGCCAACTTCAGGACTTCATTCCGCTTTATTTCTCTGGACGATCTTGAGGAGGCCGCCCAAAAGTTGCCCTTCAGCTCGTTTGTCGCTTTCCACAAGCTCGCTGCTGATGAAGCAACCTGGAAGGCCGCTCCCATGCATCCTCTTTTGTTCTTCATCTCCTCCAATTTTCCACTGGTGTCCAAACTTCGGCCTATTTTGCTGACCGTCGTTTCTTACAGGTTTTGAGATGGACCTTCTTCACCTTGTGCATGAAGGTTCTTATTCCTGTTCCTCTGCATGAACCCACAATGTTCAGCTGATCTCTCTCAAACTTGCGGCTCTGCGCCTCTGATCTAAGTTGCAGACCACAGGAAGCGCTCTTACCACCATATCTTGTAAGATTGCCTCCTTGCCCTTCATCTTGTACGTGGAGTACACCGTTTCTTGTCCTCTTGACGAAGGCGGTGAGGTCCCCCTGTTGTCGGGACGCTGATGTGGGTCCTTCCCAATTGTACTTGGAGGAGTGCACAAGATGGTTTGTGTGGAGCACTCCCTTCTTTCTGTTGTCCCCGCCATCATCCTCTCTCTTTTGGACTTCCGCGGGGAAATCCATGTTCCGAGGTAACAGCAGCTGACCGAGAGGCAGGTGCAAAAGGTGAGCAGCGCGAATAGCCATCCCACTAAAACAAACCACTCCGCAAACGACCAGCCGTCGTCTGCAGCTACTTCGAATCGCGCCGCTTGCACCTCCATGATGTCTTGAGCACCGTGACATGAGGCTGCAAAATGAAAAATGTAAATACCAGTTTTCCAAAATCAACACCAGTTAAACAACACAAGTTGTAACCTAACCTGCCTCCCACTGTTCCAACCAAAGCTGTGAAAGACCGCGTCTTCCAATTTTCATCCAGCTTTGGCTCACAGCTCATCAAAGGCTGTCGACACCACTTTCGATGTCTGGCCCCATCGAAGCGTCTGACTTGCTCCCGGAGGGGCCAGTGCTGATGTCATGACACTGGATTTCGGGAACTGCCTAAGTGGTACGCCTTCCAGCCGAGCAGGCATTTTGCCACGCTCATGTGGTCGGCTCAGCCAATCCGATTCTTGATTCCAAGATCCTGGGATGTGCTGCCCTATCAGGCGTCCCAATTGCAGTTCTTCTGACCGCAATGCCAACTCTGCGCCTATCCAATTGAGGACCGGCGACGGGGCTGCGCTCTTCTTGATCGTGGCCAAGGCTACCACGCTGTCTGACCGAATCAGAAGGGAGCACCCTCTGATTCTGTGCTTCCACTTTCTCAGCGCCATCAGCACCGCCCACGCCTCTAGCGGCCCTTGCCCCGAAGCTGCCTTCCACTCTATGCCCATCCATCGTGCGATGTCCTCCGTGACGGGTATCTCCAAGGCATCCAGCGGCACCAGCAGCTTGTTCTTCTTGTCAATGTCTGCCAGTATTGCCCCCACCCCTTGAGGTGACGCATCAGTGATGAGGGCGAAGCTGGGATGTACTTCATGAAGTGGTTCACGTCTCAGGGCAGACTTGTCCGGCTTGTCGAACATCGCCAAAAACCACTGCCTTGGCAACTCCATCCTGTGAACTGCCACCATGTGTGGCTTTGGCCTGGTGTCATCTCTTTTCGCTGCCCTTTCGACTTCTGCCTTCACATCGTGCATGGTCTGCGCTATCACCGCATAGAGGATGTTCACACACCATCGAGCCCTCGTGATGATGCCACACACCCAACTCAAGCGACCTGTGACCGCTCGCACCTCTCGCAATGGCACCATGCCCTTGTTCTCCCAGCTGGTCAGCACCTTTTTGATCTCGTTCATCATCTTGATCGGGATGGACAGGATCAGAACTTCTTCAGCAAGGTTAAGTTCCATTCTCGTTCCAATCCATACCGCATCAGTCCCTCTGAAACCTTTCTTGAACTGCAGGTTCACCCCCAGTGCTCCACACATGTATAGCACTAGCGCCAGGTTTTCCTGCCTTCTCCACTTCGGTCCCTGCAACATCCACAAGGGGTCATCCATGTAAAGCTGCGACTGCATCTCGTCGGCTGGAATCAGCGCCTGTAGCATTCGTGCCAAAGTCGCCGCAAACCTGCCCATGATCAGAGGTGCCCCTCGAAAACCAAAAAGCATGGCCGTGAACACGAGATACTTGCCAGGTGACATGCTGGGTGTTGCACAATTGCCCAACTCCTTTTCCGCCACCGCCAAATGACAGTATGCGTCCGCCAAGTCGGCCGACACCAGCTCGATGTCCTGGCATTGCTCCTGATCAGGCCACTCCTCTCTTTGCGCCTTCAGCATGAGCCCGAATCTTTGTTCTCGAAGGTACTTCAGGCTGTCCACCACGTCCTGCACCCTCGGCAAAACTATTCTCTCCCTAATTTTGCATCTACTGTTGCCTCCACTCCGCAGCAAGTCAATGATGACTCTCCTTTTGATTGATCCATCCTCTTTTTCTTTGATGATGAGTGCCAGCTTGGAAATGGTTCCTGTCGTGAACTGCTGCTTCAGCTCGTTCTCGTCCAATTCCACGCAAAAGCCCTTCTTGAGGTAGCGCTCAATCTCGTGCAAGGCGTGCTCTGGCTCCTCCTTGAAACTCTTGTAGTTTTCCACTCCCAATTGAGCTTCGATGTCTGGCATTTCCTCCACATCCGGCAGCTCCTCATCTGTCATTGGGAAAATGCCACAGTACGGTATCTCCTCAGCCATGCCCAACGGAGCTCCTGATCTGATCCATTGCACCAGATCTCTTTCTGGGTCTCCTGAGCACTTGCACCATCCTTCCCAAAGCTTCGCGTTGAGCGGGGATCTGAACCTGTCTGATCCTCTGAGCACCTCATCGTCAAATTCCTTGGCCTTCAGAAAGTGCTCGATCTCTCGTGTCCATGCCTTCAAGGTTTCGTCATCCAGCTCACAGTTCTCACTGCCGTAGTTGTTCGCTGTCTCCAAGGCCTTTGGATGGTCCTTCACAAATCGAGACCACAGGCGCCTGACGTCTCGTCCAGCTTCACATACTTTGTGCAGCCTTGCCACCGCCTTGGCTGGATTGCGCATCCCACCTATGAAGTGAGCGTTTTCCCCTTCTTTTCTCCTCCGTTTCGACGGGCCTTCTGTTGGACCCGTGTTCTCATCCACATTCTCCGCCATCCAAGCTCTCTTTGATGACGATAAATCTCCAAGCGATGCTGGCGGCAACTGCTTCTTCATCTTGCTCTCGATCCACTTCTTCTGTGCCGTCGTCACCTCCTCCTTTTTGACCTTCAATTGATGTCTCCACCATTCCATCTGCAGCGTGGTCTTGAAAGCTCTTGCAACCAGCACCGCATAAGCCTTCACCAAGCCGCTTGGATACTCGGCTGCCTTTGCTGTGAGGCCTTTCCCAATCAATGCTTGGTGTTTGACCCAACTTGGACACGAACACTTCTTTGACATTGTGTCCAGATCCGCCAAGCATCCGGTGAATCTGCCTGGCTTGAACCAGCGCTCCTTCTCCTTGTCCTGGTAAGCACACGTGTTGTAAAGGGCCGTGGTCGCCTTGAGCTTGTTGATGAATTCCTGCAATTCAGGCAACTCCCATGCTGGTCCCTCTTCCTTTGTCTCTGACCCTGGCGGGTTTTCCAAAGTTCCCACCGTAGGCACCGCCCTCTTGCGCTGATCTGTGATGATCTCTGCTATGACCAGCGCCGATCTCACCGCCAGCACAGTGCCCCTATCTGCTTCAGCTTGTTGACGACGGTTATTGGTCGCCAGGCCATAGATCTCACTTCCCGAACGCACGGGCCCGGGTCCATCGCCCTTAGCATTGAGTCTAGCCCTTGAAAAGCTGCCACAAGGAAAACCTGCATGTCCTCCGTCGTACTCCTGGTTCTTGGCCTTGTGCAGGATGGTTTCAAAAGGTTGATCCAACGTCATGTCGTGGCTGCCATCCACCAACTTGTCATACGACTCCACTATGCACGTGATGCCCTCCTTGTCACATTCCGCTTTCAGTGCCTGTGCTAAAACGTCCACAGGCCCTGAGAACATGTGCAAGAACTTGAATTTTCGAGCCAGCTTGTACTGCCCGAAGTCCTTGGCCTCTTCCAAGCACTCTGCAATGCGCTTGGGCACCACCGCATCGACGCCATGAAGTGCCCCTTCAGGCTTTGACGAGGCTGGGATTTCACTAGCCATCTTAAACCAAAACAAAACACAAAACCAATTAATCAAGTGCCAATTCAAGAACCTTGCACTCAACTGACATGTATGACCCTTCATGCACACATCACTCAATCTCTGCCCCCCCCCCCGAGAAAACGTTCCAAAGGGTTTCCAAATCCATCACCCTGCAGGTAACGGCAAAACCCAGTTTTCTCAGCCAAAATGAAACTTCATTTCTTGGGGCAATTCGCATTGGTGTGCCCCGGTGAAAAACACAACATACATTTGTGAATCCTCTTTACCTTCGACTTGCACTCGCTACCCGGGCTCAGTCCAGCGCAAGGTCCACTGTCCTTTGCCCAGGAGAAGCATATCTCCTCCCCAGACTGATCTCGCCCAGCTCCTTTGCCTTTCCCTTTGGCCCCTGAATTCGAGCCTTTGCCACTGGTAGGTGCGCTCCTCCATCTCGATAGCTCTTCCCTGTCCGCTTGCATGCGTTTTCTCTTTGCCAACCTCTTGTCCCTGTTTGCTTGTCTACGTCGATCATCTTTGTCATTGGATCCAGTCGCGTCCAATTCATGCCCTTCAGAAAGTCCGGGAAAATGAGCTGAAGCCAGAGCCTCTGCTGATGCCATCGGCACTCCACGTCCACCTGCTGCCAACCATGACGTTGCTGGGTGTCGCACCTGTTCACTCCAAAAACCTTCGTCTTGGGCAAGAAGCCTAAAGCACACTGACCAGGGCTTGTCCACCTTGAAGTCTGATGGCACTGGCTTCCCATCGTTCATGTCCATCACCAAAGTGCGTCTCACCCGCTCCAAACGTTCGGCTCTCGCCTTGTCGTCTGCATGTGCGATCAGGCTCCAATTCTTCGGCCACTGCACTGTCAAGCGTTCGATCCCCTTCTCATAGGTCATGAGTGATGCTAGTGAGCAGATATCCAGGCTGATTGCAGCCACTCGAAAAACCTTCCACGAAGCTTGCCATTGAAGAAAGTTCTGAGGCCCCGGAAAATCTCTTGCCACGTATGTCCCATCTCCAACCGGGAAGAAGGAACGTAGCTTCTGATTCTTCAGGGCCCTCCTCCCAAAAGGCAGCCACACTCCCATGTCCACGTATGGAGCTTGGCCCATTTGGTTGACCCTCTTGTCCAGAGCTGCCATTTGCGCATCGGTCGGTTCCTCGTCCTCATTCGGCATGTCCCCCATCAACTGGAGGTATCTTTGACTCCACATGTGCACCGTCTGGACGTCCGGGGGCATCAATTCTGAATCATCCGTCTGGTCCACCAAGTTCGCCATCTTCAGCACTTTCTCCTTCAGTCCGGAGCCCTTAGGGACCTGAGATGTTACTGCACCTTGTCCAGGGGATTTCTTGTCCGGCTCCCATGGGTCCACGTCCACAAAGTTCTCTGCTGAGCCACCCTTGCTGAGAAACAAATGGAATCTTGCAACTCGCCACACCAGTCCCACATGTGCGGCCTCCACTGCTGACAACCCTTGCCCTGCTAACTGCGCTTGGCCAATGCCATGTACTACAACATGTGCAGGAAGTGCGGCGAGCACTCTGATGTCACCACCCGGGTTGCCAACCTGCTCGGTGAAAGCGTCCCACAGTGTGCCAGGTAGTCGTAGAAGTCGGACTACTCCAGCCAGATCATCCACAGCCCTCACATCGCCTTCAGCGGGTAAGAGAGCCATGGCCGCACGCGAGTCCACGTGCAAAACAAAAGTCACATCTGGCCTCTATTTTGGGCCAGACTTAACGAAGTTATCAACTCCCACCCTCCAACCCTTCATATGAATTCACTCAATGTTTGTCACAGCATGTTGCTGTTCTCATTAAATCCATGTCAATGCATTCTAGGTCCTATTCTACGTCCAACAAGGCATGCGTCTCTGAAATTCTGAGTCTACACGAAATTCTAGTCAGTCTAGTCTTGGCCAAGGTGAAGCTTCGCAGAAAAGGCCACCTCGATGAAACATGATGAAACTAGTGCTGAGGAGGGCACTGCTCTTCCCTCCTCAGGATGGAAAGCTCACCACGACTGCAACCGGGCAAATGATAAAAAGAACACATCTAGTTGAAAGCAAAGTTTGTGATCTAGCAAAACCCGTTTGACTTGCGAATTTCATTATATAAATTTCCAACCCTTCCATTGTCTCGTTGCATCAACCAGTCCTTGATAAAACCTTCGGCAGTCAATCAGGTTGCAAGAAAATTCACGAGAGCTTTACCCATGTTGGAGATTTCAAGAAAACAAACAATTTCATACAATTATTTCCATAAAGCAGGAATATGTTTACTTCCCAATTTCCTGCTCCAGTCTGGTACTTTTTCAGACAACTTTGATCTGAAGAACCGAAGCCAAGGTGCTGCTGCCTCTGCACTTGTCGGTCGAAGTAGGCCAGCGGATCCGTCTTCCACGTTGCCATGGAAGGATGTCCCTCGAAAAACGTCTTGGAGAATCCCTGAAAAGACGGCTGTTTTTTGATTTTGTCTGCTGGGGCACATTGCCTGCCCAGCCACTGTTGTTCCAAGCTCTCAAGAGATCGGCGACTAACAAGCGCAGCTGGCTGTTGATTGTAGCACAGTGCAGCTAGACAATATGCATCTGCATGTGTCTACTTTTATATCTTATTGATATATGTACGCGTTAGTGTCTGTGTGTGTACTACATGGCCTACTTTGAGCTGGAAGAGAAATGTGTGTAGCAAGTTGAAAAGGTCAAACCGATGCTCTCCTGGTGCCGCCTCAAAGTGTCTTGCAGTCTTCATGTTGGTCCAACATGGTCCAACCCAACAAATCGTCGTTTCAACCGTTGATCTTTTCAGCTGCTGTTCCACTCGCTTCTTTGATTTTCGTCAAGCTGGAGCCGTTGCACATTTGAGGCACCATGGATGACCATGGATGACCATGGATTAAACATGTTGCAGCTCACCTAGTTGAAGTATGCTAAGTATGCTGAACTGACACAAAATCAAGGCAGTTGGATGGTCGCACTTTCGCTTGCCCTGGATGACCTTTGAGACTGTCTGCCTTGGCCCATTGGCATTTCGGGAATCGGTCGGAATTATCCAAGCGAGGTGCTGGGTAAAATGACGACATTCTGAAAAGGTTGCCTTGACGATCACAAGTCACAAGACATTGGGAACGAACTTGGCAACAGAACCCTCCCCTTGCACTCACGTGTCCAAGGAAGTTTAAGTATGGTTTACTGTCAGGGACATCCACAGCTACAATTTAACATATATTATATAGTTTAACAATAAAATTCAAAACTAGAGATATCGGGTTGTCAAGTCGATTTCACAGAGCCAGATCAAAATCTTTCATTTTTTCCTGGAAACCTGACCTGCAAGGAGTAGACACAGCCAACAACAAATAGTCATTGAATCCTATGTACACTGTATACTGTATCTCTGCATACAGGCTCCGGGTGACTCATGTTTAGATGTTTCTTGGTGCAAAGTTGGAGATTTCGAAGTTCCAGGTCAGTCTTGCCCAGAGGCTCCTTTGACTGTTTCAAAATACCCGGAAAATTGAACTGTGAAGTCCTAAAAGATCCTGAAAGCGCTAGGGCTTTTTGACTTTTTGTTTGTTTTGGTCCCTGAAGGCAACATGGAAGGTCCGCCAAAACAATATTCCCTAGAGTGGGCCATGGCCCATGGTGATATGCAAAACATTGCAAAACCACAGCGGCATGGAGCCGCTAGACTTCAGTGATTTAGCCAAGCATCTCTTGCTTATCCACCACTTTGGAACTCACGACATGCTTGTCCTGTGTCGAGACCACTCAACAGGGATCAACGTGGATCAACGGGGCACATTGGACTTGGCAACACAGAAACTGGCTCTGGGTATCTCTGGGTATTCCTGTCATTGAGTCAAATTGAGTCTGAGCAAATACTACGTGGATATACGTGGATGCCATCTGAATGCCATCATTCTCAATCCAATCCAGGTGTAATCCAAGGCCATCGACCAACAGTGGTCAATCGCATATCCTTCAGTTCAATTTTATGATCTCAAAGCCGCTAGGGGGCTCCCGTCCTGGACGTGTACGTCGGTGGCATCTTTGTACAGGCCTTACATCAGAGAAGCTCAAGAGGGAAGAAATGAATTACTCACCAAAGAACCATTCAACTCGTCTTTGCCATTCCTCATGTCAGATTCCAGTGGCTTCCAAATGAATTCGTCCCCAGTTTGTCGACAACTGCCGAAGGAACAAACCATGCTACTCAAACGCAGAACTTTGCCAGAACTTTGTCAGTTTTTAAGCAAAAAGGAACCACTAGGCACTGCCTCCATATCAAGCACCAATTTGCCTTGTTAATATCTACATGCAGTGTGTCATGGGCAACACACGAACCTGTAGGGCGCATCCCACCTGAAATAGAAGATTCCCTGTGATCGGGTTATCAGAACCTCATCAAGGGGGTGGTAACCAAAGACCCAAGGCTATTCACCACAACACCAACGGCTAGTGACGGCTAGTGATTCTGGTAATGGCCGGTTGCCACGGTCCATCGCCACTGTGTGCCCCAGCGTTCCAAATCCTGCGGAGAAAGCACTGCAGATGTGTCGAAAGGTGTCGTGAGTTCCTGCAACGCAAGCCACAGGGCTGGAATGACAATTGGGGAGTCCTACCACGAGCCTCTGTTTTGATTTTGTGGAAATTTGAAAGGAAATCACATTTTTCCGCACTTTTCCATCCAGTGTAGGGTTTGCGTAATTCATGCCTTGATTCTGGCAAAAATTGGTTTTGTTTCCCCCATGCTGTGGATGGCTCCTCAGAAGCGAGCGAACTTTTGATCATGTCGCTGCGTTGTCGAGCTTGCAAATCCTCATGCCACAACACTCCATCAATGTAAAACCCCTCACGACCAGCAGTTATTCGGTAGTACCCAAATGAACTTTAAAAGCTGAAGTCACACTTGGACGACACTGCGGAATCAACATGAAGGAGAACTTGGCAATCTAAAAGATCTCAAAAGGGACCAAGAGACCAAGAGACCAGAGACAAGACGAGTTGTTGGTACAACAATCAGGAACCTACTGCATCTCATTGTCAAGTTGTGTGAGAATAGACCCAGGAAGTGAAACTCTGTACGTCGCTACGTCCCAGGGTGAGGGTTTGTATTAACATGTGTGCTCTAGCTGCTGGGCACACCAAAAAAAACTGCTGAAAATCTTTGGAGCACAATTGACCACAATCTGAAGTGGTGTGTGAGTCGGTTTTGCACGTGGCAATCATGCAATACCAGACTGGGGCCAGTATCCTTGTGTATCCTTGTGCGCTGTCATATGTAAATATGTTACAATATGTTGACGTGTGGAGTTGCGATATTGCAATGCAACATAATGCAACCCTATCGTCTAATACTGTTTCATGTTTTGTACATAGATCTAAGTTCCGTTGTGGTCTGTAGTGGACGTAACAGAACCTGTTCATCTCATTAGTAAGGTGAAATGAAGATGGAGAACACAGATGCCGCTTGACATATCTCGTGACAACGAAGGTCCAGGGCCTTCTCCACAGACTGTCGCATGTGCCCACTGCCTCATTTCATGCTGCAAAATCATGTCCCTTAACTCAGTGGCTCAGTGATAGGTTTGATGTAGGATGATGATGGATGATGTAGGTTTGTTAGCGAGTTGTGAAAGAATTGTTAAAGAAGCAAGCAAAGATAACAAAGATAACAAAGATAACAAAGCAAATCTTCAAAGCTTTCAAAACGGCTTAGATCGGCGGCTAAGATCGGCTGAGGCAATGACAAAATTGCTCTCCGTAGACCTGGCAGGTCGAGCAGTTGCGTTGGAATGGCACTCCAACTGTCCGAAATGTCGAAATGTCTTAACTAGCTGATTTATGCTGATTTCAAAAAAATGTGCTCCTCATATTATCTGATAATATAGTAATGTTTTCTTTCATAGTGGTATTTGACTTTTTACAATTTCTGCAGTGCCTAGCTTGTGTTCTTCTACCCCATTGTACTTGGCCGCATATTATGAAATCAGAGTCTGTGTTCCAATCTGCACATTCCAAGGTTCATCTCAGAGTGAGTTGTCAGAAGTCAGAACACAGGCAGATATACCCACGGAACGCCACGGTGTAGGGGGACATCCATCAATGGGTTTCGAAAACTGTGTCATTGAAATGCAGTAACTATGAATCCTACTGAATGTAATGTCTCCATTTTTCACATGTTTTTCTCCCATGGTTTCCCATCATTCTTTACCATCACCGTCTCTCCAAGTTCACATACTTCACCTCAAACCTTCACCTAACCTATTGCCGCTCCTGGGGGGGACCAGCGGTCGGCCCGCCCATTGGCAGGAAGTCGGGATTTGTGAGGCTGTTCCTCGCCAGGCTGAGACTTGGGAGACAGGCTGAGACTAGGGAGACTAGGGAGACATCTGATATCTGATGCGATCAGGATTCTTTACAATTTGGATGTATTTGGTGGTTTGTCTACCGTTTGTTTGATTGTTTGGTATATTGCCGAAGGGACAATTGGTTCGAAATTGATACTCTGGGGCATGTGGGAAAAGTCCGATGCTAGAGGCATCTAGAGTCTAGAGGCCACTTCAGCATGGATACGATGAAATTCGATGTTGCTGGACACTGTGATCCCACCTGATGGAAGCCATGTGGTGCTCATGCCTCTGGCCGCCGTCCAAAGGAAGAAAATCTGACCTCCGCTCTTCCGCGAGACAAAATATTGGGGAGCCAGGAGTTCAACGGTGGATTTTTGATATAGAAAATAGAAATCATAAGAAATGTATAGAAATGTGTTTGTTTGCCGGTATGATTCGGTATGTTTTTTCAAGGCGCACATGGAATGCAACCCGTGAACTCAAAACTCACGCATGTTTCCAGGGAGAACATAAGTTGCAGGCCCCTGAGCCGGTGCTGACATGAAGGGGTTTCTGCTGTAAGGATCCTGGCTGCACTGGCGATGCCACAAGGGATGCATAGATTTCAGGATTGGTTCATCCTGATTCTTACATATCTTTCTTATTCGTTCTTATTCTTTATTTCAAATTCAAATGATCCATATCTTGCACTACAGTAAATTCCCGCAATAGATGGAAGTTTTTGTTGGCTCCAAAAGAATGTCAGTTTTGAGGTCAACAAGCCAACGTCTTGCCACCGTAAAGACCAGCGGCTGTTTCCGTCAGGCTCCTGATCTCTCTGCAGCTCTCGAGCCACATCCACGGAGCTGTACCTGCTCTAGGTGTGAGAACCGGCAGGACAAAGCCATTAAGTTCCGGCTCCCACAGTCTCTCTCTTTCCCGTCTATATACATATTATATACATATGTGTATATATATATATATTATGTAAACATCATGGTCCTATAAGAATATACTTGCGCAGGGAAAAAAAAAAAGCTGTCGTGGGAACTGTGGTTGCACGTGGCCCCTTACAAGTGGTAGTTGGCCATATGTTGTGGAAAGGACAGTATTCGACTGCTCAAAGAGCACAAATCTAAAGCCTAGCAAATGAAAGAATGCGAGGCTGGCCACTGCACTCTGCATTCACTGATTTGTGTCAAGATTTGGGACCCCAGCAATCAGATGATTGGATACTAGAATAAGCCATCAAGTTAGGGTATATTGGGGTATTTGAAAGTTATTTGATGTTGTTTGTGTGTATTTGTAAGAATTTGTAAGATCCCTAAGTTTCCACCTACATGAACTTCAAAGTTCAATTGTGTTCAATTGTCGATTGCTGTGGCTCGGAAGCACAGTGTAGTGTCGCATGTCGCAGCATGGCGCAGCATGGCGCAGCATGGCGCAGCATGGCGCAGCATGGCGCACTGCCCTCTGACCATGCTGACATACGGATCCATGGCCGGTGTGTGAACGACGCCTGGGACTCCGGGAAGTGGGTGGACATGGCAGTCGTCAACAATTACCCAAATTACCCTCCAAGATCCTTCAAGCCAAGGCGTCTCACTTGATGTCATCATCGCTCATGGTCCCGAAAGGCGAGCAGTGGTGTACCAGCGTACCAGTGGTGGATTTGTGATGGGTTTTACGGTGTAAGATTAAGGCTTTAAGGAATTTGTGGACTGGAACTATCAGGTGTCTCAGTCTGGCGAAATCCTACAGCTTCCTACAAGCCCGGTCGAAGCAAGGGCCACCAAACGTCCCCTGCAAAGTAGTGCACTGTAAACATGCTGTGTGTGTGTGTCATAGAATATGGTGCAGCATCCAATCTTGGCTTCACAAACATCCTATGAATCCTATGCCAGGAGACCCACCAGTGGCGCCTTATGTGGCGTCGCCCTGTTGCCCCCGGCTGAAAGACGAGACTACAGGTGCAGGCAAAATGGCAACAGCCAGGGATGCGAAGATTCCCGGCACTGCATGTGCCTGATTTCTAGCATAACGCTGGTCACTCGAAATGCAGATCTGCTCAAAAAAAACATGATCAGTCAACCATGATAAACCTGCGACCGGCAAATTCTGCTCCAAAGCCCAACTTGTTTCGTTTGCAGAGCATGGAGTCATGGCCTTTTCAGTTGTCCTGATATGGATCGTGTCAGATGAGTTTTCAACATCGACCGAAGCTCGTGAAGGTCAGCTTGACAGGGCAACAAACATCAAAAAGATATGATATATATATAATATAATATATATATAATATATATATATAAATAGCATTGGCTAGCCATATGCGAAGATATGCGCAGCATTGCGCTGCATCTTTTTGCACAGCCTCAAGGGGTACGCGCATCTAACGATCGAAGTTCTTGGGATTTGTTCTTCAGAAAGTCCGCCAAGTCGTCGTGCTCCATCTGACCATTTCGAGCTAAGCAAGGGTCAGACGTCAAGACTTGAGGTGTTTCTGGGTCCTTGTAACAACTTGACCAATGAACTCGCGGAAACCGAGTCCAGTATCATGCAGCCAGTAAAGTACTGCTTCTGAAGTGATCTGGGTAGTTCTCTCCTTCAATGCCTGAACAAAAAGCCTGCACCAAATATCATCCTCAAACATCAAGATCTGATACTTCTGCCCGCATATATGATATATTATTTATATTTATCTATATAAAGAAGCAGAAACAATAAATAGGAGCCCTGTCTTGTCGGACTCCACAATTCCATCAGATTCCATCACTCCAAGATACTCCGTGTCAAATGGCTAAGCAAGCTCTAAGAGTCGCGCCAAGCCCAACTCAAGCAGTTGCTTAAAGTAGACCTCACAGGAAATGATGAGCAGATGAAAGGCAAATGTGCAGCCTGGAATCAACGAGGATCAACGGAGATCAATGGAGCGAAGGGGCAGGTGCTGACCTGATTAGACCTGGTCAGACCTGGTCAAACGAGATGCGCATCATCTCATATCGTACCATCAGTCATCAGTCTAATTTCCAGTCAAGATCAGCATTATCAACTTACTTGTTCAACTTCCAGAGCCCTACCGGGCTTTGCAAGGCTCTGCCTGCAATCTGGTGTTGGACTTGAAATCCTCAAAGAAGCGATCGTAGTCCTGGTGCATCAGGATCATTGCCCGCTTGACCTGCACAGCAAAAGTCCAATGATGTGGTTTGGCTCTCCCACGGCGATTGCCAATCATTACTGCAGTGGGTCACCAGGTCCAAATAATTAAGTGAAATAGGCCTAGAAACGGATGTACTCAACCCGCTTGTTAAAGAATTACTGTGTACCATCGCGAATCAGCCACACTGCTGTTCTTTGGTACAATTCCACCGCAGCTCTGTCTCGGACCTGTGGATCGCCGAGGATCTGCTTCACCGTTTCATCCTACCGGCTATGCTCACCGGCTTGCTGTGTAAATGTTCGATTGCTTTACGCACTAGACCTCGCAGGTTGTAGTGCTACATGACCACCCAATCAGGGGGATCCCAACTTGAGGCCCATAGGATATAAAAACAGAATGTTTGAAGGAGCGATTGACAATTCTTTCAGTGCATGCGTTACCCCAGGTTATGCTTACGATTCAAGTGGTGTCTATTCTTTCGCGTACATCTTCTCTTCCAATGGTCAAGAAACATCAGCTGAGCATAATTTCCACTGCGCCTCCAAGAGACTTTTTTGATCGTCTTTCACAATACCACCTGCGTGCTGTTAGCAAGGGAACTCCCATTTTGCGATCCCAAAGTTGTAAAAAGTCTGGAGTGATTTTGCTCTTCTTGTTTAGGGAGTTCAATCTGTCCAAAAGGGGCACTGATCCCAAATAAGATGGAAATGGAAAGCAAACACATTTCAACCAATCAATCGGCTTGTCGTACATGGCGAGGAAAACGTTTCATAGTGGCAAGCTCGAAGATGTGACAGGAAGCTGCATTCTCTGACCCCAATACTCTGCAATGGTCAACAAGTGCATGACTATGCATGACTGCCAATGACCGCGAAATGCACGAAATGCCTACATAGGCCGTTTTGGCGATGTTCATGGCTTCGGCTACCATTCTACTCTCTTTGGCTTCCTGCAGGTCGGGTTGACCCCACATGAGAATTTCATGAGCATCAGATTCCAAAAAGGTCACTAAAAGGCATGCTGAAAATGTGCCACAGCGCTTTTGTAAGCAATGCTCAATCCAGCCGGAGCTGAATCTCGAGACAGTCAGGTAATGCAGAGGGGCATAGAATGGCCTAGCTCTGGATTAGAACATCAACGGGGTGCTACAAATGGACGCTCTCCTTTCTCACTAGACTATCCGATTGAATGTGAGGAGCAAAACATTTAAGCAAGGCCCATCTTTATTCGTCATCAACCCCTGATTGTTGGAGAAATGCCCCATTTGGCGTGCCGAAGCATGATAAATAAACCCGTGCCCATTTCTGTTCAATTTGTTTGGTCCGGTTCAATATATTTGTCAACATGTTTTGAAGTATTCAATGACTGGACATTGACTTTTGGGATGCTAAAAATTCCTGTCAGGCCATGAAGCTCATGGAAGCTGCGCATGGAAGCCGCAGGAGCCATGGTGGTCCTGACGCACACCTTGTCTCTCGAGTTCCGACTCATTCAGCAGGCGTTGGTCCTGTGCAAGGCTTTGTAGTTCCAGGTTTTCTCCGCAAAGTGCAAAAAAAATCAAAATCAGACAGTATGTCTTGCGTAGGGTAATTCATGCAGTGGAGCGGAGAGGAGTGGAGAGTAATGTCCTGTCCTCGCTGTAGTGTACGTACAGGTACTGTATACATATACGTATTTATATATATATTACAAATATATATGTATATATCTAACATGAATACACACATAGATACATAGATAGATAGACAGATAGATAGACACGCAAACAAATAGGCAAAAGGCGTGTATATATATAGAGAGAGACAGACAGAGAGAGAGAGAGAGTGACAAAAAAAGTTAAGGGTAGTGAGAGAACATGAGATAAAGTGAGATATTTGAAAATAATCCGCCGACCCTGCTTGCAGCAGGGGGAGCGCGTCAGAGGAGAAATTACCGGCAGCAAGGGGCAAGAAGCGAGAAGCAAGAAGCAAGAAGCAAGAAGTCAGGAAGCAAGTACAAGCAGCAAGAACCAAGAAGCAAGAAGCAACAAGGCAGGAAGCAAGAAGAAGAAGAAGAAGCTTGAAGGCTGCAATTTGGATTTGGAGCTAGTTTATAGCCAGCAGCAAGACGCAAGAAGGGATCACAAGCAGCAAGGGGCAAGAAGCAAGAAGGGATCACAAGCAGCAAGGGGCAAGAAGCAAGAAGTCAGGAAGCAAGACGAAGACGAAGAAGCAGAAAAGAAGAAAAAGAAGAAGCTTGAAGGCTGCCATTGCGGAGGGAAGGCTTTGCAGGTTTGCAAGCTGGAATCTGGAGCTAATTTCTAGCAACATCTGTGTTTCATGCACATCTCTGACTTAAAACTCCTGCAACACTAAAGTGGTGTTCGACTATTTTGACGGTGACTCACATTAAAAGCTTCGCCCGTGTGACCCGGGTTCGGCGGCAGGGGGCGGTAGCAGCTTAATAATAACAATAAGAAGAAGAAGAAGAAGAGGACGAGAGAGAATGAGTAAAGTATATGAAATGTATTTTCAATAAATCTGAACAATATGAAATTGGATTAGGCCTATAGATCTGGATTGGGTTTAGGCTAGATAGAGAAATAGAGAGATATGTGAACACAAAAATTGGGGATAACTGATTTGAGAAGTTTTGAGACTTTGCACGTACTGTGTTGGGGGTCCTTCTTATCGCAGTTGCAACTGCCCAATTAAAATTCTAAGTGCAGGCTGTCCACTTCTGTTCCTCAAAAACCATCATCTAGCGAATGTTGGCCATCGCTCTTGCAATCTTCCAAATCAGAAGAGTCTTGGTTTCGAAGGCAAAGATCTTGGCAAATCGGGCATCCACACACCGACGTCTTCGTCAAGATCACCTTCTACGCCAAAAAGCCGCTGAAACCTCGTGTACCTGCGGCATCTGCAACGCACGGGAAACAAAAGTGGAAAAAATGTATATACTATATATATAATTTTATATATATACACATATCAGTGAGTGTTTCTTTAGTGTTTAAAATTGTTTCAATATGCTTCAATGAACATGTTTCAAGTTGGCCCAAGAGCTCCACTGAAAGTTGTCTTGAGCTCAGCGTGAGACCATCGCTGAAGAGCCAGAAATCTGCATTCTGACACTCCTTGACTTTCTTCATGAGAAAGTATCCGTCTACACCGAGTCTACACCCAATTGTGCGGATTCCAGAACAACACATACAAAATCTACAACAAATATAGAATTGCCATTCTAAAGTCAGGTTCGAAACGTTCGAAGCCCTGCAACTTGTTACAACTGGTTTGAAAATTGGTCCCGTGTTTCTGGTCACAGCCCGTTGCAATACGCACGCATTGGGTCGCACTCGATGGTGTCCGAGTCCGACCCAGGTTCATTCCAGTTGATGGTTCGGGGCAGTTTCAACCTCAAAACTGCAACCGCCGGGTCATGGCCAATTTGAACACGCAGTTACCAACATGTTCTGCCTGGGCATTGGCGTTTGCCACATTTTTTGCCTTTGGCCTATGAATTTATTGGCTGTCTATCTATGTAATCTGATCCAATCAAATCCAATTTATCCTATCCTCTCCTCCCTCTCCTAGCCTATCCTATCCTATCCTGTCTTGTCTATCTATCTATCTACCTATCTATCCATCCATCCATCCATCCATCTATCCATCCATATATATATATCATATCTCTCTCTCTCTCTCTCTCGCTTTCTCTTTGTCTCTGAACAGAAACTTTAGCCCTGCATCAAGCATTGATGTGGCCAACAGAAGAAAAACCAGCCAAGTGGCCCCTGCCAATGCGCGTTGCAACAATCTTACTCAAGTTTTACGTCACAACATGGTTGGAGTGTTCCCAAAGCGGCGCGGATGGATTTGGATCAGGGTATTTGTTCAAGATATGTCAAGATTACATACCAAACCTGACCAAAATCGTGACCAAAACGCCCACAGAAATAGACCGTGCTATCCCCATTGCCGAGGAACTCTTGGGGAAACAAACCCAGCTGCTCTCGGGTGGCATAGACTGCATCTTTGCCCAGGACAGCCACTTTGATGAAACCCATTGGCAGCAGCAGGCTATCCATCGCCTGAGCATCACAGCCGGGGATGGGCTGGGTCAATGGAGTTAGGGATAAGTCGGATAAGTTAAGCACAGTGAGCCATGTCACAGCCATGTGTCGGTATATGTTTAATTAATTTTAATTATGTTTAGGTATATCAGAATTGTGTGGTTGAATATGGTTGAATATTGACTTCGATGCAATGCTTCGAAAGCAGCCAGTTGGTCTGCAAGGCTTTCGACCCACAGCGGTATCGCAATGCCCAGAAAAACGGAAAAGGAGTCATCAATCATCGAAGCATGAAATGTCGTTGTTTCTCTTAGCGATCCCAAAACGCAGGAACCCTAAAAGTCTGGAACCACCTCTGATAGGGACTGCTAAAAAGACATGAGACGTGACTGACGATGCCACTCAACCGACAAATGTGCCCACCCTCAAAAGACTGGTCTGGAGCTGTTTCAGCCACAATAATGAAGCTTAATTCCCAGACAAACGAAAACTGCTGTTAATTCCCGAGTAGAATCGTGCTCCCTAGTGATCCTAGTGATCTTGGTTCTGTGTGATCCAAGAAAGTTCTGCAAAGCACTAGGTTTACAAATAAACTTGGTATATATAAACTTTATAAACCTTACAAATATACCATTTTGTCTAACCTGGTGATTCAAAGATGTTCATCTCGAGTTTGAGCATCAAATCCCTTGAGGTCACTGCCATAGAGGTCCTCCTGAGCTTCGACTAACTTAGGAGGAGCAACATGTTTTACAGTATGCCCACGCAAGACCTGTTTAAACCCGCAAAAACGGAAACGGTGTTAAAGTAGTTCAAAATCATTGAGATATGCATTAGGTGGCTCGCAGATATTAGTTGTTTATGTAAACAGGATATTGGACATTAGCTCTTCAAATAGACTCTAGACCTTCAACTGGTGGGTGACTTGAGGTTGCCGAGTTTTTGTGTCTACTCAGTTTAATCTGCATCCGGCCAAGAAGGTCATTCGATGCTAAAAAGAAACATAGTCCACTGCTCCAAAACAACAAAATCCCCGATCAGAATTTCCAAAGACTGTATTTTTCAAAACATTTCAACATATCCACTAAAACACAGATTTCGTCGCGTTGGTGTTGTCCTGCATGGCTCACAGGCGCACAATCACTGAATTCATGGCGCTGTAAAGATCGTGTCAAAATGTTCCGCAGGTCCCATTGCTTCCTGCTCGTTTCCACGACAATGCAGCGAATGTCCCAGACCTCGCCGACAGAAATCAAGCTCTTGCCACTGTCTGGTCATCTGTTTCAACCTGGCCTGGGAAATCCAGCATCCTTGTTGGTTTATTTATTGTATTTGATTGTTCATACGTGTTTCCCTTGGAGAAACTAGGCTTTCCCCACATACATTGCAATGTCCCCGCAGTTACAGTGTTTGGAGCTTCTGGTGGGTGCCAAGTAGCTGGAAGTTTTCAGGCTCTTCGAATCCCAACACACGCACGTTCTGCCTCTTATTTCGATCGTAAGACCAACTGTCTCAACGACGCTTTCCGACGGGGCCGGCAGACCCAGGCATGTTGCAGCTGCCAAGAACAAAGCATTGTGCAATCTTCAATTCTAGAAATAGTTAGTCCAAAGATATATTTGAAATAGTAAAACCATTGTAGATCATCTAGTGGCAACTGCCTGGCTTTCACTTGATCTCAGCGGCTTGTCATGGCTTGTCCCTATCAATCACAGGGACGTATTTCATGAAGGTTGCGCCCCCAGTAGCGAATCAGACCACGAGCTCCTGAGAAGAACGTTTCCCATGGGGACTCAACCGGCCAGGAACCTCATCACTTCTGGCCAAAAACATTATATAATATTATATAATATTATTTAATATTATATAATATTATATAATATTATATACCATGATCGCCAAAAGTGATGAAACAATGACCCGAAGAGCTTCATGAAGAAGGTAGTATATCGAGAAACGCTGATATGCGTGAAGAAATTATATTCGGGTATACGGTATACGGTGTACTGGTATACCCCTAAGCAATGCATAAATTTCATATCTACCATCAAGGCAGTCCTTCCCTATCTCCGTATGTGACCTGCCATCTTAGTGTTGGATTGAAGCTACAACAGAGGAGGTGACTGCACCGTCATTACTAGCCCCACAGGCACGGATGCACATGAGTCTGTAGGCTCCATAGCTGGGATAACATCTCCCCAATCAACAAGTATGTTGAAAATATATCCTCATGTTGAGGACATATTGAGGGTGCCCAGTTGCTGACCATGTCTTGACTTCCAAAGATATCCCGCACTGGCTGTCCTCAATGCCGCAGTCGCCGCTGTCAGAGGCGCTGGGACCACCACCCACTGCAGGGCGGGTGGCAGCAGTCAGGAGCGCCATGTCCTGCCACACCGCGGTGGGACAACAAATATAATATATATATATATGCACATTACATGCAAATAAATTGCAAATATCTTTGGAAACAAATGAGGCAAGTAGTATAGAAGAATTGGTTTTGGGGGCAAATCAAAAAAATGTGAATGTCTCTTAGTGCTCTGGGTTTCAAAAAACTTGACGAGGAGATTACGTTGTGAGTATCACCCAAAAACAAAAGCAACAAGCAAATTGTTTCGCGGTTTCAACGTCCTATACGGCTAACGATTGCACAGTGGGTTTAGAGTTTTGCTCCCGTCCCATCGCTGGGTACGTCCACGTTACCTGATGTGTGTTCCATCTCCTTCAGCCGAGCATCGACTAGCCATATCCTTTAGTGACATTCCAAATCGCACTGCTTCTATACCCTGTTTTGCTCGTTGAATACCCATGATCTAAGTCAAAGACTGCGTGTTCTGCTTGATGGTGAGAGTAATTGTCTCGGCTTTCATGCTTGAACACCCGCTTTCACGTCTAGTATCCTACAGTGGTTACAGCTTCTCAACAGTAAAACAGTAACGAATGCAATCTCTCTTGCCTCTCTTGCTTTGGATCACTTTTTCCCGTCGGGATGTGTCTTTTTTTTCCGACTGGGCAGACAAAAAGTCTGAGCGCCGAACCCCGGCCAATAGAATTCCAAGTGAATCCATGCAAGAAATCAATAAAACGGTTCAGGAGAAACTGAGATGGAATTGCTTGTTGATACTGTATAACAACAGTAAAAACGGACCAAAAGTTAAGCGATGCCTATTGCCGTCTTCAGGCGCCTTCTTAACATCAAACTGCAGAAAACAGCACGTATCAAACAGGTAGGAGAACGGAAATACAAATCTTAATGACAAGTGCAGTGTCGAGAAATATTCACATTTCTTTTTAAATCCTGTTTGCTGATGATCTCACAACAGTGTCTCACAGAGTGTATGACCACAAGCTTTCAAAGATCGTTTTACAAGTGTCCAACGTCCAACAAGAGTGTTTTACAGGAGTGTTCAAAAGGATGTCCAACAAGAGTGTCTTACAGTTTCAAACGCGTTTTCTGCATGCCATTACAGCTGAGGATATGCATTGCCCTTGCACAAAAGAGTGGCAGCTATCTTGACATTGATGCCTTGAAATCCTAGAATCGACTTGCATTCGGGTTTGTGGGTTCTATTAGGTTGGTCAAAGACATGCCGTATTCATTGTGGATAGTTCGTGATATCTGCTGTTGCTGGTCAAATACCTCATATTATGCATTGGTCCTGCTCATTGAGCTCAAAGTCGAAGATCTCACTGTTCTCCTTACCCATCCAGTGGTTTGTGGCCCCCAGTTCAGTGGAATGTGGCACTTGCTTTGAAGGTACCCGAACAACTAGGAGAGATTCAGACTGAAATACGAAAAAAAAAATAGGATTGGTGATTTGAGCAAGAATCAAATGATTTGCAACTATTTGCGCTTCCTACAATGGAGGTCCATGTTGGTAACACCACAAATGTGGCAATCGAAAAAAAGATAGCGGCAAGGATCATCCGAGTGAGGGTACGCAAAACATTTCATCCAGTGCCCACCGTTACCCTTATCCTCGCCTTCTGATGCGCTGCAACGTGACTTTTGGGAATCACAGGGATGCCCTGGGCCAGCTGGCTGCCCTGGATCTTTCAAATCTTTCAAGAAGATTTAGTTTTAACCTCGTGAAACTCCAAGAAAGACCTGGCATCCTTTGGTCACTTCCTTTAACCTTTGGACCTGGAGGTATGGACCCTAACCCTCTTGGTTTCCTCCATCAAGTGGACCATCAGCTGATGAATTTCTTATCGCACGGAGACAATGCTGGCCCACCAGCCCACCAGCCTGTTGAACAAGCCAGCGCAGAGCCACCTGGGCGGTTCATGGCGGTCGAAACAGCTGGGCACCCTCCCTGTGAGCGTCTGAAAAGGCAATCGGTCACATTCGGCCACCAGGCCTTCAAAATAAATGACTGTAGTTACAGCATGTTATAGTCATAGCATGTTATAGCATGTTATAGCATTCAAACAGCTCAGGTGACTGATAGTATGGGTATTGCTATCCAGAACTCGTTCATCCCCTGCATATCCCTGCATGAATTCCGTTTGAGGCTAGTGCGGCTAGTTTGACTTTGGCGCACCTGAGGCCCAGTTTTGTTGTAGTGCTTTCCAATTGTAGTGACCAAAGAACCAGTCAAGAGCTCCTACAGCTCTTGGGGACGGTTGAAGCAAATAAAAGGTCGCACGTCAAATCAAGATACATCAAGCTGCCGCAACATGTCTCACTTGAATTATCGTGTTGGGATCCGTTTCAGCTGGTGGGAAAGGTCCTTGTTGTCTGGTGGATCACAAGGACCACAAAGTGGTGAGAAGGACTGGTATAGAACGCCCTTCTGTTTCCTCAGATGCACCAAGATCTGTGTCCAAAGCTAGAAATACGTGGCCAATCTTGGCCAACCGGACGGAGCAGAATAAATGTGCTCTTGAGATATCTTGAGATGCTCCGTTGTCCTTTCTGTGTGGCGAACATGTCGGACGAGCATTGCAGAAGGAATGTCTAAAACAATTTCTCAATCATCTTCTCTCGGCACTCAGACTTTGGTCGCGAAAGGTGTTAATTCAAAGCAACACTCCTGTGCAATCGAGAAGCATGTAGCTTTTGTCATCAGTCGCCTCGGTCTGTTACCAGTGAGATAACACAGCGGACAAATGTCCCCGAACATGAGCTTTTGCACATACTCTGGAAGCCTGGCACTTCAGTGCGCTAAAAGGAATGCTCCCCGTGAATGTGCTTTATCCATAAAGCATGAACCCCATTGAACCTCCACGATTCAGATCTTGTTTCAACCATTCTCCGGGTGCTGCTAGGTTTGCGGCCAAGCGCCCTGCAGTGCCCATGCCGACATGGTACTGGACCTACCGGGAAGCTCAAGCCAATGTAAGCCACACATGTCTTTCCGAAATGCTTCTGAAGTGTTCCCCTATTGAATAGGCCCTATTGGCCCTATTGGCCCTATTGCTCACAAAGTCTTTTCATGAAGTTCATAAAGTCCATGAAGTCCATGGCCTGGTTCACAGCCACTGGGACGCTGGCCACCTGAAAGTCTGGGGAGTGCTGTCGCTTGCCCCTTCGGGTGTTTTTCACTTTCTGTCTTACTGCTCCATTGCAGGCATGGGTTCCTGGGTAGTTCCAAAGATTGTGTCATGATAGATTTAACAAACACAAACCATAAATTCCAGTGGCAAGAACAATGCAGAAGATAGATTGGATGACTCTGCGTGTGGGCCAATCTTGGCAAATGACGATCAGCGACTCTGAGTGCGTATCTATGCAGGCTACTTGCATGAGCATTGTTTCCTAGAAAAACAACAGTGCAGCTGCAAAGGTAATTCTGCTAGATTTACGGGCCAGAAACCTTATTATTCACATAGTTCATGTACTGTTTGTATTGATGTATGTATTTATGCATCTATGTATGTATGGATGCAGGGATGTATGGATAGAGTGGATGTACGGGATAGAGCGGATGTATGGATGCAGTGGATGCAGCATGTGTGTCTGTCTGTCTGTATGTACGTTCTTAGGTAGGCAGGTAGGTAGGTAGGTATCTGATTTGGTATGAAATTATAGGTACTGTTTCGTGACATTGCACTGTGTAATTGTATGATATATATATAATCAAACATACAATAAATATGTATATGTATGTAATTAAATATGTATGTGGTACACATCCCAAGAACCACCTGTTTTCATTCCGCATCTGTATTTGCGATGTGTTCAATCAATCGTTGCCTTTCAAAAATAGCTATCTTTTCAGTTTTTCCAAGAGTTTTTATCCCTCCTTTCTTCAATATAAAAGAAACATGGATTTAGTCTGCATATGAGGCTTGGCAAATGGTTTCAACCCAGAAAGTTGGGATGTTTGGCTCTGACTTTCAAATGTTTTTTTACATGTAATACTACCTGCTTTAGCATCTGTCAACTTTGGACTCTCATCACATAGACGTCTCGGAACCTGCCTGGAGGATATCATCCAACTGACGCCTGCAGTAATGTGAGATGCCAATGGCCTTTGCCTGTCAGCACACGCTCGAGTCCACATAGACAAATGAAAATCACAGAATCTTACTAATAGTCCTTGTATCGTACCACGTGATCCATGTGAATTGTCCATTGAAAATTGATGAAACACAGGTTTATACATATACATATACATATACGTATTGTGAAATATGCACATTCTATCGCTACATTTCCTTAACTTGTATCCCTGAATCCCACATGTCTATCATAACCAAATCTCTCCAGGTTTCCAGCAGATGTAACCTTCAACCCTTGAGACACTTGGCTCAGTGAGCATCAGGGCAGTTGGCGGGTGGGCATATCGGTGTCTTAGCCATACGGAGGCTTCACTGCTTGCAGAGGATACTGCATTTGCTTGGGGCTGTGGTTCAGCCGTGGACGTTCCAGAAGTTGACAGCGTGGAGGTATAAAAGGAAAGCGTGTCCGCTTCCATCTGGGGCACAGGGTGCCATTGGGAATCTTCACAGGAGTCCGTTACCAGTTTCACATTGGTAGCGGAGCTCCTTGTGATACAACAAGGAGCATCCAGCGACCTTTGGACAGGTGTTTGAATCATTGGCTCTGAGGATCCGATCTCAGGCTTGACGAGAACATCATGGCCGAGGCTTCTGGTGGTACTGATGCCCAGGGTGGCATCTCCAATCAATTGGCGACTTTAGTCCCGAGTTTTGACCCAAGCAAGGATGACTTGCAGGTATACCAACAAAAGGTGCAGCTTGTAACAACAGTTTGGCCTCAGAATCGACTTTCAGAACTTGTGACCCGACTGATCCTGAACACGACAGGGTCCGCTTTTGCAAAGCTCCAGCTACACCACAGCGAGCTGGCGACCAATGATACGAAATCAGTGCAAAAGTTGATCGAATACCTCGGAGGACAATGGGGTAAAACAGGTCTGGAAAAGAGATATGCTGATGCCGAAAAGGCATTGTTTCAATGCAGCCAACAGACAGATGAGAGCCATGACTCTTACCTCGCCAGAGCTGATGTCTTGTGGTCAAAGCTGAAGACTCAAAAGCTTCAGATAGATGATTTGCAAGCTTACATAACTCTGAGAGGGGCTCAACTTTCCAGTGAAGACAAGAAACGAATAATCCTGGACTCTGACGCATCATTAGATGGAACTTTAACCATTGGCCGAGTGCAAGAGGCAGTTCGACTTTTGGGTACATCGTTCTTCAATGAGATGACTGGTTTGGGAAAGAAGGCTAGTAAGTCAAAGGTGTATGACTCAGCCACCCTCGCAGTGGAAGATGGAGATTCTTTTGCCGAGACAGAAGACCAGGCACATCTGTCTCATCATGAGGACTGGAATGAAGATGACATACTGGAGACAATGTTGGCAGAAGGTGATGAGGATGCAGTTTTTGTATCCGACTTCGAATCAGCAGCAAGTGAGGTGCTGCAATCCGATGACGACTTGGCCGCAGCCTTCTCAACCTATGTGGAAGCACGCAGGAAACTGAACGAGAAGTTCCGATCTCGTGGATTCTGGCCTTTGGGAAAAGGTAAGGGTCGTGCCAGCAAGGGAAAAGGCAAAGGCCGTATGTCTTGGGGCTCTCGTAAGACGCTCCAACAAAGGATTTTAGAATCGAACTGTCGGTTGTGCGGAAAAAAAGGGCGTTGGCGCAATGAATGCCCAAACAAAGGCCAAAGTGCCTCTTCCGTGTCAAATGCAGCCGTCACCTTGTCAGTAGCCATGCCAACAGCCGAGACCGAGTCCAGTCTGCCGGAAGAGTTTTTGCTTCTTCCAGAGATGCCAGCGCCTGCAACCAAGGACATTTTGTCCAGTGAGTCAGTTTTTGTACAGTCAGTTTTTTATGCAGAAACCTCCAGGGAGAAGAAGACCAAATCCCAGGAATCCTCAAACATGAGTAAATTGCGGGAGAAAATTAGGAATCATATAAAGGGAACATATGAGACTAATTTCGGAGTCAAATCGCTCGTGAGCAGGATTGAACAGAAGCTTCGCCACCAAGCCTTGCGGAACACCGGAAAGCCCAATCGCATGCCGCGCATTTTGCGCCCAGAAGATGTGACTGCCCGTGAGAGACCATTGTGCCAAAAGCCTAGCTGTCCAACCGAGACAGCCCAATTCTCGAAGATGCCAGGTGTAAGCCCAGACACTGCCCATGCGGTGCCACCAACAGAGATCATGTTTGCCACTCACGATACTTGGGGTATCTTAGATACGGGAGCAACCAAAACAGTCATGGGAAGTGACCATATCAAAGAATTTCTTGAAGGTTTGAACCCAACAATCAAAGACCATGTCAAACGCTGCTCATGTGAAGTTTTGTTCAGGTTTGGCAATCAGGGAACCCTCAAGTCCTCTCAAGCTTTGGTTCTTCCAGTAGGTGGCATGCGGTTGAAGATAGCAGTTGTCAAAGGGGCTACGCCTTTTTTGATTTCAAATACGCTTCTTCGGGCCCTTGGTGCACTTATCGACACTCAAAACCATCAACTGAAGATTCCCAAGTTCAACGCCAATATCAATTTGAAACTCACCTCAAAAGGATTGTACCTCATTGATATGAATAAACTCACTGACATTGCACCAATCCCGAAAAGTCTTGCGAGCTCTGCAGAAACGTTTGCACAGGACACCATTCAAAGCAGCCAAAATGCCGAGACTGTGAATCCAGATGTTCCAGCCGTTCAAATGCATGAGGCAGGTTCAGGTGAAACAGAACAATTATCCAATAAACATACCACGACCACACTCATGGAAGAAAACCCAATCCAAGAGATACCACTAAGTTCAGCAGAAATAACATCCAAGCAGCCTGTGACTCACCGTGTTCATGCAGAGATCACCACCAAGAGCACAGTTTTCAGTCCAAGCATCCGTGCCCCAAATCGATCAGTTGCAAGTCCTTGGACCCATGAGCAACTGGAGCCAACGCTTGTCAAAAGTGCAGGCACATGTGGCCAGTCCCCAAGAGCTGGAACCAATCAGCCATCTTGGGCTGGAAGAGCTGAAGATCATGCCAATGGACTTTGGAAAAGCCCATGCGGGGAAAACGTTCCAAGAGATATGGGACACCAACCCCTCGTGGATCAAGTGGTTTCTGGCTCACTATGCATCGAGTCAGAAGACCGAGCACAGGCGCATGATTCGATTCATTCACCTGAAGATCGAGGAGTCCGAGGCCGAGACGCCCCAACCAGCCGCAAAGAGCCTTCCACGTGCCTTGGGCGCCCGCCCGAAAAGCACAGCGGCACCCAGCCAGACCACAGAGACACCAGGAGAGACAGAGTTCGAGATGATGTACGAGGCCCCATGGGCCAATCCAGCCGAGACCAAAGAGGACATCAATGCTCTCCAGGCAAGAATGCTCAACCTGGAGACAGCCATGCAGCGCATGCTCATCATGATGCAGAATGCCATGCCGTTGACAAGCCCAGTGCCGACCAACATCCCAGAATCTGCTGCAGCCGAATGGGACGATCCCTGGAACAATTAGATGAACACCAAGCATGCAGCCACTGGGATCACCAAGCTGGGGAGATCGATAATTTTTGTTCTTCTAGTCCCAACAAAGAAAGTGTTCGGTTTTGGGAACTGGTGAGAACCATGGAAAAGGAATTAACCGATCTTTCAAAAATCATCCATAGCCAGGGCCCCAAACTTGACTTGCTCGAAGTTTTCTGTCATGAAGATAGCATGTTAACCACTCAAGTCAGAAACCTGGGAGGAACAGCACAGAGACATGGCCTGAGCCAAGGCGATCTGATGACAACAGACGGCCGTAGGAAGCTGTTCACCCTGCTACTGAGACAGTGTCCCCGCCATGTATGGGTAAGCCCGGTATGTGGTCCTTGGGGTCAATGGTCAAACTTCAATAGTTCAAGATCACTTCAAGCATGGGACAGAGTCCACGAAGCCAGATGGGACATGCTCAGTCAGGTGGCCTTATGTGTCGTTCTGTGTCGGCACCAGCACCGATGCAATCGCCATGCTCACTGGGAACAGCCAAAGGGATCAACAATGTTGAAACTGCCATATGTTCAAGAAATTTATCGATACATGATAGTAGCCCGACCTGATCTTTGTAATGCTGGAGCCCTGAAAGACCCATCCTCAGAATTGCCAATCCGAAAGGGGTTGAACATCGTCACCTCATCCAAAAGATTGTTTGAAGCAATTGACCTGCTGCGATGCACCCGTGACCATGTCCACCAACCCATCGAAGGGTCCACAAGGCTGAATGGAGTGAGCATTGCACGTTCCAAGTTCTCTGAGAGCTACCCCCGCAAATTTGCCCGACTGACAGCCAAGAGCCTGCTTCAATGTAGATTTCCAGGTGAGAAACCCTTAGGACACATCGTGGATCCAGTTTTGTCGATGATTGATGCACTGTCAGCCGAAGCAAATGCCGCGTCAGCCTGTGAACGATCAAACAAACGTCCACGCATGTCTCCTAAGCAAGGAGTGAAGCAGGGAGCTGCAACTGGCGCACATGACAATCAGAAGGCTCCCAAGAGACTTCGTAGCCAACCTAGCGAACCTTCGCCCATGGCACAGGAATCCACAGAAATCAAGATTGATGAGAAGAAGCTTCAAGAGATCACGACTCGAATTGAAAATCTGTTGCCAAGAGTGGGCAAGAAACAGATCGACAGCCCGTCCATTTTTCAAGAACTCCAAGACTTGTTTCCAGACATGCTTATCAAAAGAATTGTGGCCTGTAAAGGAACCGATCGACGGTGGGGACCCCCTCAAAGTATAAACCCTGAAGAAGCACCGTTTCGGAGATCAATCATGAAGTTGAGAAGCAATCTTCAAGTAACTATTGACCCCAAATGGGAACAGTATAACTTGTTGTCCAACAGACAGATCATTCGGAAGTCTCCAGCATGTCGTGTGAATATAACGATGTTTGCAGTCTCCAAGCCTGTTCCAATGCCTGCCCGGTCCAATAGTGATGAAGGAGCCTCTTCTGGTTCAGAGAACCAATCTCAGTCTCAACTGCCTGAAGCCACCGAGGAAACACCTGAGATGCCAGAAGGGAGTGATCAAAATGTTGACAAGGTCGAAGAAAAAGAAATACCCCAAAATCAAAACACCGAAATTCCAAGAGAACCCATGTCACCAACCACTGCTTTCGATGGAACTCCTTTGGGCACTGATGTGACCTCCTGGGGAGAAGAAAACCATGGTCCTCGCTTCAAGGCGCTTCCAAGAGAGGAGCAAATCCTGTTGAGACGTGCACATCAAAATTTGTGCCACCCAAGTGCCGACCAATTCAGCGCAGTGTTGCGAAGCCAGGGATGCAGACCCGAGCTGTTCCATGCAGTGTATGACATGAAGTGCCCCACACGCATAGCCAATCAGAAACCGAAAATTGCCAGACCAAGTGTATTCAAGGATGCCCTCGATTTTAATGACAAAGTCTTTATTGATGGGATAACTTGGACCTCTAAAGCGGGACATCACTTTCATTTCTATCACTTGTTAGATCAAGCCACGAATTTTCATGTTGCCATCCCTGCCCCGAGCAGGGCAGCAGACCAAGCTGTGATGAGAGTTTCCGAAGCATGGTTCAACTGGGCCGGGCCACCAAACACGTTGATGATGGACTCAGCCACAGAGTTTACGAGCGAAGTGTTTCAAGAATTTCTCCAAAGACATGAAGTCAAGGGAGTCATCACGTCTCCCCATGCACACTGGCAGAATGGGAGATGCGAACGCCATGGACAAATCTTGCAAACAATGTTGAACAAACTGGACCATGAAAAACCAATCGAAAGCTATCATGACCTTCACCAGGCCCTGATCCAGTGCACACATGCCAAAAATAGTTTAAGCATTCGAAAAGGATATGCACCGGAAGTTCTTGTGTTTGGTAAGAGTTCGAAAATTCCAGGATCAATAACTAGCAGTGATGACATGTCTGCCCATGCCAGTGCCGACCGGGAGGATGCCCAAGGGATTGCATTCCGCCAACAACTGGCGTTGAGAGAGCGAGCCAGATCAGCCTTCCATCAGGCTGATAATGACATGGCTCTGAGACGTGCATTCTTGCGACGCACGCGCCCCGACCGCCAAGGGTATGCTCCAGGTGAGTGGGTCATGATGTGGCAACCACAAAGCCAAAACATGGGATACTGGTTTGGACCCTTGAAAGTAGTACAACAGGAACAAAACTTGTCAGTCTGGGCCACCAAAGCAGGCCGCTTGCACCGCCGGGCACTTGAACATGTGAGACCTGTGAGTTCTGCCGAAGCCCGACAAGCCATCTAAGAGGGTGATGAACCAATTCCCGAAATGACCGAACAATCACCAATGGTTGAGCAGGGAACCCGAGAAAACACCAATCAAGGGGATGACCTACCAATCAGCAACGATAACAATCCTCCACTAAACAATGACGGCAATACTCCCAATGGTAACCATCCAAGTTCAGAAGACAATTCAAGCCAATCTCAAGATCAGCCCGATCAAGAACCAGATGAAGGTCAACCTGATGATAGCCAATCCCAGAATGTAACCCCAAGTCATATTGATACTCCTATCCCTGAAAATGATGTTGACGATGATTTGGTAACCACTCACCTTCTGTGCTGTGATGCCGAAGAGCTTACAGTAAATCCGAGTGAAACACCCTGCGCATGGAAGTTTGAGATGGAAGCACCGAGTCATCTCCGAGCCAATGAAGTGGCATGCATGACTGCCGATGAAGTGTTGCTGGCGTCTTCGGAAAAGAAACAAAGGACCGAAGTGAAACTTGCAATGTTGAATGCCGAAGAGAAGAAAGCTTTCCAAGAGGCAAAGCAAACTGAAATCAAAAATTGGCTAGCCACAGGGACAGTGTCCAAAATCCTCAGAACAAAACTGGCCCCTGAGCAGATCCTGCGATGCCGATGGTTGTTGGTTTGGAAAGAGAAAGACAATGGTGTCCCAAAGGTTCAAGGCAATTCGGCCACCACCTCCAAGCTCTCCAAACTGGAAACCCATAAGCCAAAAGCCAGACTGGTTGTGTTGGGTTACCTTGACCCAAATTTAACTGAGGTTCCCCGAGACAGCCCAACACTAGGAAGACAGTCCAAGATGTTGTTGCTGCAATTGATTGCCTCATATGGATGGAGCTTGGGGTCTTTTGACATTAAAGCCGCATTCCTTCAGGGCAAACCTCAGCAGGACAGAATCATGGGGCTCGAACCGGTGCCAGAACTTACTGCAGCCATGGGACTTCAACCAAACGAAATTTGCAAACTTGACAAATCAGCCTATGGACTCATCGATGCTCCTTTCTTGTGGTTCAAGACACTGTGTGATGAGCTCATGAAATTAGGTTTCCAGCCAAGTCCTTTTGACCCATGTCTGTATGTTCTCAGAGAACCATCAAATGGGAAACTGGCAGGGGTTTTGGGAGTTCATGTTGACGATGGAATTCATGGAGGTAACGACTATTTCCATCAACAGATACAGAAACTTGAGGCCAAATACCCTTTTGGTTCCAAAAAGTCCAGATCATTCACTTTCACAGGAATTCACATGAAACAACATACCGATAACAGCATCCAACTATCCCAAACAAAATACGTAAACAGCATTCCTCCAATTTCCATTTCAACTGAACGGAAGATGCAAGAAGATGCACTGGTATCCGAGCCAGAACGTCACCTGCTGCGAGGACTCGTTGGCTCATTACAGTACGCAGCAGTACACACCCGTCCAGACATTGCCAGCTCACTTAGCCATCTACAATCCCAAATCAATAAAGCCACTGTATCAACTTTGTTAACAGCCAATAAAGTCCTCCATAACGCAAAGAAACACAGTGATGTTAGTATTACAATTCAGCCTATTGCCACTTCCGATGTCCGTTTCATTGCATTCTCCGACGCATCGTTTGCTTCCAAAAGCAAACCTGAATCACATGCCGGCATGATCATTCTTGCAACCCACAAAGATATTTCCCAAAATAAATCTTGTGCAATCAGTCCATTGTCATGGGGAACCAAGAAAATTCAAAGGATTGTAACCAGTACACTCTCAGCGGAAACATCCGCCTTATCCTCATCTCTAGATCAATTAACATGGATAAGACTGTATTGGGCATGGTTGCTGAATCCCAAAATTGCCTGGCAGAAACCCGAAAATATCAAAGATTTACCACCAGCAATTTCCCTTCCAACATACAAAGCCAATGACCATGATTTAGCTATCACTGATTGTAAAAGCCTTTACGATTTGACCACCAGAACTGCCATCCCAAATTGCCAAGAATTCCGTACCCAACTATTAGCCCGATCTATCAAAGACATCTTAAGTGAAGGGATCAAACTCCATTGGGTTCACTCCGGTGCCCAACTTGCAGATGCGCTTACAAAAATGATGGAAGCCAACTTCCTGCGCGAAACACTGCGTCAGGGCAAATATTGCCTCCATGACTCTGAAGAGGTCCTAAAGGACCGTGCATCCGCCCTGAACCGCTTGAAATGGTTAAAAAACGTCCAATGAGCAGAATGTGCATAACCCTTGAAAAAGTTAAGTTTTGGGAGTGTGAAATATGCACATTCTATCGCTACATTTCCTTAACTTGTATCCCTGAATCCCACATGTCTATCATAACCAAATCTCTCCAGGTTTCCAGCAGATGTAACCTTCAACCCTTGAGACACTTGGCTCAGTGAGCATCAGGGCAGTTGGCGGGTGGGCATATCGGTGTCTTAGCCATACGGAGGCTTCACTGCTTGCAGAGGATACTGCATTTGCTTGGGGCTGTGGTTCAGCCGTGGACGTTCCAGAAGTTGACAGCGTGGAGGTATAAAAGGAAAGCGTGTCCGCTTCCATCTGGGGCACAGGGTGCCATTGGGAATCTTCACAGGAGTCCGTTACCAGTTTCACAACGTATACATATACATATACATATTCACATACATATACATATATACATATATATATATACATATACATATACAGTTACGTAACATATACATACACATACACATACACATATACATATACATATTCACATACATATACATATACATATACATATACATATACACATACATATACATATACATATACATATGCATATATGCATATACATGTATGCATATGCATATATGCATATACATGTATGCATATATAATCTATAATCTTATATATATATTATATACACATGTGATTGAATATGTATCTGTAATTTTATTCAATGTCTGTAACAGTCTGTATCACAAATCTTCAATCGTTCGGATTCCAACTGCTGGCCTTACCACTCTTGGCCCAGGCTTCCAGTGCCTTCCACTCGACTTGGCGTTCCTACCCAGGTGCAACGAAATTGCATCCGACGGTCCGTTGTGTTTGGTCACGAGGGCAGTCTATAACGGTGACACCTGGGACCTGTCCTTTCTGGAGCCGTTCTTTCCGAAGTCTGCTGGGAAGTGAATCAACATCAGGTCTACCTTGGCCACTTTGGTCCACTGGCGATTGCATAGCGATACATGACCCGGGTTTTGGCCAAAGACAGCGGTTTGCGACAGGAGTTTGTACAGACCCCTGTTGTATACCGCTTCATCCGCCGTAAGATCATGCCACTGGCCCATTGCCCTCAAGGATGGCTGGATTGCTTCATGTCAAGAGACCCGAACTCAAGATCCAACGGAGCAAAAAGAAAGAGAATCAAAAGTACCTTTCAACAAGCGGTGTTGTTTTCTGACACTGGAAAATGCAGCTGGAGCTGCATAATCCACTTTGAGCTCCTTCAGGCACGAGTCCTTTGTTTCAAAGGCAGTTGGTGGATCAGCGTAGCCCCAGAGGAGTTTTGAAATGTTTTGGGTGAATCCAAAAATACACGAAGACTGGAAATACAGCTCGAGCAAATGTGAATCATTTGGATGCGGGCCAGGTCGAAACCGAGTATATACTGGGATAAACTGGATTTTGCCTACTTCAAATACTGGCCAGACTCTCTTGACATGCCTAGAAGTTTGAGTCATAGAACTATCCATCTACAACTCCGAAGGAAATCCCTACCAGCCGGGCTTCAGCTGCAGCTGCTGTTGCGGAGGCATTCAAACCTGACAGAGTGGCAAAATGTTGCGCTCGAATTCGAATGACGAATGAAGAAAAACTGCATGAACTGCATAGCCTATGGTAGTATGGTAGGCCGTTTAGAAACAGTATGTCCAGTGTCGGCCCAAGTCCTAACAGTGGTACACCGTGACAGCACATGCTTGGGAATTGATTTTGCCATGTCGTCTTGTCTCATTGGATCGTATCTGACTTGATTCTGAATTGCTCAGCAACAAGATGTTTGTGGGTATATGGCCTTTTGTGGTCACTGTGGCAGACGCTTGCTGGTGACGGCGCGCATGCCACTTGCTTTCAACAATTCTTTTCATGACAGTGTTTGCTCACCATTTCGATCATGTGGCATACAGCTTTTGCACATACTTTGGATGACCAATTTGGAGGACATGACTATGACAACGCATGCTTCTGTTTTTGTCCCTGACTGCGGTGGCGCTCTGCGTGGATTGGTATCTGCAACTTGCCTTTGCATATCATTGCACTTGAGTTTGCCCGAATCAGGTTGAGTAACTTTGATTGGCTTAGCCATTTGCAGTTGCTGCTGCATCCAGGCACAAAGGAGCCAGGAGGCAAACTGGCATGATTTCGCACACATTTTCGACGAGCTAAGGGTCAACACTTGCCCCACTTGAGCCTTCAGGCGTCAACCGAAAGCCACCGAAAAGTGTTTTCCTGTTTATGGCTGTTTTGTTGCGTTTTCTTTGTGGGTTTCCGCGGAACAATCGCCGCATGGCTCATTTCAATTTGTGTGCGGCCTACGTTGGCCTTGCTGGCCGTTAATGTTTTCCAGCACATGCTAGGAACTCGGCAGCGCGCAACTTCCGACGATTGCCTTCTTTGAGTTTTGCTTTACTGTGCTGAACCCTGATCACCATGATGATCAGTATCATTTGTTGGACACAGGGCCTGTGCTGCAGCCGGCCCGTGCTTTTGAGACCGTGTGTGATATAGGCAGTATGTCAGCATGTCCAATCGCCTTCTTGCAGGCACCAAACTACCATCACACTACCCAACAGAATCCAAAAGCCGGAAAGTCATGAAATCGGCGACGCCTGAAACATGTGCACTGAAAACCGCCACGTGCCTCCTGGGATTTTGGAGGTGATGAAGAAACTCTCACGCGCCAGCTTCAAATCTGCAAGGGCCTGTGGCCAGTTGCTCCAGCTGCCTACAAATGTTTATGTTCGGAGCAGGGAGCAACCATGATGTTGTAAAATGTCGTCCCAAATTAGTTGACTTCACATTTCAATGCATTTCAGTTTTCCTTTTTTCTTTTAATCCTTTTTTGTAGTTTCCTGGTTTCCAAGAGCTTCGCTTCCGAAATTCGAAGTGCAAGGCTGGCTTTAGCAGCTAGACACCTCGCCGACACCCAGCTGGTTCTCGTAGCTGGTGGCCGTGTCAACATGCCTCCACCACTTTGGCAACATGCAGCTGGCTGGGCGACCACCCCATACATCAACATATATTGCATGGATATGTGATATATTTATTTATCTGTTTGATTCTGTTTGTTTGTTTTTGTTTGCTTGTTTGTTTGTTTGCTTGCTTGCTTGGTTGTTTGTTTGTTTGCTTGCTTGCTTGTGTGTTTGTTTGTTTGCTTGCTTGCTTGTTTGTTTGTTTGTCTGTGTGTCTGTGTGTCTGTGTGTCTGTGCCTGTCTGCCCTGTCTGTGTCTGTCTGTGCCTGTCTGTGCCTGTCTGTGCCTGTCTGTGCCTGTCTGTGCCTGTCTGCCCTGTCTGCCCTGTCTGCCCTGTCTGCCCTGTCTGCCCTCCCTGTCTGCCCTGTCTGCCCTGTCTGCTCTGTCCCCTGTCTGCCCCATCTGCCCCGTCTGCCCTGTCTGCCCTGTCTGCTCTGTCTGCCCTGTCTGCCCTGTCTGCCCTGTCTGTCCTGTCTGCCCTGTCTGCCCTCCTGCCCTGTCTGCCCTGTCTGCCCTGTCTGCCTCGTCTGCCCCGTCTGCCCCGTCTGCCCCGTCTGCCCTGTCTGCCCGTCTGCCTGTCTGCCTGCCTGTTTGTTTCTTTGTTTCTGTGTTTCCTTGTTTCCTTGTTTCTTTGTTTCTTTGTTTTTTGTTTCCTTTCTTTCTTTCTTTCTTTCTGTCTTTCTTTCTTTATATATCTCTTTATTTCTTTATTTCTTCTTTCTTTCTTTATTTCTTTCTTTGTTTGATTGATTCTTTGATTCTTTGTTTCTTTCTTTCTTTCTTTGTTTCGTTGTTTCTTTGTTTCTTTGTTTCTTTATTTCTTTGTTTCTTTGTTTCTCTGTTTCTTTGTTTCGTTGTTTCTTTGTTTCTTTGTTTCTTTATTTCTTTGTTTCTCTGTTTCTTTGTTTCTTTGTTTCTCTGTTTCTTTTTTTGTTTGTTTCTTTGTTTCTTTGCTTATTTGTTTCTTTGTCTCGTTGTTTCGTTGTTTCTTTGTTTCTTTGTTTCTTTGTGTCTTTGCGTCTTTGTGTCTTTGTGTCATTGTGGCATTGTGGCATTGTGTCTTTGTCTTTCTGTCTGTCTGTTTGTCCGTCCGTCCGTCCGTCTGTCTGTCTGTCTGTCTGTGTTTCTTTGTTTCTTTGTTTCTTTCTGTCTTTCTTTCGTTATTTCTTTCTTTTCTTTCTTTCTTTGTTCGTTTCTTTCTTTCGTTCTTTCTTTCTTTCTTTCGTTCTTTCTTTCTTTCTTTCTTTCTTTCTTTCTTTGTTTTCTGTTTGTGTGTTTCTTTGTTTGTGTGCTTCTTTGTTTCTTTGTTTGTTTGTTCGTTCGTTTGCTTGCTTGTTCGTTCTTTCCTTTGCTTGCTTGCTTGTTCGTTCGTTCGTTTGCTTGTTTTCTTGGTTGCTTGGTTGCTTGCTTGCGTGCTTGCTTGCGTGCTTGTTTGCTTGTTTGCTTGTTTGCTTGCTTGTTTGTTTGCTTGTTTGCTTGTTTGTTTGCTTGCTTGCTTGCTTGTTTGTTTGCTTGTTTGCTTGTTTGTTTGCTGGTTTGCTTGCTTCTTTGCTTGCTTCTTTGCTTGTTTGCTTGTTTGCTTGTTTTGTTTGCTTGTTTGCTGTTTGCTTGTTTCCTTGTTTGCTGTTTGTTTGTTTGTGTGTGTGTGTTTGTGTGTTTGTCTGTTTGTGTGTTTGTGTGTTTGTTTGTTTGTTTGTTTGTTTGTTCGTTCGTTCGTTCGTTCGTTCGTTCGTTCGTTCGTTCGTTCGTTTGTTTGTTTGTTTGTTTGTTGCTTGCTTGCTTGCTTGCTTGGTTGGTTGGTTGTTTGTTTGTTTGTCAACTGTTTTTTGTTCCAGCCAGAACATAGTAAGTCATCCAAATGTACAATACTTTCCCGTTCAGAGACATAAAACTGCCATGCTGCTCGACGGCAAGACGGCCTGTAGCCCAGATGAAAGGCTGAAGTCACAGCATCTTTTGCAACGCTATTGTTGTACCTTGGTCAACTCAATTTGGTTCCGTCGTGGTCCTTTGTGGCGCACGTGGCACAAGAAGTGGCGATTTTGCTCAAAGCATCGACATCAACTCGCAGGACGACCCGTCTGGATTTGCAAACAATAGAGACACAGCCTCAAGGCCCATCTCATTCCCTACTTAAACATTGTCGTACCTGGTTGAATCTGATGAATTGAGTGTCTCTCCAAAATGGTAGAGACTAGCCAAACAGTGGTTTCGTCGCGAGTGTCTTACATGTGATTCAAAACATAGTTGCCATTAAATCAGGTAGATCATTGGGTCAGAAAAGTTGCAGACTGCAAGCAAAATGGTAGATCTTAGGGAAAACCCAAGAATTTGGGGGTTCTACTGTGCTTTAACTGGCTTTAACACTTTAAAGCATTCAAATCTATCTACAAAACCACACAACCAATTTCTCCAAGTGGCAGCCAGGTACCAATACCCAGCAGTGGCATTTGCACTGGACCATGGACACCCCTGATTGTCACAGCCTCGGTGCACCAGGTCGGTAAGAGTACTAAGAGTACTATTCAAATCTAACATGGTTGGAAGCTCCACCTGGTGTCGTTAATACATCGGTTCATATTTGTTTGCCTATCGCAGACAGATGGGAAAGTTATGCCAGGTGGATGATTTTAAATGTTAAATGATTTTCCTGCGGAAGACAGGAAAATGATGTTGGCATGTTGGCCAAAGGTTAGAGCTTGCAAACTGCCTGGTTGGAGGAATTCTTTGGACCACTAGCAATCACAGTTCATTGGTCTTTGGTGCGATACGGATAGCGTAGCAATGAAAATGCCAATGAAATGTCGTTGTCGGTTGTCCGCTCCACTACCTAAATATTAGGCAAATATTAGGCACCACTGAACACCATGTTGTCCACATTTCAAGGCTCGGACTGGCACGGACGATGCACCTGGCTAAGAAAAAGACACGGAAACCCCAAGAATTGTATACAGCATTTTACAACCCCCAGGCACAACAGCAGTGTGAGGCGATGTGGACCATGGCAATATATGGCAAGATGATGCAAGATGCTGCAAGATGATGTAAGATATACATGTCCACCATGTCCTAGCCTGCCAAGGCCCAGGGCAAAAGGCATAAAGCCGCTGACAAATGCCTCAAGTGTCAGCACTGATCTGCTACCTCAAACAAACCGGACAAAGAAGTGAGAGGATAGCATACAAATCCAAAGGATAAGAATTGTTTCTTGCATTACTTGCTCTAGATCGTTCCTTGACTTGACTCTTGACAGATCATCAATGCATACAGTACAGCAATTCCCTCTCTTCATATCCTTCATATCCTTCAGCTTCTCTTTCTTGCTGCCCTGGTGCATCGTCCACAACAGGGAGGTGCCGTCCCACTGTTTCACGCAAGGGATAAGCTTTCGAGCAAAAATGGCAGAACCATCCGGTCGCTGGAGCATTGGTTCAATCTGAAACTAGTGGTAAAGTCAGAATCAGCGAAGTTGTACCAAAGCAAAAATTTAGCGCCGAGTGCCGAAGCCAACAGGTTTCACGAATTCCACGCTGGTTCTGAGCCATCTAAAAAACAGCAAGGAGACCGCCGTGACCCATCCGCACCTCGAATGGAAAGTCTTTGAAGATCTCTAACTCAGAGCCCTGCCATCTGCATCAATCTGCAGAATGGAAAGCCATCAGGCCCCGTCCTATAGATTTGGGCTGAGAATCCCACTCCCCTGGATAGAAGCGCGCTGATGCCAAACATGCAAACAAGATCAAATAAGAATGCATGATACATCTCAAATTTCCACTTGGACACGCTGGACATGCTTATGATGCCCTGACCAGGCCCTCGTTCACAAGGCCAACCACTAGGTGACAACGAACCCAAACCAACCTCTGCATCAACAGACCTAAGGCCAAGAGTGGCTCAAGAAAGTGGGAAAAGTCTACGAATCTCTGTATAGATTGTTGAACCCGACAGAAAATCGAGAAATAGATCCTCAAATCCTCAAATACTTATTCTGAATGGCATGCACCCTGTTTCTGAGCCATGCCCCGGTATTAGAAACGACATTCAGCAGTGCTGCCAGATCCAATTCCTGAAGAAACGGTTTGTACCCACATCTTGGCAAGTGACCATCTTCAAGACAGTGTGTATTATAGAGCGTTCCTTGATTGCAGACATCCACACAACAATAACAATAAAAATGGTCTTGCATAGTGCCAGCTGGACCTAGGCGGTAATCTGAAGTGGCTTCAAGTTGCTGATCCAGGCACTTAGTAACGACATCAGATCTGAGTATTCTGGCAGAAGGTCCACCCTCGGCTTCTTGCGGTTCTCCAAAATGTCTGCCACCTCTGGCATTGCAACCAATGGCGTTCCGATGTTTAGAGCGATTCGTCTTCATTGGTGGATGCTAGCAAGAACTGGATTGTTCCGTTCCTTAAAAAAAATTACTCTGGATGACTCTGGAACCAATGCCTTTGAAATAGTGCCAAATGCATGGAAGGTTGACTGCTCCACACGTCTTTGACTCACATTTCACCTTACCAAGCACTTGAAATCTGCAAGAAAGTCCACACTTGACTCCTATAAAATCCTATAAATACAGGGAGGCTTTCGGCGATGGCAGGCCTCTTGCAACATCGGAGACAAATTCCCTCAAAATCCACCCCATGTGAGTGGTCAAATCTGAGTGGAGTTCTCCGTTCCATGGCCGTTGGAAAGCTATCTGTATCTGGTCACATCCAGTCAGATGCTGTCCGATTCGGACCCTGTCTCCGTGTTGTCATCACCCCGTTGTCGTCACGTCGTCGTCACGTTGTCGTCCCGTCCGCGCCTCTGAATGGTTCAGTAGCTGACCCAAGCCTTCGAGCATCAGCTGATGCAAAGAATCACACCGCGCCTGTAGCAGTGGCATCTGGTGTCTCTGGTCATGGGCCGAGAATCTCCTTGAAAGCAGTAACATGAGTCGCCTTTACTGTTTACAATTCGAAATTGAAGGGCCAACCAAAGTAAGCAAAGTTCAAGAGCTACAACAAGGGATGCACCTTTTTTGCACCAAAACCAGAAAGCACACTGGCAGGTTCATGCCATATCACTGCTATAAAACAAGTGCAGCGCAAAGGCAGCTGCAGGGATTGTAACTGCGGAATGAAAGCACTAGAATGAAGTGTCTTCCACACATCATTCCCATCATCTGAGCTTTTTGAACTTTGCCCTTTTCCTATCTGCTAGCTGGTTTCAATGACATTGATATTCAGCGTTGAAAAACTGCCTTCCAAATCTTGCGTTCGAACTCTCCAGTTGCAGGAGGCGAACGATTTGGCAGCGTACTGCAGGACTGCACGGCGCTACCAATCCACTGGCTGGAAATTTCGCAGCAAGCAGCCAGTCACAGGCTGGTTCCCATTCCTTGAGTTCTTGGGCGCCCAAGCACAGAATGTTCAAATATGTTCACCATATCAGGGGGTTCAACCCCTTTTTTGAGGAATCGAGAATGTAATTCGGAAATTTACAAACACAAGTCTTGGGAGGCGGGGGTGGTGGTGATATTGACATCAGGGTTTTCTGAAGACTGAAATTCTTTGGTTTGCAGCTCCCAAATGCATACAAATTGGCTATTATAGAGTGTATGAGTTCTTGTAGTTCGACATTTTGCCAAAAGCACACATCTAAGCAACTGTTCACTCAGCAGGCTGCGCCAAGGATCAAAGTGCTCAAAATGGGATCTAACACCCGGGCAGCGCCATCTTCTGTGCTCAAGGGTGGGGAGGACTGGACATGCGGCTCCTGAGCCACTCTACAGTCACCAACTGTCCAGGATTCTCACTGCCACAAAATCCACAAAATCCACAACCACATTCCACCCCTTCCAGGCCCCTTCCACACTATTTCCAGCAAGTCTCGGTTTCTGCCACGGGGTCTGGCTTCCTTGCGTCAGGCGTTTGGCAGGTGCATGCTGGTGTCAGAAACCTGGTGCAAGCCTAGTGGCATCTTGGAAATCCAGCCGGTGTCCACGGAAACCACTGCAACACCTGCAAATGCACCCAATCCACACAACTGGTGTTTGATCAGAAGCAACATGTTGGTCTCTTACGGCATCGCACTCAAGCTCTAGGAATCTATTGTCCCTCCTGCTTGTTTGCTTGCTTGCTTGCCTGCCTGCCTGTCTATCTGTCTGGCTGTCTGGCTTCTCTAACATGATCATTTGGAAGTGCCTACGGCTATGTGGCATATGTTTTGCAAACAAGTGCTGTGAGCTGACAAGCAGGAGAATGACCACTGAACTGCAAGCATTGCGTTTGGCATCAGTGTACCTTACTGACTGATTCCCGTGTTTCTAATCCGAACCAAGTCATCCGTGCATCATATCCGAGTCAAGGTTGGGATCAGAATCTGCACTGCGAATCCAATGAACCAATGCCTTACACAATGTAGCATGTTTGAAAACTCCCACACTTCAATATATGATGAGTGCTCATCCGAAGGGAAAGGAGCACGAATTTTGGAATCAAATGTTCCGGTCCGTGATCCTGACAGTGATGTACGCGGCTGCAAGCACCCCTGCCTTCTTTGCTGAACTCATCAGCCACAGAACAGGTCATCATGTTGAGCGATGCTTTGGCCATATTCGTGTGCGGATGGTTGCCACCTGCACTTTATCCCGCCCTTGGAAGGATGTGTTGGGATGTCAACAGCATCAGGACCTCTAGATCTGTTGCAAAGGTATTCTCTTCAAGAGAACATCCAGAAAGTACAACGCTTCAAGGCCTTTGTTTCCCAGTGATCTGAAAGAGCCTTCCTGAGATGTCACATTCCTCAGCTTCAAGCGGCTTTGAATGCTGCAAAAGCACAAAAGCGGGAAGTGGGGAACCCAGAGCCTCTTGCCTGTAGAGCACTGTAGAGGCTCCTGCTACTTGTTGTATCTTGTTGCCAGTTACGATTGGCTCTTTTTTTGGTCTGTCTTGATCTGCCTCTCAAGAAGACGTTTCCAGTGCACAACAGGGAGGTTATCCCGAGGATGTGCTGTCTTGGGAGAAAACATGGGTACTCGGTAGCATTTGCTTGCAGCTTGCAGTCCACTATGATGGCGGGGGACATGCCTCCAGTGCTGAACTCTCGCCCGCGCCCCACCAAAGAATGCAGAACAAGTAACACAACGAAGCCTTAGATGAACCCGCGCCCATACATTCGCATGAAAGCTTGATGAACACATGGGGGACTTACATATCAAAGGTCCAGCAGCACATCAGGCAAAGAACGTTGGAATATGTTGAGTTGAAATTATATTGGAATTATCCTTGCAAGAGATACCTTGTTCTGCTCGTTGCGCACCCTGGTCGACCTAGCTGGACCTAGCCGGACCTTGCTGGACCTTGCTGGAGCTGCAGCCTACCAAAACGCCCAGCGGCGCATTTGTCGGGCACTTGCTAACTTCACCTCTGTTGACAAGGTCGAAACCCTCCGCTTCGTAAAGACCTCAGATTCTTGCGAATCTTTGGAGAATAGTTCTAGTATGTTGATGTATGTTGTAACATTGTAGGATCTTACAGGATCTCAAGACTTGTCTGAAGTGAGTCCATGATCTTGTGTCCTTTGACTCCTTTGATAGATTGCATTCAGATGCACTCAGATCATTCAGCAAGAAACTCGCTGCAACTCTGGCAGAATGACTTGCCAAGTGGCCCCTGTGTCTGGCGAAGATAGCAAATCCTTGGCGTCAATTGACTGAACGCAACATGCACAAACAACAACGACGAGCTTACCCCTCCAACTGTCTCAAATCATTGGCCATTCAGGTTACAGTATCTCATCATATATCATCTACGTGTGTTGGCGGCTAATTTTGGAAAGGAACATCTGCAGTTCCCAGTACCCAATCTTTCCCGATAAATCTTTTGGTCCAAAAGGCACTTGCACCGATTTCAACCTGCACTCCAAGCGGGCGTGCTGATGCTGCGTCGGGAGGAACCTCAGACAGTGATGTTGGTGAACCTGGCAATCTGGCAGGGACTGTTTCCGGAATTTCCGATGCCGCTCGACTAATTAGACAGTTGTGAGGGTTGCAGGCACAGAGGTGAAGTTCGACATACTCACCAAAAAAAAGATTGCAGGAAGAGGTCTTGCCCAAGGAATGCAATGCCGCGACACACAGCCATCACTGGGCATCACTGGGCTCCGCACCAACGACCCGCCAAAGGTATGCATCACTTTCAAAGGCTCGTCCTGCTGCTTGGGCTTACTTTCAGAATCTTTCAGCATGATAGCTGCGACTGACTTCAACTGACTTCAACTGACACCGTGACAGCCACATCAAGTGATTGACAGAACTGCTGTACTGGAGATGTTGCAGGACTAGTTCCCTGATATGTTCCGAATCCAGGCTGTCGTTGGGATTGGGTCCATTGATTCCTACGCATTCGTGAATTTGGACCTGCAGCACCAGCTCTGTGTGTGTGTTGGTTTCAAAAGTATCGAGACATTGGAACCCTCCAACATCATCAGCATCCCATTCACAACATTTCACAACATTTCACAACTAGGAAGGTCGGATAGTTGGCGCTGTGCCAAAGGCAATGGACTCCTTTACCAGCAAGGAAGATTTCAATTTGCTCAGCAGAACGAAAGGCGCTGTCACCTCGGAACAGAAGTAACGACCCGAAAGGTGTCACAAAAAAACACAAAGAGCTGCCGTCATGACGTGACCTTTACAGCTATCCTGGCTAATTCCTGGCTATCCTTCACATTCTTTGCCTCTACATTGCCACGCTTCACGCGAATTCCAAGAAACTCAAATCCGAACTCTGTCTTTGGAGCTTTCCCATACATTTCCATACATGTCCTAGGAATTGCAAACCTTGGTTCCCCAAGTTCAGTTTATAGCTCCAGAACTTGCCCACTTTCCATCACTTTCCCCAGGATGTGTTAGGACAAGAAGCGTTCACCACCTGCACTTCCAAACTTTCCACCCAGGAGACGTCGCCAATTTTGGCCGTCCAACTGGTTTCAGTTCTATCATCCTACCAAATCAAACGCATTTTTTTGCAAAGTGATGGCGACAAAACCTCCTATCCCTCCCTTTTCTTTGTCTCGATCCTGTGAACTCTCGCAACTTTGTAGCAATTTCAATTCCATTCCAATTCGACAGAATTTGACCAAATTCAACAAAGAATTCAACAAGCATGGTATGTCTTCGTCTTCAAAGAATTCCTGGCACCTTCATCTCCTCAACAAGGCCTGGAGCCCTGGCCACCGTAGAACTTGTGCTAGGGTCATCCCCAATCATCGCTATGGGCTCTCGCAAGCCTTCCTGGGTGACACTGCTGGATCTGAGACATTATGATTTAACAATGTTTAACAAATATGTTATATCACTTCAAGTCCTTGCGCACTGGACTCAAGTCATCCCAAGTCATCTCAAGCCATCTCAAGTCATCAAGTTCATAGGAATTCATGGATTTTTTTTGCGGTGCCAGGTCTGGCTGTCTTGACTCTGGTGACCAGATGTGACCGAGACCAGCATCTAAAGACTTCAGATCAGCCTGCTGCTTGATGCACGATTCCTTGGCGCGCAGTCAGAGCCCATCCCCATTGAATGTCAACTCTCCATCGTCTGTTTCTGAGCCAGAATTTCGTCACATGCAACCAAATTGTTGCCTTGAGTGCCCAGAACCTAGCTTTGAATGTTTCTTGGTACCAATTAGCTCAGAGAAACTCTAAAGGCATGAGTCGCCTTCATGTGGTTGCATGATCTTGCATGCCAAAATCCCGAACTTCAGGGGTCAACTGATGATTCAAGATATCTGCAGCGTCTAGAAATGTCTAGTCGACTATGAGTCTCGTCTAGAATTCTATCGAGTTTAATATAGTTTTACTCTAGACGTCAACTCCTTGGAAGCATTGCCGAATTGCCGAATTGCCAAATCCAAGGAACCAAGCGCTCCTCAAGCACGAGCATCTCCCCTTGAAGCAGCTGAGCATAGTGCGCAGCAGGGCGGCGCACGGTCTGCGCTGCGTTATTGATCAAAATGTCCAACCGGGGAAAAGCTAAGGCCTCACGGTAGGTAGGGCAAGGTAGGGCAAGGTAGGGCAACATAGGGCAATGTGCAGCTGGGTGCGGGTGCAACCAATGTCTTCTAACAATTGGTGGATTTCAGAATTTCGGAAGGCATTGGTTTGGGGCGTGACGCTGCCAGAGTGGCAGCCACTTGAGTTGCCGAGCTTCCAGTTTCTCTCCCAGCTGCGACACCAAGGGGACTGAGCGGAAGTCGGAGCCATAGACCTGTGTTTCCCAAATGGCTGAGAAATGAGCACAGATTTTCTGGCACCTGGTTTATTTCGCGATGGTGGTGTCCAAATTCAAAGCAGCAGTTGGAATTAATTTTGGGTCTACTGGTTTTCTCATGTGTCAAAACCTCGAGGCCTGTGAGGAAATAGCTAAGGCACTGATAGCCGCGGCAACCATTCAGCTGCATCCTGCAGCCATCCAAGGGTAACAGGTCCAACATATATAATTGGAAAATGGACATCCAATCTTTGGCACGCTCCCTTTGCGCGACACTGCAATGACATTAGCCCGGCAAGAGACCCCAAACAGTGTGGGGGAGTAAAAGGATAATGCATTCTAGTGTTGAGGGTGATGTTAATTGATGTTGATGATGATGGTGATGATGATGATGATGATGATGGTGATGGTGATGCTGATGATGATGAAGATGATGATGATGATGATGATGATGTTGATGTTGAGGAGGAGGAAGATGATGATGTTGAGGAGGAGGAAGATGATGATGTTGAGGAGGAAGACGGATCCCAAGACCAGGAAGCACACTCTGCGAGCCTGCGCAGTCGAAATGCAGACGGACATTGCACAAGAGCCATTTTGTCTGGAAAATTACAAAACAAATGGCCGTGGACATCTCCAGGGACATCGTTTTGTGCGAGCGCGCAGTCGAAATGCACATGGACATGTCACAAGAGGCATGTTGTGCGGTAATTTACAGGGAAAATGCCGGACCCGTATCCCGCGACACCCGTTTTGTGCGAACCTGCACATGGACATGTCACAACAGGAATTTTGTGCAGAAATTTACAGGGAAAATGCCGGATGCTTCCGATACCACCTCAATTGAACACCGGGCCTTAACACCTACCGTAAGAACCCCTCAGTGTGGACACACTGTTTGGGGAACCTTCGGGTTTCCAAAACAAAAGAGACCTGATCCCGGTCCTCCTCTTGACTGTAGCGTCTTAAGCAATCCTTTGGAAAGCGGGTGGTCACTGCAACCGTCGCACCCATACGCAGAAGTTTCAAGGCTGTTGCAAAACCGATGTTCACGCCTCAGATGAGAAGGATGTTGTGGCAAGTGTGTGGATGTTGCTTTCAGTTAGCTGTTGACTTGGCAAGATGTGATAATCATTCAGAAAGAACGCTAACCCCGTTTTGGTCTTTTGCTTTTGATATGACTTTTACGACTCTAAACCTCTCCCTCAAATTGCACGTGACGTCTGTCCAGGGGTGCCACTTCATATAAAAGACATCCTTGGAAACAAGGAGATAGATATATAGCTTAGCTCAATTCGAAAGGTCGCTGCTGCAAACATGATGGGACGGTACGTGCCAGGCACACGACCGAACGTACGACCGAACGCACGACCGAACGTACGACCGAACGACCGAACGCACGACCGAACGTACGATCGAACGACCGAACGTACGACCGAACGTACGACCGAACGACCGAAACGTACGACCGAACGATCAAAAGCGTACGACCGAACGACCAAGAGGATATAACATATAATATTTTAATATTGTCATTATCCAAACCAATATTTCAATACATGATTTATGTTTTTTAATATCCGGTGAGGGGCTGTTGTCAGCGGAAGGCTTGTTACATGATTAAAAAAAGGGAGGGACCTGCTGTGAGCAGCAGAACGTTGAGATATGTTTTGTTTTTTGCAAATCCTAGATAAATTAATCCAGATATGAACAATTGCACTCTTAAGCACATATTTTTAACCCAACTATGTACTCAAAATTGCCAAATCCATAAGGTTAGATTTTAATTCAGATACAATCTAACTCCATGCAATTCCCATGCACAATCATATTCATATTTCTTGTTGAAGAGTCACCTTGTGAATTATGTTGTTCTTATTGAATTGAATGCAATTAAACAGATACATCAGAGGCAAAAGGCAAAGGCCCGAAATTGTAAGTACACACAATTCAGGAATACGAAGATTGAATTAAATATATGTGCGCCTTGATATCATTAAAATAGTTGCCTGAACCCTTCCACGATCCCTTGCAAAATATCACGGTTTTTGTCTCAAAGATGCAGGGGGTCTTAAAAAGGGAAATAGATCCTTCCCTTGAAGGGAAACATGTGTCCATAATATTTAGCATGACTTTTACATGATAGTGCATTCCTGTTCTAAAATGTAATTTATTATTAAATGCAACAATGAAGTGTCCCCTGTTCGTAAAGAAGCATGTTTCATTCAATTGCATTCTTCCTTTGAGAAAGTACAATGTTTTTCAATACCCCTAAAAACTATGGAGGAATCCTCTGAAAGATGCAGCATCCCTTTTAAAAGAAACCCACCCCTTCAAGCAGGCAATATTCCTGTGCCATATGTAGCGTGCTTTTCAATTTACAGCCGCCTTTTTAATATGCAGAATTCATGTCAAACAGTGCAATACCCAATGCACCAAAGCAATATTTATTCCTTGAAAATCCTGCAACGCAAAGATGACTATGTTGCGTGCACATAGCAGTTTTCCCATGGGATTACACAGCATTCTTGTCAAGAAGCCATGCTCCTGCAAAAAAAAACTTGACACATGGAATATTCCTGTTGAAAAGGCTCAGTCTTCCTTGTTTGTTGTTTCTAAAAACCCATTCACCTTTTGGGGAAAGATTTCATTTATTCAATATGAAAGACTTGTGCTCTCTTCTTAGTCAATTGTTTCTATCATTTTGCACAGGGTACTTCCCAGAATAATTCCTTAGACTCCAACCGAAAGCCGTCTTATTTCAGAAAAGGTGCTGCGTATGTAAAAGGATTGCATGTGGAATGGAAGTTCAATTTCATAGGATAATATTGCATCTCCCTCGAGGAGTTTTATTTTTTGAGGAGAAAAAACAACAACTTCCCACCCATTCTTCAAAGAATACCAAACTTTTTTTGATAAAAGGACCACTATATACGCACAATAACTCCAGCTTGAAATTTGAAATGATGTTTTAATGTTTGAGGAAAACTTGCACCTTTTTCAAAAAATAAAGATGATGCAAGTTCTTGAAGGAAATATTCCAAATCATTATAAACATGCACTTCAAAGAATGCCATTGTCACCAAAAAAACATGGTACACACAAACGGTTCTTAATTTGAAATGGTGTTGGAATCTGTTAACAGAAGGCCCCATTTTTTATGAAACTATGCAATCTTTCAAAGGGAATGCAGGAAATCGGGCCACACTTTCTTTACGGAATATCACATTCTTTGAAAAATATGACTTGGCGTTATGATACATATTGGAAAATATTATGTAAAAATGCCGAACCCATGTCCCAACTGCTCTTCGTCTGCTTTATTTTGTTTCATTCTCTTCGGCATTTGTTTTGACAAGTGCCACATTCTTCAGAAAACTAGACGAGAATAGATGAAATACAAAATTACCCTCAACCCATGCCCAAGTCTCTGAACATCTGATTTTGCTAATTTGGGGGACAAGAAGCCCAGACTAGCAGGAGTCACGACATATAACTGGATTAATCAGGGTTAATCCAAATTCATCTGAATCAGACCAAAACCTCGAGAAAACAAAAAGAAGCAAATATTTGGCAACTAGTCCAGAGGTCAGAGTGGTTGTTTTTTGAGTTTTTTTTTAGTGGTCTGGATTAAACTAATCAGGGTTAACTTGGGTCGAAGTGAGACAGACCAGAGCGTTGAGGTGCCAGACACATGCTTTTGTGAAGAGACGTGCGATAGGATAGCCTACATTCAGAACGAACTGTTGTTGTGAGTGTGAGTTTCTTCATTGAATGTCCAACCAAAAATTTGGAAAAAACCGCTCACAACAGGTTTTTCCGAACAAAAAACACTCTATGTGTGTTTTTAGTTGGTCGTACGTCCGCACATTCACATGTCCGTTCGGTCGTACGTATTACGGTCGCTCGGTCGTACGCTTTTGGTCCTTCGGTCGTACGTTTCGGTCGTTCGGTCGTACGTTCGGTCGTTCGGTCGTACGTTCGGTCGTACGCTTTTCGGTCGTACAAAAATAGTGCCTCATTTAGTGCCTCATGAGGCACTAAATGAGGCACTATTTTTGTACGACCGAAAGCACGAATACATATTTTAAATTGGCCTGACTGAACGACCGAAACCCTGTACGAGCGTACGTGCGGAGTGTACGTGCATACGTGCATGCGTACGTACGTGCGTACGTGCGTACGTGCGTGCGTACGGACGATCTGACATGTAAACATCACTGCTGCCTTAAGTAATTATAGTTGTTTTGGGGTAGGGGTCACATACTATGTTTTTTCTATTATTTTGAATGTTTGCCATTTCCAAGAGGGGTTAAGATAGTGTCAAGCCTGCGCCAAAATAATGTTCAATGGGAGGGTTATTTCAGTGGGGTCAGACCCCGGTAAAATTACGTGCAGCGTGATGGAAAAAATTAGATGAAATTAGTTCGAACTATTTTTATGGATATTCCATCCCTTAAACAATTATGCGGTATCAAACAGGTTCTGGAAGTGGGTATTATTTTGAATTAATCTTAATTGAAAAAATCCTAAGGGGTAGATCTGCGGATGTGCTTGATGAAATATGTGAATCATGATCCAACCCCTCAACATACCCTGGAATAATTAGGTTTTGGAATAAATTTATATAATTTTTTATTTGATCAAAAAAACACCTATATTGCCTTCTCCCCTTGGGAATTCCTGCAAAATGGTGTTCATCCATCATCTTCATCACTGGTTCTTTCCTACATATTTCCCAATTTCTCATACTTCCCCCTATTTCTCCCATGTTGCCCTCTCCATCTCCCTCCAAGAAATTCTCAATGGCTTGTGGAGATCAACAAGTGCTAGGTTTTTCATGGTTTTTGCAGCTTCTGGGCTAGTCGGGTGTGGCTGCCCACTTTCGTTTTTGGAGAATACGTTTCTGTCAAATTCCCTTTATTTCACTCCCAAGAATTCTCAATGTGGTGAAAAGTAATGGGAAAGGGCAAGCGTTCGGTTTTTATAGGTTTTTGACGTTTTTCCCAGCTTCTGGGCGAGTTGGGTGGTTCTGGCAGTTGCCCCCTCTGGTTTTTGAGGAGTGCAGGGCATCTCCAATACCCCCAGAATTATGTTTCTCCTTGGGAAATCCCACAAAATGGCATTCAACGTGGCTGTTTCCCAGTGGTTTTCTCAACCTTTTTCTCCGATATTCTTTTCATTTCCCCCCAGAGAACCCTTGATGGGAATGAGTGGAAAAGGGTAAGCATTCGTTTTTTCTGCTTTTTTGACGTTTTTTCGGGCTTTGGGCGAGTTGGGTGGTTCTGGCAGCTGCCCCCTGTGGTTTTTGGGAAGTGCAGGGCACCCCCATACCCTTAGAATAATTTTCTTCCTTGTGACATCCCAGAAAATGGTATTCAACCTGGCTCTTTCCTAGTTGTTTTCCCAACCTTTTTCTCCGATATTTTTTCATTTCCTTCCAGAGAACCCTTGATGGGAATGAGTGGAAAAGAGCAAGCATTCGGTTTTTCTGGGTTTTTAACGTGTTTTCCAGCTTCTGGGCGAGTTGGGTGGTTCTGGCAGCGGCCCCCTCTGGTTTTTGAGGAGTGCAGGGCATCTCCAATACCCCCAGAATTATGTTTCTCCTTGGGAAATCCCACAAAATAGTATTCAACCTGGCTCTTTCCTAGTTGTTTTCCCAACCTTTTTCTCGGGTATTCCTTTCATTTCCCTCCAAAGAACCCTCGATGGGAATGAGTGGGAAAAGGCAAGCATTCGGTTTTTCTAGATGTTTGACGTTTTTTCCAGTTTCTGGGCGAGTTGGGTGGTTCTGGCAGCTGCCACCTTTGATTTTTGAGGAGTGCACTGCATCTCCTATATCCTTAGATATTTTTGTTTAAGAAAGTTTTTGGCTGCGGGTTGCAAGTTTTGATGCTTTCTTGGTGCAACTTAAAGTGAGGGAGATTCTGCCAAGACTAAACAGAGAGCAGACATGATCGATCCAAAAAACAATTTGAAGCAACATAAAAACAAATAACACACTTTTGCACAACCAACATTGTTGATTATTGATGATGTACTTCGTGATTTTCTTCAATTCAGCTTTGGTGAGGCTACACAATGCTACGTATCCCCTTTTGTCGTTTTATTTTTGAGAGGGGTATCCTTCTGTTAGATATTATTCCAGAATCCCATATACCTCATTGAGTTCTGTTTTTTTTTGAGATTTCAACTCAAGGTATGCCAGAACAATTCTTTATTATTCATTTCTGAGGTATATTGACGGGGCATACTCTTTAGGCATCCCTCATATTTTGATTTTTTTTTAGAAGGTTGAGTTGCAGTGAAAGGTGAGAAGGGGGAATGGAGGGATGGAAACTTGGCATGTGGCAACCCTTTGCCAAAATATGTCAAAGGGGATCCCCCCAAAAAAAACATATTCGGGAAATACATTTTGAGGGGGGAGGTAGGAAGGGAAATTATTTCCAAGTAGTCCCACCTGACGCTGTGAAACCCAACTTACGTCAACCCACTTTGACATGATAATGTTTTTTTGGGGGGCATTGAGATATAGGAGTGATATGTAAACATTTATAACCCAAAGCGCCAATGCATGTTTGTTTCATCACCGGTCAAACATACACCCCACATCTTTTGCCCGTACGCCCCACACATCTTTTACCCGTACTCCCCACATCTTTTGCCCTTTCGCACGTTCGCCCGTGCGTTCGCCCGTACGTTCGCCCGTACGTTCGCCCGTACGTTCGCCCGTTCGCCCGTGCGTTCGCTCGCGCGCCCCCTCGCACGCCCCCTTTTCGCACGTTCGTACGCACGTCCAACCCCCCTCGTTCAATACGTCCAAAAATGTTTAAAAATCCTCATTAGCGACTTCTTGAATATAGCTAATATATAGCTCTCAAAGATTGAGTGTTGCAAAGTTAGGATGACAATGTTGGTTGATCAGCGCTACCGAACACCACTGGCCCAGCCACGCCCACCAGTTACGACTGCGGTCTTGCCCGTCAAATCCGCCACCTGCGAATGATTCAGCTTACCGAGAAAACATGGGCCCAAGTTGTTTCTCTTGGTGAAAGTTTGCCGTTGAAATTCTTTCTCTCCTGCTACAGAATAGAAAAATATGGAAGAAATGTTGGAGAAAAATGAGAAAACAAGTCTTGAAGATTCAAGTGATTAAAGTGATGAAAGCCGCCTGCTGCCGCTTCTGCGCACTCAATACTTCGCAACACGCGCACAGCCGCGGTCGCTCAGCAAAGGTGCCCGAAGGGTCGATTCGCAGGCGGCACATATAGCATCGGGGCCTTGGGAGAGATCGGACCATGAGGCCATGAAGCCATGAAGCCATGAAGCCCTGAAGCTTAAAAAAAAGACAGAGTCCAGATGAGTCCGGCCAGGGTCCAGGTTCCTTGGCGCGGTTGGCTTGACCAAGAATAACAAGAAACCCTGCAGAGCCCCACCTCTTCATCAACATTCACAGATTGGCACTTGAGGCCAGCAGGGAGGTACGAAAGCTAGCAGGGCTGGGGTAGGGTCGTAATCGTATAAGGGGAACAGCAGGGTGAAGTCGAAATGCAGCAAGGGTCTCACGCGGCTTTTTTGGAGTTGCTGCAAGTCACAAACGGCTGCAAGTCACAAATAGTGCCATTCTTTTGATGTTGATGAGGTTGCTGACCAGAACGATGAAGGAAACTGATGATGACGAAAGTGATGGTAACAGGAATGAGTTAATGACGACGATGATGAGCACGAAGAGGATGATGAGGATGAAGATGATGAGGATGATGAGGATGAAGATGATGAGGATGATGAGGATGATGGGGATGATGAGAATGATGAGGATGCTGAGGATGAGAATGAGGATGATGATTATGATGAGCAGGACTGTTGTAGGGTTGCAATATCTATTGGGTCCAGCAAGCCAAAACCCCCAATGCAGTAATCGCCTCTCGCCAGGTTTTGTGAACAAAAGAAACACAAGGTTTAAAAAAAAAAGCGCCCCCCAAATGGAAGCCCGAATCTGCAGTATGCATATGAAAGATGTTCAAGACCGTGCAACATATGTATGATGATGATGATGATGATGATGGTGATGATGATGATGATGGTGATGATGATGATGATGATGATGATTGTAAAACTCAGTTGAGCTGTCTCTCACTCTGTACTGACAATCTCCCTGTAGCCCAGCAGCTGTACCATGAGCTGCACTTTTCACTGTGTACGCTCAAGGGCCCTTGAGCCAAGTCATGTAGCAGGCAAGGTATGCACCAACTCCAGGTATACACAACTGTACACAGGTGGACATGTACATGCATGGTGGCGTCTGTATTTAACACCCCCTCTCGACACAAGCATGTGCTGGACACAAGCACCACCAAATGTTGAACTGCAACTGTATTAACTCTTACAATCTCAGCCAACTAGTATGTACACCCAAATCGGGTCGTACTGTACCTTGAGACTCAAAAGCCAATGCGCACATGTACTGGGATGTACTGTCTAGATACAGCTGTACAAAAAATCTGCATCAGCTACTCGCATGTATCAACATCATGTATCAACAGCGGTTCACTAATTGTACTCCCTCTCAGCTCTCAGTTCTTGTATTTCAGGAATCGTCAGCTGTAGTGTCATCAGCCGTAGTGTCCATGGCAGCCAATGTGGCTGAGGTGGCCGTACTCATGGCTGCCACTTTGTCCCTCATCTGTTGAGATCCCAAGTTCTCTGCCTCATTGAATTGCTCCTGCACCTGTGCAGTGAATTGAGCTGTGTAGTGTAGCAGCGCCCTCTGTAAATCATCTCCCATATGTCGAGCAACTGCCGTACCGGAGTGGTACAGGCTCATAGAAGGGCCCGCATGTTGAGGGTCAGTGACTGGCCTGTTGATCACTGTACGCACATTCAGAGGCACGTGCTGAGTCCAAGCGTACCAATTGGTAAAGCTGTAGCGCTCGAGAATTTGCATCCATTTGGCGCGGATCCTGAGCACTCTCTGCGATCCATGCTCCGTAGTATCGAACATGTACGCAGGTTCACCCTGGTACATCAGGCTGAGAAAGCCTCTGTTGAAAGCTTTGCCCCAACCATGGTACAAATTGGTGAGAACCTTGTGTACATTGGGAACAAACATCACCCTGAATGTAGAAGACGGGCGTGTATGCCACCACTCCTGTCGCGATGCACCACAGCAAGTAGGTCACCGCATCGTGAAAGCTGCCGTGCCAGGATGTAAATCCTGTGTTGTGGTGAATATGTTGGACAGCCGGCAAAGTGCCATCGTCGATCGACTGGGCACTGTACTCCTGCGGAGTCATTGCCACAAACATGTACTTCACACCCTGCGCCTCGGCATGGTTCACGGTCTCTTCCCATGTATGTTGGTACACATGCACCGGTTCCACGTCGAGAGACTGTTCCATCTCTCTTTGTCGGTGGCGGCCCACAACGACGAGTAGGGCCGTACCTCACCGCAGTTCCAAGCGCTGAGCCATGTGTACTGAGACTATTTAGTCCTGTACCTGACGCTGGGGCTTGTACCGGTAGGACGGACGGCACGGCCAGCGAAATTCAAACTGTATCCATGCAGCCAAACAAAGTTGTACAAATTCAGGGAAACATCTTGTACATCTCAAACTTAGTGAACATGTACCCGTGGAACGTGGTGGACCATGTAAATCTTGGACTGTATCACGTAGTCCCCATGTACTCGTTAAACACCGTGACTCAGATGACGAGGTGAAAATGACAAAGGTGAAGAATGAACATGTACGTCTTGAGGTCGTGAAACGTGTATATGTCAAACTCCGCATGCTGCAGGCATGTATTCATACATGCGTGTTTGTATGCTGGTATGTGAAACTCCGGTAGCTATGTAGCTCCTCAGCTATTCGGTGGAAACTTTGTAGCTGTATCTCTCCTCAGCTACCGTGGTGAAACTGTTGCAGCTGTATCTCTCCTCAGCTCTCTGGCGGACAAATGCCCGCTCGGTACAAGTGCCATTGTAGCACTTCTCTTGTAACATACTTTGTCAGTATGTCAGCTGGATTGTGTTTGGTTTTGATTTTGTGTATTTCTATGATACCATCGTGGATGGGATGTTGGATGAACATGTACTTCAGTTCAATGTGTTTGGCTCTTTTGGAGACTCCGATGCATGCGGCCATACTTTTACCGGAAGAGCTGTCCGTGTTCATCTTGAGGTTGATCTTGTTTGTAAGAATTTCTCCAAGGAAATTCTTGAGGTGTAGTGCTTCTGTTGCTCCTGTACCGATGGCGTAGAACTCACTCTCTGCTGATGAGAGTGCTACAACTGCTTGCGTGCGGGATCCAAAGTGCACTGTTGTACCCAAGAATTGGATCACGAAACCTGTTGTGCTCTTTCGTGTAACGTGACAACCGGCCCAATCGGCGTCCGTGTACACGTTCAGGTCAAGTGGTTCCTTGTTGGTTGATGTAAGTCGTATTGTCGGTTGTATCACAAACTTGCGGTTTGATGTACCTGCCAGGTATCGTAGGCAGTGTCGGAGACGCTGCTTGTCCCGAACTGTAGTTTGCTGTAAGGAGCGAGCCAACTCCTTTACTGCAAAGCTCAGGTCAGGTCGTGTGTATGAAAGCCATTGTAGCTTTCCGACCAAGCGTCTGTATTGGGCATGTTCCTGCTTGTCGAGTAGCTCCTCTTGTTCAGGTGTGGACGTGGAAGTTGTTGCTCCTGGTGTAACTGCTGGTGTCGCCTTGAGTAGGTTGGCTTCTTGTAGTATGTCGTTGGTGTAGCTGTCGTTGAGTGAAATTTCAAAGTGGTCTCCTTTGTTTGTGATTCGTCGACCAAGGAAGTCAACTGTCTTGCCTGTTGTACAAGTGCCTGTGTGTCACAGTAACATCTTGGTCTGCATCTCCTTGAAGATACGTGTAACCTCTTCGGGTTCGCCGATGAACAAGAGGTCGTCCATGTAGACCATGATGTACAGATTGCCGTTGGTGTAGACGCTGGGCTCCGACTGTAGTTGTTTGAGACCGAGGTCTGTAAGCACCTTGGCCAAGTGTTCCTGCCAGGCTTTTGGCGAGCTACGTAAGCCATACATAGCTACGCAAGCCGTACATAGCTTTGTGTAATCTCCACAGGATGTTGGGGTTTGTGTAGTACTCTTTGGGAGGACGGAGTACTAGGCCTGCTGATGCTGCCAGTGCGTGTAGGAATGCCGTGGATATGTCACCCACTTGTACAATCCAACCTCTGGCCATGCTCAAAGCCAATAGTATCCTGAGTACTGCAAACAGTGGTGTATCGAAGCCTTCATTGTTGTATATGTGTGGCTCCAAGGGCCTTTGTTCTGCTCGTACCTCTTGCGCATCCTCACTTGTTGCTGTTGTGATTTTCTTCCCGCTTTTGAGTTGTACTGTCACCGCGTTGATCCTCATTCTTGGTTTCTTTGCTTGTTCCCCTGCTTCTTCTGGTCTTGTAGCGGCTTGTTGTTGTGTGGTTTCTTTCCTGCTTTTGCTTGCGCTACCTTCATGTATATGGTCATCCAGTGACTTGCTTGTAGTGGGTGGTCTGTTGACTGGTGTTAGCGAAGTACCCAGTCTCATCGTAGTGTGTGCAGTTGGTGTTGGCTCTCCTTCTGTTGCGTGTCTCTTTGTTTCTTCTGTTCTTGCCTTCTTTGCCTGTGTCTCACCCGTTGGTGCTGGTGTGGTGTCATCACGTTGCTGTGTAGACCTGGCTGCAGTGACAGCTGTTCTGTCCTGCGACGAAGCTGCTTGACCATGTTGGTCTTGTGTCTCTGCTTGCTGTCCTTGTTCTGTACTTGCCTGTGGTGTCGGTAGTGGTGGCAGTGGAAAGGATGGTTGGAATCCAAGTGGTGGTGAAGGGTTCCACGGCGTACCCTTCACTGTTCCTAACATTTGTTTGTCGTACCCCGCTTCTCCTGCGAGTCTCCTCACTGTACGTGCTCGTACCACTCTGCCTGCAACACCTACGAAGGATTCACCTGTTGATGTACACTTTCCTAGCCAAGTACCTCTGAAGAATCTTGGCACCAGCTTTGGTCGTTGTTTGAGTGTAGGGACCATGTACATTACGGTTTCTCCAAATTCAAATAGGGCTGCGTTGTGTGTACGTCCCCATCGTGCTTGATAGCTTGTGTACCCATCAGCTCTGATGAGAAACCTGTTGATCAGGTATGCTGAGCGCCGTACTGACCATGCCATCAGTGGATGGTCTGTGGGTTGTAGTTCTGCTGTACCTGTTCTCTGAGTGTTCTGATTTGTCCTGTCAGTGTGCGGTGGTACCTTTCAACGTTCCCATTGCTTTGTGAGCTGTACGCGGGTGAAAAGCGTACTGTCATGTTGCCACATGCTTTGGCTGTTGCTTTGAGTAGTGCTATCAGGTACTCCTCATTGTCGCTTTGTAGAATGCCTTCTGTCCGGCCACACTCAAGGAGGAATGCTTGTAAACAGGTCTGCGCGTAGCTGAACTGATCGTGCTTGTTTGTAATCTTTGCTGCCATTGCCATGCCTGTTTGTATGTCGATTGCTGTAAGTACCGATGTGGGAAACTTGTCACCAAAACCGGTGATGTAGGTGAAATCAACTTACACGATTGGCTGCCGCGATGTCTGCTTCGGGTGATTTGCTTGCCTGCCTTTGCTTGTACGCAGCTTGGACACCAACTTCTGTATGGCATGTGTGTAATGTTGTGTTCCTGTATTTCCTGTGGTGTCGGTTGCGTAGGCATTGTCATTGCCTTTGCTCGTGTTGCCATTTGAGGTGTATCGTCTTTTGGGCTTGCATCTTTGAAAATGCTGTACTTGCTCTGTGATACTCAAGAATGAGCTCACGTACATCAGCATAACGCTGGATTGTACCTGCTCGAAGTTGTACGTATTGTTGTAGTGCTCCTTTTGTTTCGTTGAGTAGTACTGCGATTTTGATGTTGTCTGGTATTGGTGCTTTGTTGTCGCTTTCGTACTGGGCGATTTCAAATTCCCATGTTGCAAATGACTCTTCAAACTTCTGTTCGTTGAACTGTGGCTTGAGTAGTTTTGTAAGGTATCCTACACTGCGTGTACCTACTGGTATCGAGAACCTGTTGCGTAGTTGCCTCCAGGTCTCCAAGCCTTGTGCTTGTGTACTGTGCTGTCTGCACAGTACTGCTGCTTGTCCTGAACAAACGCTGACCAGTATGTAGCGTAGGTCTCTGCTGAGTTGTACCCAAAGTTGCGCTTCTTGTGGTGTAGCTGCTCCATCTCTAAGAAGGGCGTCTGCAACCTCCATGTTGGATGTTTCTGCTGTTTGTAGTAGTCGTGGGAACTCTGAGTCTTGTAGCCCAAGGTATGCTACCATCTTGTGCTTCAATTCCTCACATGTTGCATAGTCTCCTGTGAAGTATGGTGGTTGTAGTTTGTACCGGTGCATTGATTGTAATTCTCCTCCAGCTGCGGCCATGTTTGTCTTGATGTACTCTCTCAACTGCTGTTGCTTTGTTGCCTTGTGTATTGGAGCTCACCCTGTCCTGTATCGTCCAGGAATCACTGGTCCGCTACCATGTAAAACTCGGTTGAGCTGTCTCTCACTCTGTACTGACAATCTCCCTGTAGCCCAGCAGCTGTACCATGAGCTGCACTTTTCACTGTGTACGCTCAAGGGCCCTTGAGCCAAGTCATGTAGCAGGCAACGTATGTACCAACTCCAGGTACACACAACTGTACACAGGTGGGCATGGACATGCATGGTGGCGTCTATATTTAACAATGATGATGATGATGATGATGAGGATGAGGATGAGGATGATGAGGATGAGGATGAGGCTGAAAATGAGGATGAAAATGAGGATGAAAATGAGGATGAAAATGAGGATGAAAATGAGGATGAAAATGAGGATGAAAATGAGGATGAAAATGAGGATGAAAATGAGGATGAAAATGAGGATGAAAATGAGGATGAAAATGAGGATGAAAATGAGGATGAAAATGAGATGATAATGAGGATGAAAATGAGGATGAAAATGAGGATGAAAATGAGGATGAAAATGAGGATGAAAATGAGGATGAAAATGAGGATGAAAATGAGGATGAAAATGAGGATGAAAATGAGGATGAAAATGAGGATGAAAATGAGGATGAAAATGAGGATGAAAATGAGGATGAAAATGAGGATGAAAATGAGGATGAAAATGAGCATGAAAATGAGGATGAAAATGAGGATGAAAATGAGGATGAAAATGAGGATGAAAATGAGCATGAAAATGAGGATGAAAATGAGGATGAAAATGAGGATGAAAATGAGGATGAAAATGAGGATGAAAATGAGCATGAAAATGAGGATGAAAATGAGGATGAAAATGAGGATGAAAATGAGGATGAAAATGAGCATGAAAATGAGGATGAAAATGAGGATGAAAATGAGGATGAAAATGAGGATGAAAATGAGGATGAAAATGAGGATGAAAATGAGGATGAAAATGAGGATGAAAATGAGGATGAAAATGAGGATGAAAATGAGGATGAAAATGAAAATGAGGATGAAAATGAGGATGAGGATGAAAATGAGGATGAAAATGAGGATGAAAATGAGGATGAAAATGAGGATGAAAATGAGCATGAAAATGAGCATGAAAATGAGGATGAAAATGAGGATGAAAATGAGGATGAAAATGAGGATGAAAATGAGCATGAAAATGAGGATGAAAATGAGGATGAAAATGAGGATGAAAATGAGGATGAAAATGAGATGAAAATGAGGATGAAAATGAGCATGAAAAATGAAAATGGATGAAAATGAGGATGAAAATGAGGATGAAAATGAGGATGAAAATGAGGATGAAAATGAGGATGAAAATGAGGATGAAAATGAGCATGAAAATGAGGATGAAAATGAGGATGAAAATGAGGATGAAAATGAGGATGAAAATGAGCAAAATGAGGATGAAAATGAGGATGAAAATGAGGATGAAAATGAGGATGAAAATGAGGACGACAAAGAGGATGAAAATGAGGACAACAAAGAGGATGAAAATGAGGATGAAAATGAGGATGAAAATGAGGATGAAAATGAGCATGAAAATGAGGATGAAAATGAGGATGAAAATGAGGATGAAAATGAGGATGAAATGAGGACGACAATGAGGATGAAAATGAGGATGAAAATGAGGATGAAAATGAGGATGAAAATGAGGATGAAAATGAGGATGAAAATGAGGATGAAAATGAGGATGAAAATGAGGATGAAAATGAGGATGAAAATGAGGATGAAAATGAGGATGAAAATGAGGATGAAAATGAGATGAAAATGAGGATGAAAATGAGGATGAAAATGAGGATGAAAATGAGGATGAAAATGAGGATGAAAATGAGGATGAAAATGAGCATGAAAATGAGGATGAAAATGAAGATGAAAATGAGGATGAAAATGAGGATGAAAATGAGGATGAAAATGAGGATGAAAATGAGCATGAAAATGAGGATGAAAATGAGGATGAAAATGAGGATGAAAATGAGCATGAAAATGAGGATGAAAATGAGGATGAAAATGAGGATGAAAATGAGGATGACAATGAGGACGACAATGAGGATGAAAATGAGGATGAAAATGAGGATGAAAACGAGGATGAAAATGAGGATGAAAATGAGGATGAAAATGAGGATGAAAATGAGGATGAAAATGAGCATGAAAATGAGCATGAAAATGAGGATGAAAATGAGGATGAAAATGAGGATGAAAATGAGGATGAAAATGAGCATGAAAATGAGGATGAAAATGAGGATGAAAATGAGGATGAAAATGAGGATGAAAATGAGCATGAAAATGAGGATGAAAATGAGCATGAAAATGGGCATGAAAATGACGATGAAAATGAGGATGAAAATGAGGATGAAAATGAGGATGAAAATGAGGATGAAAATGAGGATGAAAATGAGGATGAAAATGAGCATGAAAATGAGGATGAATGAAAAAAAAAGGATTAACTGAGCATGACCAATGTAGGATGAAATGATGATGACAATGCATAATGAAATGAGATGAAACGATGATGAAAATTAGCATTACAATGAGGTCATGAAATGAGTGATTAAATTATGGAGCACAATGAGGATGAAAATGAGGAATGAAATGAGCATTAAACTGAGCAATTATAATGAAGGATACAACTGAGAGATCTAAAATGAGGTGATAAATAGTACTGGTTGAAAATGAGGTTTGAAATGAGGAGCAAACTTACCGGATGAACTGAGACATGGAATGATGATGAAAATGGAGGATGAAAATGAGGATGAAAATGAGGATGAAAATGAGGATGAAAATGAGGATGAAAATGAGGATGAAAATGAGGATGAAAAAGAGGATGAAAATGAGGATGAAAATGAGGATGAAAATGAGGATGAAAATGAGGATGAAAATGAGCATGAAAATGAGGATGAAAATGAAGATGAAAATGAGGATGAAAATGAGGATGAAAATGAGGATGAAAATGAGGATGAAAATGAGGATGAAAATGAGGATGAAAATGAGGATGAAAATGAGCATGAAAATGAGGATGAAAATGAGGATGAAAATGAGGATGAAAATGAGGATGAAAATGAGGATGAAAATGAGGATGAAAATGAGGATGAAAATGAGGATGAAAATGAGGATGAAAAAGAGGATGAAAAAGAGGATGAAAATGAGGATGAAAATGAGGATGAAAATGAGGATGAAAATGAGGATGAAAATGAGGATGAAAATGAGGATGAAAATGAGGATGAAAATGAGGATGAAAATGAGGATGAAAATGAGGATGAAAATGAGGATGAAAATGAGGATGAAAATGAGCATGATAATGAGGATGAAAATGAGGATGAAAATGAGGATGAAAATGAGGATGAAAATGAGGATGAAAATGAGGATGAAAATGAGGATGAAAATGAGGATGAAAATGAGCATGAAAATGAGGATGAAAATGAGGATGAAAATGAGGATGAAAATGAGGATGAAAATGAGGATGAAAATGAGGATGAAAATGAGGATGATGAGCCTCTACCAGCCGGAAATCTCCTCTCGGGGGGCTGGGGGGGACCAGGGGGGATCGAACCTGGGCCTGCCAGGGGGGGGGTGCCTGCCTATTCCTTGCTTAAGCAAGAGCAACTTCAGCTAGCACAAGCTAACTTTCGTGATTAGCTGGGTCCATTTTCAATCCGAGCTGTGAAACCTGTTGCTTTTGGAATGGCCGCAAATCCACTGCAGTGGCACCGCACTTCATCTCAGTATTGTGAAACTCTGAGGCGCACTATCATGATTCGAAGTGGTTGGCCAAAACTCCCACTGACTACAGGTCATATTTTGGTGCCTCCCTGCCCACACAGATTGCAGTACTCCAAGCATCAAAAATACCATGGTGGGGTTATGTCACTTGTCACATCCTGAGAAGCCAACTTACTGTATCTATCCAGGGGTAAACTCGGTCAGTAGTATCTTCTGGGAAATTCAGATGCATATACCTTTTTTTGATCTAGGCTCTATAATTAATTAATCCTATCCCCGTACTATGAAACATCCCCCCGAAAGCATTGTTTAACAAGGGATTTGCACATGTTTGGGACCATTTAGGTGGCATTTAATCTTAGAGGGATGGGAAAGGCACCCTGCCAGTTTGACAAGGCACAGAAATTCGTTGCCTCGGCGGCTCTCCCAAAGATCCACATTTTTCCATCGCACCGATGGCAGGCCATGGCTCTCTAGCTTCACCTCCAGCAGCTGCCTGCGGCCATGGGAATCAACGCTTTTTCAAAGATAATAGAATCAATATAGAATCTATTAGAACCTCCCGGAGATGCGATGTTTCATGGAGAATTGTGCAAAAGATTGGATTGGTTCATTTGTTTCACAATTTTGTGAAAGAAGGGATTGAAAAAGGCCCTTGAGGCTGAACTGGGGTAAAAACTTGAAAAGAAAATTAAGATCCAATACACAGCACCAGCTGACCAGTGGCCGAAACTGCTGTGAAAACTCTGAAAATGCTGGTTAGTTGATGACAACTTCCCACCCACGAGGCAGAAGGATGACCCACACTTGCCACACCAACCAGCCGCAGTAGCCAATTGGCCCAATTGGATCCAAGTGGCCCAATTGGGCCAATGGGTGAACTTGCTCAGCTAAGGCTGAGCTGTTGTGAGTTGATGTGACTCAAAAATCTCAAAAACGCCAACGAAACCGGCAAGCGACGTGATCGACTCCTCAGAGGCCGAATTGTCACCAGCGATGTAGACGTACTTTCCAGCCACCAGGTCCTTGGCTCTTGGACAACCAGGGTTTTGTGTAACTCAGGAACTTAATGTAACTCAATGTGACTTAGTATTCAAGTAGTATTCCGGTGGATTCCCACATGTTCTCACCCTATGGTGTGAGCAAGGGCCATGGGCATCCACTCACAGACTGCAGCCGGTCGTCATTGTCTGCTGGCTCCCAGAGGCCACAGGATTGGCTTTCCACTCTTGCTCTTCGAGCTTCTCGACCACTTTCGTGAGTTTCCATATAGACATCCTAATCACATCTGGCACCCGTCTGAACAGAAAATACGGGTGAACGCAAAAAAGCGCAGGGGTCCGATATGTCCCTCAAATTTCTGAACTGCAAATAGCAACTCCTGCAACTCTTGAATAGTTTGCAACTGCATACCCCCCACTGCGAAACCTGGAGAACGATTTTTTTCACAGTGCTGCGAATGCATTCGGATCCATATGAATCCTACAAGGCGTGCCATGGCGTGCCTTTGAGGTCGTAATTCATCGTAATTCATTGCTTTCGCCCAAGCGTCCAAGTGCATGCCCCATTTCATGCGTCCAGTGAAAGGCAGTTCAACCTCGAAAATTCGAACAGTTGACAAACAGACAAACAGATTTGACAAAACATAGCGGAAACAAAACTGTTTCAAAATGGGTTAAATCGTGTCAAATCTGGCTCAGTCTTTCCGACTCTCTGCGCATGAAAGCCATGCTAACACTCCTGCTAACGGTCAGTCTAACGGTCTAACGGAACGGGCGGGTCCAAGATCAACCATCTTCTTCAAGCAAACAGATTGATATTCTGCAGATTCTAAAGAATGACCAACCATTGCAGAAAAATGCAATGGTAAAGTTTTAAAAAAGTCTTAAGTTGTAAGGTAGGTGCTTTCTCGGAAAATATGTCATGTGCTTGGACAGGAAATGGTTTGGACTGTGACGCTGCTCAACGCCCCTTGCAATCCAAACGGCTTCACCGTATCCAAAGTCTTGCTGTGACGTAGTACATCCTTGCAGTGCAGCAATTCGTCTCGCAGTCTCATCATCCAAAGTTGAGGGAAGGTCACATCGCGGTGAATGCTTGCCTGGACTCTCCCGCGCGCTCCCAACAGCAGACGCATGAGGGCCAGAAGCACAGGACTGTCCCCTGAATCCCTTCCAAGGTGCAAATCTCAAAGAAGACTGTGCCAAAACCTCTCCTCAGAAACAATTCACATATTCACGTTTGATTCAAAGTCATGATTCCAATGTCATATCTTCAAATGCTCGCCCGTGCAACCTGGCACTGTAAAGAGCATAAGTTTAGAGAACCGCAACTGGACCACAACCGTCAACGATTTGTCAACGATTGTCAACGATTGTCAACGATTCAACCTGCTGTCAATTGACTTTTTGTACTTGATGATGCGAGGCCCTGTAGACCAGCGTCGTAGCTTCGCCTTGGAGCGCAAGTCCCGACATACTTTGACTCTGCCCAATGTCTGGGATTGGTGATGCGACGTTGATGGACGGACCTAATAGACTCCTTGAACTAAGGCATCAAAGCATGATTTTTGAAGGTCATGGAGTCATGCTGAACATATCTAAACGTGCTGGCTCTGCATGTCTCTGCTACTGGTGGAGTTTGGTCATCTATGACTTCAGCGCTAGTGCCTCTGGTGCCTTGGTTCCCATTCCTCTGCAAGTGTTCGAGTCACTGGCTCCACGAAATTGTACCCAGTCTGCAAACAGCGCAAAGATCTGGGCAAACCCCAAACATTTTTTCCGTCATAGCCTCGCTAGAGAAAGAGTGTGTGAAGGCTTTGACTGCGAGCCAAGTCAGAAAACAAGCTTTTGAAGGGCATGCTCTTTCCATCCAGGCCCACCACGTGTGCACACATGGGTATATAATAGAGCACATCAAGACTGACATGGCTGATCGCAGAAGCCCTAGGATCTACAGGATCACTTGCAATGGCCCAATGCTAAGCTCAGCACCTAAACTGATGCAGTCGAGGTCAAAGAAATTCAAAACCTCGCTGCACTTGAGAAGAACGGAGGATCCCTGCCAATTCGAGCATCGCCAACCGTTGATGGGCATGTATGTGTATGTGTATGTGTGTGTGTGTGGATGGGTGTGTGCTTGAGTCTTGTTGGCTATTGCACCCTATCTGCATGTCTTTATTCCTCTGATTCTGCCAAACCTTCGCTAAAAGAACGACCCTCTCCACCGCCACCTGGTACGAAAAAAATTGACCATGCATCTCAGACACCTCATCCGGTCCTCAAGTCGGTTGCAACCCAGACTCAACTTATCTTGATCCTAGAAGACTTGCCTGCAAGATCCTGCAAGTACCCATTTGCAGCGCTTGTGCAGCGGAGAGTCCTTTGTACAGAATAACCATGATCTGCACAGTGCGAAAGGGAAATCCTCCCCATACACTCAAGGCATTGGCGGAGCGGAGAACCCGAATATCGCGGCTATAGCCAAACTGGTTCCGGCCTCGAAGCCAGCAAGGTTGTGGATCTTTCAACTTGGGCAACTTGGGCAACTTGGGCAACTTGGCTGTTCAAGAAGTCTCCAAATCTGTGTGAAGCAATGACGTTCAGAGACCATCATGGTGAGCCAGTCTTGTCTGCTGTCACAGGAGCCATCTTCACGACCCTGGCGCTGGGCTGTGATGTTCGTGAAAAGAGTCTTCACGGTCCTCTGGGACTGAAATGAACCAATCGTGAAAATCAAAGCAACGACACCCGTCTGTTTTGTGGGACACAATGGCAAGCAAGTTTGGGAGGAAACCATTCGTTTGTTCTCAGCATGCTACAGAAAGAGACTGTCTTTGGAAGAAATATCTAGGCACACGGATCAAGTCATGGCGGAACTGAATTCATCTAAAGTATAAACTCGCTCCCAACGTAGACGGTCAATTTCTGTACATAATGCTATCAAATTGTATAATATTGTATAAATAAGATGACTGGAGAATCCCAAATTTGGCTTCTAGTGTGATCTTCAATTCAAACAGTTGGCTTTTTGACAACCTTTGCCCCCAAGACAGGAACGAATGTCCCAGTGTTACAACATGCGCTGTGACCCGGACATCGGGTGGGTCCTTCGAAGAAGGTCAATGCCCTCTTCTTCCGTCTCACAACAAATAAAGAGATCAATGTCCTGCCCCGCAGCATTCCACTGGGATCCACTGAGCCGGCTGGCGTCTGTGGTCAAGCTGCAAGTCACCCAACTCTGCCTAGCCCATTTAATTTCAGTATGTATACTACTGTATACTGTATATCTCTGAAGATCCAATGCTTAATGTCAGACCGAATGGCAAAGAAAACATCTTGGTTTAAGGCGTTTTGAGACCGATAGAGCTCAAAGTGAAGAACTTTGAACCTTCGAAGTGATAGAGCTCGTCATCCTCCTTTTTGGATCTTTTTGGTGTGGTTTGTCGATGTGCAGCTTGGACAGGCCCCACTTTTAGGTCACCAGTCGGACCGGTCCCAAAGAAATCCCGGCCCGTCCGAGTTGACAAAACCAAAGCGATCAGTTGCAGACTTTTTGGAGGTACTGTAACTTGGCAGCCAATATCTCTCGGCTGCACGCCTGCGAAATGGTGAAGCACTGGTGAGCACCACTCCCAAGTTGTCTGTGACTTTACTCAGCCCTCCAGATGCAACCGCAAAATATTGCAAACTAAGAACCAGGGTTTTTTCTTGAAGAAACAGGTTGCGCACGGTTCCGCAATCTTAAACTCGTGCCAACAAGGTGACCTACTGCACAACCAAGAGTGGATGACAACGGCCAACGGCTACCTTTTTGAGACAGCCTAAAGATGTGAACAAACACTGGTGACAGCAAACAAATTGTGGGTATTTTAGACTCATGGGCTTGCTTTTTCAGCTGTGCCATGATTCCCATTCCTAGAAGCACAAGTGCAAGGATCCAAAAATGACATCATGCCGATCATGCCAAGGAAATTCCTCCAAGGGGAGAAGCAGAAAATCATAGAAAATATTTTAAGGTTGCGTCTTGTAACGGGTCTTGTACCGAGTCTTGATATCTTTCTGTCGCAGCGGGCATCCAGGCACTCATCCCTGGTGGTCGTTAAGTCTTTTCTGAAGCTCTTGGCGGCGTAGTGAACTTTAGTCAATTCATGCTAATTCATGTTAATTTATGTTAATTCATGTTAATTCTCTGCAACTCAAAGAACCAAAGCTCCGCATGTCACAATGTCTTGCTAAGTATGTCACTGTATGTGCACAGCCATGATCTGTTTTCCAGCAGACCCGGCACCTTGCTTCGCGTCTTTCATTGGACCCTTGAGATACGAATGCCATGATATTCGCCAAGACCTGTGCAATCAAGAATTCGCAAGCCACTTGTTGTTGCTTGACATCTTTCAACAGATACACTTGACATGTACAGAGTTAACCTGCGGAGACTGGCCGATCCGCAGCTTCCGAAGGCTCTCAAAGTAGGCAGGAGTCTAGTGATCTGAAGATTTCTAGATTTGAAACATTTGAAACTGGAAATCATGTTGCATCAACTTTGCATACTTTACATCACATATGTACATCATATGTACATAATTGTACATATCGAATCAGCAAATCCAGCACAACTTGATCCCCGCCTCCATAGCAGCTATCCGATACAAGGGATGCAAAGCAGGATGCTTCCAGAGCTGCAAACACGCTAAGATTGCACCACCGGCTGCAAACACCCTGCCACAGATGATAATGGCAGAAGAAGAACATATTTCACATAATTCTAAGGAGCACGATTTTGTAATAAATTTGCTGCCATTCCCTCTGTCGTTGGCAGTTGCAGCTATTGTATGCTATTGTGAGAGGGCTACAAACTACACGCAACTAACTACAGCTCCAAGATGGATTCACATGTTGAGATTGACAGAACCCCTGGCAGTTGTGTTCTGAGCACAAATGGCAATTGTTCCGTTCTTCCCTGCACCTCTGGGTTGGCGATGCCAGGTCAAAAACATTCTTCAGAATACCTGGCCCACTGCTTGACAGCAGTTGAAAGTGCACAGCGAATGTACAGCCAGCCGCAGCCACCCCAATCGCCTGTCACTTCCCACCACACAGAGTCTTTCAAGCGCGACTTAGCCAGAAATATTGGTATCTGAGCATCACTGAGTATAGGCCAAATCTGGAACCCTGAGAACGGATAGCTTTTTGCACAAACAGGGAGGAATGATAAGAACTAGTGATGTGACTAGTGTCTGAGAGGATGGGGGCCTTTGGTGAATTCCTCGAAGAGCAGCTTGAACCCATGGAGACAAGGCATCACAGATGTGGAACCCTCTTCAGCGGGCATCCTGAAGCAAGGCATGAAACAAGATATGTTTTGTTTTGATATATATATATAGTGTGTTTGTGAGATTTCTGTATAGTGTTTGCCTACTCATCTGCCTCTTTCATCTTTGTGTTAGTCTGTCCATCCATCGGTCCGTCGGTCTGTCGGTCCGTCGGACCGTCGGCCCATCCCGGTGCTTGTCCGTCTAGTTACCTGTCTAGCTGAAAGGGTAGTTTGCTAGCTAGCACTGAAGTGATCGATTGAATATGGTAATATAGTATAATACAATATAATATAACATAATACAATGTATAATATAATATAATACAATATAATATAATTATAATATAATACAATGCAATACAATATATAATATAATATTATATTATATAATATAATATAATATAGTATAATACAATAGAATATGTAATACATAATATAATATAATATAATGTAATATAATACAATACAATATAATATATAACATAATATAATACAATACAATATAATATAATAAAATGTAATGTAATGTAATTTGATATAATATAATCAGATGTAAACTCACCTGATCTCATATCACCTTAGGAAATCTCATCGATCCATCTATCTGTCATCTCTTATACTATCTGTCTTTCTATCTATCCTCCTAACTATCTGACCATCGCATCTCTTGTTTGGTCTCACATATTTGTCGTTGAACTGAGCCATTTACAGATCACAAAAATATGGCGTCAAAATCTCCAGATGTGGGCAAGTGGTTGTGCAGCTGGCTAGTTAATGCATTTAAATTATTGAAACCCTGCCTTTGGACTCGATATGGAAAGGCCCCGGGCAAAGCAGCCGTCCCCGTACAATATCGGTTGCTCCAGAATCTACTATGAGTTTCCAAAATCTCTCACTGTTTGGGCTGTTGACACCTTCTACATTCTGGTGTCCTTTTGTATTTGTCTCCTTGTCTGTTCTTGGCCTAACCTAGCTTTGTGACCAATGACCAGCAACAAAAGAAGTAAACAAGGAAGGTAACGAAGTTCGAACGAAAGGTTTCGTGGACTTTTGTGGCTAGGGCCTAACAGTCCGTGAGTCATCTTGTAGAGCTTCGACTCGAGGATGCGAAAGCTCTTCTTTGGACAAGCACCTCTGTGCCACCTTTGCTGTGCGGCACAGAACTCCACAGCAACCAGTGTGCCCTGACCAGTCAGTTCCTGGTGTCCGCAGCTGTTGATAGTTCAGTCATGTTCAGTTATAGAGCTGGCAAGTCGTCAGAATACTGTCGATTTTGCTGACCAAGCAACCAGCTCAGTGCGCAGTTGGCCAGCATATCCTCAGCTGGTAAGGAATGAGATAATGCATTGAGAAAGATCTGAGAAGTGTACCTCTCACTAGGCAGGTGAGAAAATATCGCGATGGCGAAGACGCCATGACTGCTCCAAATGATTCTAAATGTAGTTCTACATGTCCCAGGCGCCGTAAAGAGGAATCAAATTGGTCCTTGGGATGTAGCCGTTCATGAAGGCTGATCGTATTGACCAGTCTTGCCTGACACTCTGGTAGGAGTGCAAGGACAAGCAAAAGAGCAGAACAATTTCAGAACAATCGCACAAACTGATGACTGAAGCCATTTCAATACTATTTTACGGGTGTCAATCATCTCCTAGTGACCTGGTGCGTCTCTTAAAATAAGGGATGATGTCCGCATTTCTTAACGATGGTTCAAATTTTGAAGCAACTTTAGCCATCAAGCCTGAGGAGCGAAGTGTTCAAAACATCACGAGTCAACAAAGGGTACCAAGGCTCCTCACAACAATGTCGGGCCCAAGAAGAAATCCCACACTTTGACAGTTCGGAACAAGTTTAGAAAAGATTAAGCTCAGAGATTTTGCTACCTAAGCTCAAAAGTTTTCGATGAAGGCTTGGACATAAAATCCCAAACGTGCTTTCAGAATCAACTGCTAACATATACTGTACAAACTAAGGATGATCACCTACACATACCATTGCTGTTGCGTTTGGTTTTGACCCGTTCCTGCAATGGCCCTGCTGTTTTCTGATGTTTTCTGCTATGTCTCGCGTCAAGTTCATCAAATCCAAGCCGACCAGGGGCAGTCACACAGAACGATGGCCTCCTGAGCTTGTTCTGAAGCAGCGACAAGATTCTCATATGGCAAGTGGGAAAGCCTAAGCATGGCAACCCGGAGACAGAGACTCAACCAATAGATGTGCAACAGATCGGGCATACCGAAATATTACCAAAGTATATCCGTTTAGGTTGCGACGTAACCTAAAACTGGTGGGTGTGAAGTACGATGAACCTGCTATTTCACACAACTAAACCCAGCTTCTATCACCACTTCAAGCAAAGAGAGGTGGTCTCCAGGAGTTAAAATTGCACACACTTGTGATCATCAAAGGGAAATCACGGCAGTTCGTTCTTCTGGTCCATTCTCACTAGTACAAATTTCGCTGCCTTTGGGATATCTAAGAAATTCTGAAGTGGGTCGACCTGACTGAGAATCGAGCATCATGCTAAACGCATGCTGACTGACGCTTGCGAAGTGTTGCAGCATCTTGTCTCGCAACAGCCGTCCGCTCTGTCCAACCATGCCTTTGGCAACCTGGCAAACAGTCAACACGGATATTAGGACGTTGCCATTGGTCAATACATGGTCGCCGTTCGCCCTGTCATTTAACATGGCTGGGCAGTCTTTCCCATTCAAGTATTGACCATGTCAAGTGCATATTTGCTCTACAGTATATTGAGAGAAAATATCCAAGCATGGGAGAAAAACTTGCAGCATTCCTCTACACCTCCCCATCAAATCGTATGACATTGGAGGCATTGGAATCATTGGCGTCGAATTTCCAAAAATTACCCAGTTGTTCTTTCTTAGCCGATGTTTGACAATGTTATAACTCCAAAGCTATAAGGCAATACCACGAGAAATGCTGGCTGTGAAAAGCCCTCATTCAGACCCCGTTAACAAACGACACCCTGTGCATTCCCTATCCCAACTTTAGCTGCCTCCCTGGCTTTAAGGTCTGTCCTGAGGAGGACGGAGCACATGGAAAGCGTAAACTGAGTCAACTCTGAGGCTGCAAACGGCCGCAGCCACACAGACACTAGAGACAGGAGTTGCGAAGCACCCCGGGCCCATGAAATGGATATTAAAAACATTGAAAAACATCGAAGCACGGTCAGCACTCCGGAGACATCCTCGTAGCCTCTTCATGATGCAGATCACGAGCAGTCTTTGTCACCTTGCTTGCCTCAGGCACGTGCAGAGTGATTTCTTTCGCCAAGCGATGACAGCAACGAAAGCAACAATTACCAAAGAAACCAAGCTGGAAAAAAAGAAACTTGTGTAGCTACAACAACGTGTCGAAGAATCAAGCACAGAGAAAACGCTGCGAAGAACAAATCCTCTGACGTTTGACAAAGTGTTCATGAGTAGTCTTGCACTTGCTGTCTGTTCCCATTGGGACAACACGTTCACTATGCGGAGCAAGGCAAAGTACTCGCTAGATAGAGAGAAAAGAGTCACATCATGTGAGGTCGAGGCATAGGAATCCCGAATGGAGATCTTTCGTATTCTTTGCCTTGATTCTTCTTAAGATATCTTAATGTGATGCTATTTGATGCTGTTTTTAGCTATTTGTCTATTCAATTCCGGCCAACTTCACCCGGACTGGAGAGCTGGGCCCAGGACTTGGAAAAGTCCAGCAGCGGTCTCCAAGACTTTCAGCACCGGTGCAGTCGCAGTAGCGGTACTTCGCTCCTGCCACAGAATGTCACTGGAAGTGGCTGGACACACCATGATACACCGGTGAAACCGGTGAAACCGGTGAAACCCGGAGTTGCACACTACTGGCCTTGGGACAGGCTATGGACAAGAAGGAACAGTCTGGCTGTCGAAGTTCGGAAATATTACGAGATGGTCCGGGACTTTGACATCCAACATCCTTCACATCATCCTATGACTATTAAAGCTTACGGATTTGGGTACTGTAATTTTGGACCTTCACCGCCTTCACCCTTAAGATCTGGCCTACCTGTCTACCCAAAGGCTGAATTTTATCTTCGACGGTAATAAAGATTATATATATATAATATCTGTCAGATATGTACTACATGTATGAATACATGCATACATGCATACATGACATAACAGAACATAACATTGCATTACATTGCATGCATAACATTACATTACATTACATTACATTACATTAGATTACATTACATTACATTACACTGCATTGCATTGCATTACATTAAATTACATTACATTACATTATATTATATTACATTACATTACATTACAAACATACATTCATTATATACATTACCTTACATTACATTACATTACATTACAAACATACATTCATTATATACATTACCTTACATCACATTGCACTACATTGTATTACATTACATTACATTACAATACATTACAATACATTACAATAGATTACGTACATACATTTACATTACATACACTACATACATTACATACATTACATACATTACATACATTACTTACATACATTACATACAATACATATATATACATATATACAATACATACAATACCTACCTGCCTGCCTGCCTGCATGCCTGCATGCATGCATCCAGGCATGCATGCATGCTTGCTTGCTTGCTTGCACGCACATATGTATATGTAGTATGCTGCAATGTACACAACATAGAGCCTTGATGGACTGTCTCGGGATGTCGTTTTCTGGCAACCATGTTTTTTCTCAGCCTTATCTTCAGGTGATGTTCATTCTTGGTCTTATCATGTCACTGCCGGACGTTTCCTGTTTTTTGAAGTGCCGGGTGCGAGGTGCCGGCCCGCCTCGGCCATGCGAGACTTCCGCGACTCCCAGAGCTCAGCCTGCAACGCTCTGAGATCTGCCAGGTCTCCTGGACACCCGACCGACGGCACTGGAGTGATCTTTCAATGGAGCTCTTTTTGCATCTTTGTTTCGGAACCAACCTTTTATTGAATGGTGTATGTGTGTGTTGTATCATTCCTACGGGTGAAATACTGATTCTTGTGGTTTGATGGTGAAATTCCCTCATGGTCGCTGGTTTGCAATATCTTTTGACAATATCCCTGTTTCATTTTGTGTTGAGACAACGACTGGACATTTCGGTCCTTCCTTTGGGCCACCCACTGGCAACGCATCCACGAGCCTCACAAAAGTCTGCCAGAAAGTGAGACAAAGAATTCAGAACTGCGGAGCTGAGAGTAACAGGAGACAAAGAGAGTGGGCAATGGGAGGCTTTCATAGATGCAGCAGAACGGCAATAAAGACAATGAAAAGCTATCAAACATCCGGTTGCTCTTGTTGTGTTTCACTTGCAGGGAGTTCGGTTTCTCATTCGGAGGGAATTTGCCCACCTCAATTGTACCCCACCATGAGACTGTCTTGTCTCAACAAGAAAGCACATCCTCACAAAGGACCTTGATCTGGTACTTTCTTTTTATTGACCCATCTACATGAACTTGTACCACAGTGACCGTCAGTGAACAACAGAAAAGTTTCAGTCCACTTGCCATGCTGCAACACCTGCTGATGTATGATTCCATATCAGTTCTTGGTATATTTGGTATGCTTGGAAAAGAAGATATACGACCAAGGATGGTTCAACCAGGTAGCATCAGGTATTGAACCCTCTCGGTTGTGTGAGTATGTCGCGGCGGGTGCCGCCAGGCAGCTTGCCAAAACGCTCTGGGCTTGTCCAAGAAAGCTTCCTGTGGCGGAGAAAGCTTGAGAAAAACACTGCCTTTGAATTTCTCGTTGGACATGTTGCTACTCACTGCCCTCACATGTTTGCCTGCAGCCGTCTTCGAGGTGTAAATTGGTTTGAACGTTTGACAAAGCGAATGTCAGAGAAGCCTCTCTCAAGTGCATTGAAGCATGGAGCCCATTTTCCCAAAGCATGATATTCTGCCACACCCTGCACCCTGCAGGGTGTGGTGCCACCACGATACGTTCTTGGACATGTCACAACGCTTTGTCAAGTTGGTGGTATGTGCTGAAGTTCGCATTGATGGTCCTGCTTTGGATGATGCTACTAACTAAGGCAGGCAGGCAGTGGCAAGATGTAGCAAGATGTAGATGGATAGGACTGATAGGACTGATAGGATTGGATTCTGTCTTCGCCCAAAGCTTACCCGAGGCTTACCCAAGGTCGGCACTGGTCCCGCCTCAGTGTGGTGATGCCCCAGTGCCTCAGCAAGTCCAGGATGTCAGCTCCGAATGCTTGACATTGATGTTGTAAGGCCTCGTGCCAAGAGTGCCGGCCGAAGGGACGAAGATTGAGGCATGCAACGAAGGCTGTATTTGAGGAAATCTGTTAAGGTTCACCACAACTATAAGATACTAGGGATCAAAGCCGGTTTTGTGCAGTATGATTCACTTGTGTTTGCCTTGATCAAAACTTTAAGGTGAGTCAAAGCCTTTGCTGGTGCTGTTTCCTTGCCTTACAGTGGAATCTACCCTCAACCAAGGCACAGAGGATAGCTGGCCCTCCATTGCCACATCCGACATGCCACAAGAGAAAAAGGATGAAAAAGGCACAAAAGCCCTTCCAAAAACAGAAACCAAAAGCCTGCACTTGTCCAACATTGTTAGGTTGGTCTCGCTACATTTTTTTTCGTGCTCCAAGCTCAGTCAAGGCTGAATTTCACAAACCTCAGTTTTGGGTGGTGGTGACTGATTGAAGACATATTGACAGGTTCCTTGTCGCATGAGATCTTCTGTGTGAGGCGTTTGCAACCCGAGTGAAGCCTTCAAACAGTGACGGCCAGATGACAGCCAAAAAAACCCTTTCAAAAGTTTCTCAGGGTGCATAGGCTCTATGCTATGTGGTGCACCTCCTATACTGGGGTTGATAGGCTGAACAATGGTTCTTGTAACTTAGCCAAAACATAGCAGCAACAAACAGCGCACTTTGGGGACAGGGGAGTGCTTGTTCACATCATTTCTCTTTAACAAGTAACATCTTTTGTGCCTTCAAAAAAGATCAAAAAAGCGCTGTCAGGCCTCAAAGAAGGTCTCAGATGGGTGGGTGTCTTCTTCGATCTGCATCACTCAAATCCAACCACTAAGATGGCGCTAATCTGAAAGAGCTGCAAGAAGCACATCACATCATATCACATCTTTGTAGAGGTTCACCACTACTTTGTCAAACTTTAGGAAAATATATGAATTCAATCTTTCCTCAATCTCACTAAGACATCTAAGACCGAAAGAAACACTCTAAAATGCCTCACCAGGCGTGCTGGGCTTCAGCTCCGCTGCATCAGTCCGCGCGGCCAGTTCTAGGCCGTTGGCAAACCTGACTGCGCAAGGGACCCACAGTGAGGTTTCCGCTTCCTGGCGGCATGAGCAAAGTATATGTGTCTGAGTTCAGAACCTCCAAACTCTAAGACTCTAAGCCCGTAAATATTGCTAAATGGATCGGTACAGGACTGACAATGAAGAACTTACAGTTGAGACATGTCTGCCTCATTGTCAGGTTTGCAGTTTCAACTTTTACATCGGGATGCAGCCAAATTCTTGTGCAATCATACAATCGCACATAGTAATTGGTCCGTCATCTTTTCAACATGTTCAAGTATATTTTAATGCCATTGAAATGCATAAAGATAGATAAAGATACATAAAGATACATAAAGATACATAAAGATACATAAAGTCCAAGTGAAATAGCCACAGCGTTTCACGGTGCGGTTCGGGTTCCCCAGCTTCATCGTAGTCTTGTTAGCCCAGGCGCAGGCATCTATCACGCTGCAGGTCCTGAAACGATCCGTAAAAACAATGCACCTGCTGAAACATGTTCTGAAGACTACCTGGAAATGGAGGAAATGTGTGAAGATAAGTTTAACAAATAAGTTGAACAAATAAGTTCAACATAAGTGTCCTATCTCAAAGTGATTCAAAGTGTCCTGTTTGCAAAGTGTCATGGAATTGACTGGAATGAGTTGCAAATTGGGCAAACCACTATCCTGACTCCGCGAATGATGTGCTTCAGTCGGGGGTTTGGCTCCATGCAAACCTGAGATCATTGTCGCGTTGCACTTCAAATGTCCCACCTATGTCCCACCTATGTCCCACCTATGTCTCACCTATGTCCCACGTATGTCCCACATATGTCCCACAAGTCTGAGACTGGGAAAGCCTGTCAGGAATGCAGTCCACCACAAAAAAATTCGGAGAAAGCCACTGATTTCAACCTGTTCACAGCAACTGAAACTGCGACTCCAGTGCCATGAGTTCAGTTGCAGTTCTTTCTCATTTCTCATCTCAGTCACAATTCAGAATACTTTATCATACTTTATCACCAAATATCACCAATTAATCTACATACGGCGAAGACATGTTGTGATGTAGGTAAGCCTGCCAGAGTCACACTTAGGTGCCTACATACAAGCGTTAGCATTTTTCAACTCCGACCAGACTCGCCATAGCGTGGGGTTGGTCTTTTTATGGGAAATGGAGCTACCAGAGTGTCTGACTTTCAAGCATATTTCATTGCTGTTCCATGCTGTTCCTATGACAAGTCGTTTCGGAATGTTTCCGTGCATTGACATTGTGGTGGGTCGGTTGTTTGCATTTGGCAAAGCAAGAGTCCTCCGTAAATTGCAATCTTTTTGAAGGTGGGAATGCGTAAAACATCGCAATAAGGATTTCTTTGAGGACCTCTCAAAAATCCGCCCACACCGCTTTGGCGGTGAAGGCGTGCTTATTGGGGGGCAACAGCAACACTAAATGCTCAATGACATTTGTTAATATAGCAGTCGCTATATCAGCTTTAGCTGGGGGGGGGGCCCAAAAACGGTTTCGCACCGAGACCAGACCCCAAAAACGGTTTCGCACCGAGACCAGAATACGGTGGTGTTTTCGACATTTTTCGAGGATTTTTGGGTGTCTGAGCGCAAGAGGGTATTGAAATGGAATTTTGGGTCATTTTGGTAGCTTTCCGGCAATGGAAAAACGGCCAAAAATGAAAAAAACATTGTACATAGCAAGATTTTGCAGGGTTTTTGGATGCCAGAGCATTGAAAACACTGCAAAAACAAGTGTTTTGGACTGACGTTATAGCAAAAAACGTGTAAATTACCGTATGCTTGACTGGAAACATTACAAAAACACTGTCAAAAGCAATGTTTTGGAAGGATTTACTGCCTTTATGGCAAAAAACGTGTAAATTACCGTCTGTTTGACTGGAAACATTGGAAAAACACTGTCAAAAACAATGTTTTGGAAGGATTTCTTATTGAAACTTCTTAGCTTGAAGAGCCCCCACGGGGGAAAACCACCCTTAGCCCCTCTCACGGACCGAAATAAACCTGCGGTGTAGGCGGCCACCCCACGCGAAGCGGGGTGAATACAGTCAATTGCAACATGTCCCTTTGGCAGTGTCTAAAGCAAAAAACTAGGCAAAATATTGCAAATAGCAGCATTGTGCGTTTTTCTGCGTTCAAAGCGCAAAAAATCTTGAAATAGTGTTTTGGCATGCCTGGTCGGTTTTTCTGTTTTACTTCCTCTACCCCCAACTTTGGTATTTAAATTGCACTGTTCAATCGCGATATTAAACGCCAACTCAACGAAAAAGTATAGTCAATCGATTTTTTTGTTTTAGTTGTGTGTTGTGTGGACGGCACATTCTTTGAAACGTGGTGAATGTTGAATTTTGATCCATAATTTTGGTGGTGCCACTGCAAAGCTCCGCTTGGGTCCGGGCCCCTCTCCAATTCAAGCAGGTATCCAAATACCTGCGCAATCTACTGCAGGTGGTAGCCCGGTCAAATCTTGACTGTACAATTGTTTTCTTCGACTAACCCCACAAACTGACATTCTATCGGAATCTTGTCTTGCATTGCATCTGGCCAATATTCTGACATAGATTAGGATTCTCTACCTGACATTCTAGCTGACATTTATCTGGCATATTTTTCTGACATTATATGCGGCATAGATAGATGGATGGATGTATGGATGGATGGATAGATAGATCGATAGATAGGATAAGATAAGATAAGATAAGATAAGATTCGATTACGTAGATTAGATTCGATTAGATTAAATTAGATTTGATTAGAATAGACTAGATTAGATAGATAGATATGGACATTTTATTTGACATACATTTTGACATATATTCTGACATTCTACCTGACATGTTGTGGGGCAATCTACCTGACATTTATTGTGACATTTTAGCTGGCATTCTATCTGGCATTTTTCCGGCATCTCGTGATACTGTTCCGGGTCCAGTGGGGCCCAGAGAGCCTGGCGAGGCTGAGTAGCTGGCTGTGTAGCTTGCGATAGTGTGTAGAAGAGGCGCGAGGAAACTGGCGATCTGCTAAGCTGGCAAGCGCGCAGGAAGGAAGGACGGAAGGAAGGACAGAAGGACGAAAGTACGGACGCTGGATGTATTGTTTAACTTCTTGTAGGCAGGTGGGGAAAAAAGGACACATGTAAACGCAACTTGCGTGGCTTCTCAGGGCCGGGCGCAGTGTTGGACAAGTGGTATGGGTGTGACGAGCCAACGTCCACATAGATGCCTGGAGAACAACACACAAGATGCCTGTGATCGCTCAAGTCTGTGAAGAACTCTGTATTTCTTGTGGGGATCGCGATGAAGTAGTTCTGCCTCTGACCAGCTAACTCTTGGCATGCGAGCCGGGCCGACGCATCACTATCTGAAGCACACATTTCCCATGTTGCCGCCTTCTCCGCGCAGGTCATTTTTCCCGAAGACATTTTCCACCAGGAATTCGTCCTATCGGGATCACTCCGAATGGATCTGAATGTTCATCCGGAAGCCCAAAGGAACAATGGCTACATATGGCTACAACAAACATCATTTGAGGCCAATGTAAAACGGAGCTCCTGACCCCACTGGCCCATGAATTGCTTGTGACCCTCGTACCTGGATCAGGTTTTGTCTCTGAAATATACAGATGGGTCCGTCCAATGTCTTAGAAACCTGAACTCCTCATTTTTTCTGAAATTGTAATGTTGTTGTCTGAATGCGCTCATGCATTAGGTCTGCAGTATAAAAGAAACTTGACAAGAAATCATTGCAAAATCATCTGAATCTTGATGCATCACACATCTGGACTGTCCAACAAATACAGATGGAGAGAGAAGCTGACGTGAATCCTTAAGTCAAACCTACCAAGAGGATTTTCGGGCCAAAACACAACCTTTACGAAGAACCCAAACCACAGATTTGTGTAACCCCCATTGCTAATTCCTTGATTGCTCGGGAATGGGTAACACGAAGAAAGCAACTTGAGCGCCTACACAAGAGCTCCAGGTGGAAGTCGATGTACGCATCTGAATGTGCATGGCACCTCAGGCAATGTGAAGCTATGGACTCCAAAAGTCATCTTCTCTTTAACTTTAGATGAAAAGATTTGCGATTTGTAAATGAACTGAAGCCTTGCTCAAAGGGAGGCATGTTCAGAATCAGGGAGTCGGCAGGTAAAACAGATTAAAACTGCCGTGATCCCAAGGAAAGCGAATGAATTGTGAATGAATTGTTCGTTCCAGAGTCAAGCTTTTCACTGCTCAGGCCAAGACAAGCAAATGTTTTCGCCACAGCCAGCGTCCACCATCGGAAAGTACAGTTCCTGGCAAAGGGTCAACACCAACTTGCTTGATTGCACGGCTGGAGCATTTGGTGGGCACCCGTTCCTTGAAATAGAATTGACAGAATCTTCCAAAAAGCTTACCTGCGTATCTACTTCCGAATTCCCGAAATTGCGTGGCTCCATAGGAGAAATGCGGCAGGTTTGTAGGAAATATCAGGAATTCACACCGTTGTGCCAAAGCTATCCGAAGTTGACTGTTCCAGCACAAATTTTCAGGAAGAGTTGACTGCAATGATCAGGCACAACCTTGGCAATCTTCGGAAATGTGGACAGGATGTTTGAATGGTATTGGTCCTCAAAGTAATAAATCATTGGTCACCAAAAAAGACTTGCGAAATCGATACGCTGGCAGGCAAAGCCATGTATTGGAAACAACATCTTTGCCTCACTATAACAAATACCAGATATGAAGCCTAAATTGATAGGACCAAGATCAATAAAGCACGAGACTCTTCGGGCTTTTGTGGCTGGAGCATGCGGGGCCCTGAAGACAGAAGAGGGACTGAGCCCCAGAGGTGTGGAAAGAGCAAGGTCGTTTCTAATCAAATTTGAAAGGTTGCCTCGGGTTTCACATCTGCTTGTGATCAACAATGATGCTCAGCGTATCCCAGTCCTGCCCCATATAATCTGCGAAATTGTTCTCGTTGACCTTTCCACAAATGGTGGCTTTGAATCCCTGGTACCTTAGCAAAAGCTGTGCAAGCATAGCTAATGTACTGTACCTGGTGCCTCTCACACGTGCACTTTACATCCGAGCAACAAACACCGGCCACGACTTGGTTGTCGATCACTCATGATCACTCACCCCTTGCATTTACAATAGAACCTTTGTGGCTCTTGGGATCTACATCTGTCAGCATCAGCGAGAAAAGGTCGTGACGATTTGCCCCATGATGGCTGTGGTTCCCAGCAGGTACTCACAGTAGTACCGATCTACTGGGATGCCGTTCAACCTTCGACTGTGAAAAATCTAGATTTCTGGCGGATGCAGAAAGTATATATATATGCTTGAAATGTGTGTGTGTATATATTATATTATATTATATTATATTATATTATATTATGTTATATTATATTATATTATATTGTACTATATTATATTATATTATATCATATCATATCATATCATGTCATATTATATTATATCATATTATAATATATATATACACATGTCAAATATTATATTATATCATATCAGTTATATCTCACTAAAAACTCCTGCTGGATTCTCCTAGTGTACTTTTAAAACTGGGTTTGTGCGAAGCTCCACACGCTACGACAACGACCTTTTGCGTGACCAAAGATCTCGTCTCACACAGCATGATTTGTTTGAACGATCCCAAAAATCCCACCCTGAGGGCTATAGACTTCAGGATTCGAAGAAAATGCCTGGGACATTCCCGTCAGTAGCCTCCAGGGAGGGTTGCAGCCCTGGCGAGCCCGAAAGACGGCGACTCTCATAGAAAACGAATTATCCGCACAAAAAAATAACACTGCCAAAGGGAATATTGAGTTGCAATCTGCTGGAAAATGCAAATTTGGATAATGGCTATTTGAGCGGCGAAACGAAGGAATGAGATGGAATGGACTTTTGTCTTTCGAACCACACCACACTGACGCACCAACACGGGGACGCAAACACCGAGACAGCACCGGAACCTGATCGCCTACAGAGTGTACAACCCAAATGCTATCGTTGCTGGGTAAGATTAAGAACAATGTATTATATATATATACATATATAAGGCTTAAGGCAGGGTGCCCCACGCCCCGTCGTTTTTCCTTTCGCCTGAGCGGGTGCCTTGGCTGGAGCACCTGCGGGCCTGCCATAGGGCCTTTTCAACAGCTGCTGGTTCTACCTCCACTTCGACCAGGAGGCAAAGTCTTTCTTTGGCTGGGTGAAGGCGCCAGCTGTTCCTTGTCTTCGACCAGGAGATAAGGTTCCTCTACGGCTGGGTGTTCTTGCATGGTTCGCAGCCTAGTCTTCCTCTTTGGGTTTGTCTTTGTGATCCTCGCGGCAGAGGGCAATTACGAATTCACTGCGAAGGAGATTGCGGAGGAAAAGAGCCAGCGCGCGCAGAAGCTGGTTTCTTCATCGCACAGGAGTCAGGACGCTTTGCAAAAAGCAATTGCAGAGAGTGTTTGGCATCCTCAGTCAACATCATTCGCGAGACCCTCAACTACTTCGAAGAGTAGCATCCGAGATGGCGGCGACTACTTCCACAGTAGATTGGAGGTGCACAGCGTGTTGGCGCACAAACAAAGCGCACACAGACAAGTGCGCAAGGTGCGGGATCAAATGGACGCACGGTTGCGACCCTACGTATGTCTCGCAGAAGCAGGTTTCCAAGAGCCCGAGGAGGTCAAGCTGGAACTATGCCGGCTGGAGCGATCAACAAAGTTGGGATCAATGGGACTCTCAATGGGGAGGGTCTCAACAGTATGCCCAACACCCCAACCACCGGCAGAGGGGCAATACACCCAAGAAGAGAAATCAAAGCAGGAAGAAGGGCAAAGCAAATCAATATGGACCTCCTACTCCAGAGCCACCATGGTCATCCAACTATTCAGGGGGACCTTCTACCCATGGAGGCGGGGAGGAGTCCAATGCCACGCAGGAGAAACTGGGGATCCTAGCGACTGCGCACCAGGAATCCCACACTACAGTGACTCCTTCAGTGCAGGAAATCATGAACGAGTACTCCACGCCAGCGCCATCTACGAAGGGGCTCAAGGTGGCTGTGGACAAGATGGACAAAGCGCGCAAGAAGCTCAAAGAGGCGGAGAAGGCGCGCTTCAACATGCATTCTTCCTGGAGGCGGTACATAGCCGATTCAGTGCAGCGATGGACTCAATTTGCAGAGAAGTTTGGTCACGACGATCAAGAGCTTGCAGACAGAGTCAAAGCAGCCAAAGAGAAGTTGCAGAAAGCCAAGGAGGACGTCGACAACAAGAAGGCGGCCTTGGAGGAGCAGGACGAGGAGGAGCACATCGACATCTCGGACGACGAGATGGTGGACAAGGTGGATGCCGCGGAGAACATTCAAGCCAGCTTGTCAAACATGGTTCATCATCTGCAGGTCATGCAAGAGAAGGCAGACGCAGCCATTGTGGAAGCTGGCGAGAACAAAAACAAGAGACAACGAACAGAAGAGCCAGGCAACGTACCGCCTGGTGGAGATGGCTCCCAAGTATCTGCTCAAGGTGCCATGAGCTCTGCGATGGAGCCTTTTGGCAAGCCAGGCAAGTAGACTGTCAAGAGACTTGCTTATGGCATCAACAAGGCCCGTCTGCAGCTCTTTTGAACTGGGGCCACAGTTTTGTCTATGAACCAGAGTTTCTTTCACCATGGGCGGCGTCTTTCCGTGGGCTTGATCTGGCGTGGGAGATGGGCACAATTTGGGATGTTGGCAGCAATTCTTTTGTTCCTTCTTTGAAGTCGGACATTTGTCAACGTCGTCGTCGTCGCCTTCGGCGTGTGCACTTCGCGGAACGTATAGAGTTCTATGTGGGGTTTGAGGACTCAACGCGATGGGCATGCCGGCAAGCGAAGTTATGTCCTCTCCAACATCAACCATCGTTACGAGCACTGTTCAATGATCCATATGCGGACGCCGAAGTTTTGTCTGAGGACGATGATGCCTCCGACGAAGTTTCATGGATGTCTGCTTCAGCAGTTCCAGTTGATCATGACAGTCCTCCAGTTTCTTCGAATCGTGCAGTGACTCGGATTGCGGATCTTCCTGAAGTTGCTCACCAAGAAGACGAGATTGGTTTAGCAGATGAGGCAGATAGTCAATGCAGTTCATCTGGAGATGAAACCAGCCACATGCAGGACGTACTTGACCAGGAGGTTGTTGTGCCCCCGGAAGTACGACACTCGACGCTGGTCTACTTCTTTGACTTTGACCCCGTGCACTGCAGACCAAGATGGACCAACTATGATGTTTTACATGAAGATATTGCGGAGGAGTCAGACATGAGCCCACATGATGTCTCAAGGATTCATGTGGTTGGACATCCTCCCAACGACCTCAAGATGGCGAACATTTATCCCGTCATTGCGCAACAGCCGCAGGACATATCAGAGGGGTCCACTTTTCAAATGATCCTTTTGGATGTGGAGTTCCACAATGCCTTGCCGTCTCTTGATCCAGAAGTTGTGAGAAGGGTGAAACTTCTGCCAATGACGGTGTCTCGAAAAGCTCTCTTTGCGATCCTGGGTCTGCAGCCATACTGCAACTATGCCAAGAAACAATGTCTCCTTTGGCACAACCGTAACCCAGTCAAAGTACAACAGAGAGCCCTACTTGATCTTCGTCATGGAGATTATGTACGAATTGCGGTCCCTCCGGCACGGGGTGAACTGCGGAAATATTACACCAGGGAAGTTGCACAATGCTTTCGTCGAGGATACAGGGCAAGCAACATTCCTGTGCTACTTGAAGCATATCCTGCAGGTTTTCCTGTGGAAGACATGCCAGTCTACGATACTTTCAGCTACGTGCCCAGGGCGGAAGATCTGGACTATGACAGAGATGCCTTGGCCCTCTTTCAGATTGAGAGCTTCAGCATCCCTCCATTTGACCCATGGCCAGTTTTCTTGAAGCGTTGCGCAAAATTTGAAGCGGGTTCTTTTGAGATGAAAGCGGGGGAGAATGATCGTATGGATCCACCCAGTTTTGCGACGGACCAACATCGTCCTCAGCAAGTTCCACCCCCTGATGATCCGCTTATGCTCCGCTTTGGAAATGAAGCAGGCTTTTTGCAAGATCTGCGGCCTTTCTGGGAACACTTTGCTGCGGCTGAAGTTGAAGAAGAAGGCAGAGTTTTGTATGTGCAGACGTGGTATGCAGATCATGAACGTTTTCCACGTTGTGACTCATCAAGGGCAGTACGGCTCACCGCCAGTCCTTGGGACTGGGCAGAGAAGCTAGCTGAAGCATGGGATGATCGAGTGGATCCTGACAACATCATCGATCTCTACATGATCCAACCCCGACCGAGGTCTACATCCTGGACAGATGATGAAGCAGTACCACATATCCTGCTCCTTCAAAATCCGCATCCTGCCAGGAGGAGCATTCACATTTTCTCTGTCGATACAAGCAACCCGACGAGCGCAGCAACATCATTTGTCACGAGTGCACCTTTTCCTTTACGGAAAGTTGATTTTTTCGACATTCTGGGCATTGCGGATCGTTCTATGATTAGCAGCTTGGTGGATTGCGCTGTATGGCATGGGGACATTGAGCTCGACCACGTTCAACAATACCCTAACAGACACGGCGCAAGCTTCATCGTCATTTTGAACCACCTCCGCGACATTATTCATCGTGCAGCAGCGGCCAATGAAGCAGCAAGTTCTTCCTCTACATCTCTCTTGCAGGTTGCGAGTGTTCGGAAGACCATTGAGCTGGCCACTTGCATTGATGATGTGCAGACCTGAGCCTATTTCTGAGCTAGCGCTTCAGGTCAAATGGCTAGCAACACCGAGTGCTCATCCAGACTTCATCACGGTTGAGGCTGATGTTTCGCATGATGGAGTTGCCGTTGAGCTGGAGAACTGGGGTTTTCGAATACGAGCTGTCCTTTGCGATGAAAGAAGTGTGGCCGTCTGCCTCAACCTCAAAGCCGATGAGGACCAGACCTATGAGTATGTCTTTGTTAACCTGGATGTTGAGGACGACACCGATATTTTGGTGCATTCTTCTCCAAAGGTTCTTAGCACTTCCGACCTCATGGCGACGCTATACAAATTGGGGTTTTGGCGGGCAGTCATCAACACAACAGAGACGGTCGAGCCGGGCCTTTTTAAGGTCACCTTTCGAGATCAGAAAGTAGCTCCAATGACGAGATCGTCTACACCAAAGAGGACAGCAGTTTGGCCGTTGCCACACTTCAGCAAAACACGTCATGCTCCCTTCTTCACTGCACCAGAGCCATACCAAAGCGACCAACTGATTGACATCGGCATCAGTTTGGATGACTTACAAGAGCTCTTCAAGTCACACGTAGATGTTCTTCTGCGAGATTTTGATGGTCATGACCTTCCAGCCGAAGTTCAACATGCTCTTCAAGCCTGCGATGCATCGATTCCACTGGCAGATTTGGACAGGTTGCTGATATACACTGACGGTTCGTCCATGGGCTTCGCGAAACACATGGCACCGCTCAGAGCAGAAGAAGAAGGAGTGGGAGACACATGGGCATACGTCATCCTTGGTGAGCGCTATCATCCTCCTGGTTTACGCTTTATCAGGAGCACAACTACCACCTGGGTGCGAAAAGAATCGGTGCGGACCTGGCAGAAAAAGAAGCTCTTTCATGGGCAGCTATGTGGCGTCTCAGCTTCAACTGGGATATCCCAACATGTTTCCGGTCCGACTCTCGCGTCGCTCTGGGCCAAGCGGCAGGCAGCACCGGCACTGCCGAGCTGGACGAGTCCTTTGTCTTCCTCCGCGGGTCCTTTCAAGCGTTGGAAGCAGCGCTGGGCAGAGAGCACATTGCTTATGATCATGTACCTGGACATTCAGGCAAAGTTTGGAATGAACTTTGCGATTGGCTAGCAAAAGCTGAGAGACAGAAAAGCCAGTACTGTCATCGTCCTTCTTTGAATATGATCAAGTGGAAGAAGGCAATTGGACATCTTTGGCTTGTCTTTCAGAAGCAGCCTGATTTGCCAAGTTTTTGTGGCAATGGACTTCACGCACCAGCTCCTGCTCTTCCCCAAACTGACTCTCGACAGACTGGAATTATCGCGGAGGATGCAGTGAATCAACGATGGCGGCCAGTTCACTTTCAACTGAGTGTGTGCACCGCAAATGTGCATTCTTTGTGTGCCCACCCTGAGGGACACGGTGGCAAAATTGCCTTTCTCAGAAAACAGTTTCTGGACTTTCACCTGAACTTCTTGGGCATTCAGGAAGCGAAGACACCAGAATTCTGTTCGACTGTCGATAACGTGCTCAGGCTCAGCTCTGGATGCACAGGTCACCAGCAAGGAGTAGAATTGTGGATCAACCTCTCACAGCCCTACGCTTACTTTCGAGGTCAGGCGCAGCTGTTTGAAAGGAGAGACTTTCAAGTCGTATACAAGGACTCCAGAATCCTCTTTGTGCGTGTTGATACCACCCTCTGGAATTGTTGGCTGCTTGTAGCGTATGCGCCACAGAGCGGTTTGCCGCTTTGCCAACGAGAAGAATGGTGGCATCACTTGGAGGAAGTCACTAGCTGCAGGTTGGCATCTGATCCCATGATTGTCATGATTGACGCCAATGCGGCACCAGGGGAATTTGACGGCGAGGCAGTTTGCGTTCATGAGCTTCGCACTTCCGTCAACACACCGCTTTTCAGGAACTTTGTGGCGGAGCACGAGCTTTCTTGCCCTGCACCACTTCGGCACATATTGGCGAGATCAACACATGGACTGACCCTTCGGGTTCATCGCAGCATTGCATTGATTACATTTTGCTTCCCAAGCATCTTCTTCATGCATGCAAGGCCTCACAAATCATCACGGAGTTTGACCTCGGCATGTCAACATGGGATCATGAGGCCACAGCGGTTGAACTAGAGTGGAAAGATTGGTCTCTAGCACCTCTTCAAGGGTCCAGTGACAGCAGAGGCTATAACCCTCAAGCTATCTCTACTCCAACCACCAAGAAGATTTTGGAAAGCTATTGTCCGCAACCATGGCAAACCAACATCGAGGAACACGTTCAAGGTTTCAATCAACATGTGCTGGACGGCTTGCGAAAAGAGTGTCCTCATGGTCGCAGTCAGCCCAAGAAGCCCCACATCTCTGGCGAGATTTGGGACAAAAGGCAGTCCAAACTTTCACTCAAAAAGCGACTCAAGGAGTTGTCGAGAAGACAAAGAGATGAAAGGCTCCGTGTCATCTTTTCCACCTGGCGGGTTCATGACACACCAGATGGATGCATTGACCCTGACCACTTCATGGACTATATGAATTTTCTCTGGCTGGCCAATCTCAAACTTGTAGCCTCCTACAAACGAGCAGCTCTTGACCTGAGGAGCCATCTTCGCTCTGCCAAGAACAAGGAGATCCAGCAGAAGTTTGAGCACATGGCACCAGACACCCCTGCGAGCCTGATTTTGCATGAGCTTCGACCCCTCCTTGGGCCATCCAATCTTAAGAAGTTGAAAGTGAACACATTGCCGCATGTGAGAAAGGAGAACGGCGAGATTTGCAGCCTACCCAATGAGGCGGTAGAGACGTGGTTGGAATTTTTCCGACAAATGGAGGGCGGCGAGAGGATGGACATGGAGACACAGCGGCAAATCTGGATTGCAAACCTGGCCCGTTTTCAACAAGATCACTTTTGCGTTGATGCTGAGGACTTGCCAAGGCTCATTGATCTAGAGGCGGCGTATCGAAGAATCAATCCAGCCAAGGCGGTTGGTCCGGATCATCTTCATCCAGCCTTTTGCCGCGCGATACCACCTCTCATTGCGCGATGTACCTTCAGCCAACTGTATAGGCTGGCGCTCCACGGACAAGAGGCCCTGGAGCATAAAGGCGGCATCCTTCACCCTTTATGGAAGTCAAAAGGTCCGAAGGACCAGTGCTCAGCATATCGAAGCATCCTGGTTTCCAGCTTCATTGGCAAGAGCATTCACAGAAGCATCAGGCAAAGACAGTCAGACCTATTCGGTCGCTTCCTGCAATCGGAACAGCTGGGAGGAAGACCCAAGGTGCCGGTTACCCTTGGTGTCCACCTGGGCAGAGCCTTCATCAGATCCCGAAAAAGCCAAGGCCACAGTGTAGCGATGCTATTCATCGACCTCACGGAAGCATTCTATCGGATCCTTCGGCCTTTGGTGCTGGGCGGCCGGGTTACAGATGAGTTGATCATGCATGTTGGCCGACGGCTGGGTTTCTCAGAGGATCTTTTGGGGGAGCTCTACCATCATCTTTCAGAGCCAGCTGCTGTTCAAACAGCAGGATTGCCAGGCCATATGCAGAACACCCTCAAAGCCATACACTCTGATACGCACTTTAGCGTACAGGGACAAGGAGACGTCTGCCGGACGCGTCTCGGTTCGCGTCCGGGAGACTGTTTTGCGGATGTCATCTTCTCCTACCTGTGGGGGCGTATTCTTCACCGCCTACAGCGTGCCCTTGAGGACATGCACATTGTGGAGAAGATTCCCATTGAAGCGGGTCTGCGCATTGCACGTGAAGCGGGCGACAGTGTCCAGAGGAGCTTCCTGTGACCAACGTGGATGGACGATACATGCATTTGCATGTCAGACCCGCAGGCTGATGTTCTGCAGCGCAAGATTCACCAGGCCACCAACCTGATGCTGTCGTTGTGTGAATCACATGGCCTATCACCCAATTTGAGTGCTGGAAAAACAGAAGTCCTGTTGGCGTTCCAGGGTCTCCATTCCAGAAGGATGAAGGTCCAATACTTTGGCCCAAACTCCGACAAGACGTTGAAGATCATCGGAGAGCAGGGCACGCACAAAGTTCGCGCAGTACATCACTACTCACACCTTGGCTGCATCATCCATCACAAATCGGACAATCGCAAGGAAGCGAGGCGCAGAATGGGGATAGCGCAGCAAGCTTTCTCTCAGCACCGCAAATACCTTCTGCAAAATCCATCATTGTCGCTTCGCAGACGATATGAACTTTTCAGAACCCTCGTCATGAGTCGATTCTGCTACGGGACAGAGTCATGGACGTTTATGGAAGAGCGCTCGAAGGTCTACATCCACAACACGCTGATGCGGCTCTATCGTCGTCTTCTTTGCCGAGCACATGATGAGCACCTCACGGACAATGACATTTTGGTCATGCTCCAGGCGCCTAGCCCTACCGAAGTTCTTCGCATTTTGCGCTTGCGCTATCTGGGGACGCTCTACAAATGTGGACACATTGTTCCCTGGGGGCTTCTCAACGCAGACACATCATGGACTTCGCTGGTGGCTGATGATTTGTTGTGGCTATGGATCCAACTTCAGAACTCTTCAGCGCTACCAGACCCCAGGGTCTCTTTGATGGCTTGGGAGAACATCTGGCAGAACCATCCTTCCTATTGGCGAAGACTAGTATACGCAGAGGAGCTGAACATGCGGTCCAACAACGTCAACGTCACCATCAAGTGGAGGTTTTTCATCAAGCATTTGTTCCTCTTCTACGTCAAGCACAACCAGCTGTTTTTCGTGCTTGTGAGCGTGAAACTGCCTACGTGGTTCATGATGAAGGAGAGGATGGCCCACATGCATGTATGACCTGCCTCAGTAGCTTCAAGAGCAAAGGTGGTCTTGGAGCTCACCTTTTCAAGCGTCATGGAGTTGTTTCCGGGCTCAGACTCCTTTTCGAAACTACGTGCTGTGCCCACTGTATGAAGGAGTACCACACTTACAGTAAGCTTCATGCACATCTGCGATATTCAGCTGAATGCCGCACAAGACTGTGGGGACGTCGCCAGCGTTTTGCTCCGGTTGCAGGCACTGGTTCCGAGGCGGACAGGTCTCTCTGTCGGACCCATGATGGCATTCTGCCGCCTCTGGACACAGAGGGTCCCCAGCAACCAGCTGCACCAGCAGAAGAGCTGCCTGACCATGACCTTCATTTGGCTGAGGCAATCTATCTGGTTATCCTAGAGAAGGATGCAGGAGCAGACATTGAAGAGCTCGTCAGACAGGTCATTCACAATAAAGTGACGACATGGTCTATCTGCAAGGCGACTCTACGCTATCTGCTGGAGAACCTGACGGAGCAGGATGTCATCGCCTTGGACATTGGGGACTTTGACCTCATGGGGCTACTACGTGGTCTTCTATGTGTTCAAGCTTGGGCATTTTCCTGCGCGGGATCGACGTCGAGCTCTACAGCCTGCGCACGCGCTTCTTTGGAGGAGATCGAGCTCCTTTGCAGAGAAGGAGCTGCGATCGGAGGAGAGCGAGAGCCTTTCTGGGAGATTCCGAGACCTATGGCGCGGGAACGCTTCTTGATCCACGCTTTTTCTGGTCGCCGGCGTGAAGGAGATTTCCAGTACTTCATCGAGGTCGCCCAGAAGGATCACCCAGACATGACCATCTTCACGATATCTGTGGATTTGATGGTTGATCCCATTTGGGGAAACGTTGCAGATGAAAAGGTGAGAAGCTTTTGGTTGCAGGCCATCCGACAGCGACAAGTTATTGGGGCCCTTGCAGGGCCCCCCTGCGAGACTTGGTCGCAGGCAAGAGGTCGACAGGTCTCAGACACGTGCAGCCATCCGCGGAGAGGCCCACGAGTCATTAGAGACATTGACTGTCTTTGGGGGCGAGTTTCCTTAGCGCTCAAGGAACTGAGACAACTGGATATCGGCAACCTTCTTCTCCTCTTTGTCATCGAGATGCTGCTGAATCTCGCCATCGCTGGCGGACTTGGAGGCCTGGAACATCCAGCGCCACCTTCTGATCCGAGCTTGGCAAGCATTTGGCGGCTTCCTATCCTCATGTGTATGATGGAGTGGCCTGAATTCAACTTCATCGAGGTGGCGCAAGGTCTATGGGGAGCGAAGAGCAGAAAGCCAACGGGTTTGCTCCTGCTCAATCTGAGCCAGATGGTGCCTGCTCTTCGCCGCTGGCAAGTAGCTACGGAGATTCCACAGGGCACTAGCATAGGACTTACGTCAACAGGCGAATGGGCGACAAGCGCCCTGAAAGAGTACCCACCAGCTTTTTGCGCTGGGCTGGCTGCTGGGTTCATTGACACCCTCCACTTACATCCAGTGGAGAAGACCGTTGAGATCGACCAAAAGTTCCGAAGGCAGGCTTTGGACATGGTGATTACACCGCAAGGCCAGTGTATAGGCCCGGACTTTGCACAGTGAGCGATTCTCTCGGTGAATTCAAGACAGACAAAGCATGGCCGCAGCATTACTTGCTTCATTGTGCCACGAGCCAAAATATACATATATATATATACAGTATGTATGTTTGGCGACTCCTGTGGCTCTTTGTCAAACTTAGGGACATGAAAGAACGGCTTGTAGGTCCATTGTAGGTTTGCAGCAGTGCATCATATCCCTACAGCTTCTTTTGTTGGGTCTATGGCTTCTTTCGAATCACCAATGTCAATTTGCTACTCCTCGTGCCTGGTGAGCTATCCCTTTGCTCCAGCATTAAAGGAAACAATTCCGATCTTCAAGCCCAATGAAAATACCAAAGTCAGAGCTCATCTCATCTCAGCTTTAAACTGTTCGTGATTTTCTTGAGTTGATCTCAAACCCAGGTAGCATCTGTTGCATGCCCTCCCATTAGCTGAAAAATTGCGTGCGCAAGTCTCCTTTGCTGAGTTGTTTGGGTTTTCAACATTTCTGGATTTTGCAACTATGCCATCAATTGTTACCAAGCCGAGAGGAAAGCGGCCTGCAAGTTGAACAGGCCCAAGATGTAAGGCCTTATTTCAGAGAATGTCAGAAGAAGGTTGATCAATTTGAGTTAAACCGATCAGTTCCAACATATTATCAGATGCCGTGCGTCACAACATCGAATCTCTTCTGCCTATGCCATGTAGCATTCACATCTTATGTGCAGTATCCGTCGTATATATTCTACACCGTTGGATTTCCCCATTTCCAGGGAGGAATCCCCTGCTGATCAATCGTCCCAGATTTTCCGGAAGCCTTGGAAGCTTGTTCTGTGACTTTTCTTGGGATCTTGGGATCTTGGGCTCTTGGCGTTGAGTAGAAGAGGTCTCTGTACTTGAAGAAGGAAAACGCCGGAGCTCAGACGATGCTGCGGGTGTTTAACTTTTTCAGACAAGACCAACTAAAAATGGCCCAACGGGAGTCAACACTTTCACACAGGTGCTCTTCAACGTTATATGTGGCCATGTGTCAATGTTCAAAAGTCAGAGTCAGAGAATGTAACACACATTGAATGTTGGCGATTTCTGTGCAGTACATCGTGTTAAACTCGTGTTAAACGAGGACTGCAACAGCTGGGCTATGGGCAATCCAACGACCTGGGCTGAAAGAGCGGTCATGGTCACGGCGATACACTGCACCACATTTGCATACTTTTGCTCCACAGTTGCGTCCCAACACTGGGCAATTTTTCTACACGAAAATCCAAGTCTGTACATACCAAATCCAATAGGTCTCCTAGTTTCCCTTCTCAGGACAACTGCATCCAATGAAATGATGTCCGTGAAAGCATTACGTGGTCACGACTCACAAAGATTCATTGCTTGGACTTTTAATAGGCCTCAAATGACCACAACTGAACATCTAAAGCTCCTGGCCACTGGATGACATTGCAACGTTCCACTCCCTTGTGCAAAGTTATGACAATCCAATGTGAATGATGTCAAAGTATACAGCACTATGTGGGCTTGCACAGGAAGTCACTGCATTGGGGGGAAGGATAAAGTACTCTCCAAATCTGCCATATGGCAATCACTGGACGGAATTTCTAAGCGCCAGCCTCCACAAAGTCATCCAGGGAGGCTGTGGCCTTGCTGCTTCAAACCACATCTGCAACTCTAAATCGATTCGACCAAAGATGGCAAAGGAAAAAGTCAAACCAAATCAATTTTATGCTGCCAATGCCAAGAAAATTCAAGCCAATCGACCGGCTTCGTTACGCCTTTCAGGAGTCCAAAACAAGGATCGACAAGAATTATTGCACAGGCGGTGCAGCTGAGGTGGCATCAGCATGCATTGTGAGATTGCGGCAAGACGTAGCGTGTTTTTTGTTGTAAGTTGACACCACCTGCTCCCATGTGAAGGGTGTTATATATTTAAAAAAACACACACACACTCTGAAATGAACTTCAACAAAATGCACCGGCTGACCTGCATCTCTGACCTGCATCTCTCATTTAATTGTGCTGGTCAGGTCTGTAGGTCTGATTAATCTCTGTAGGTCTGTATCTTCTTTGGCTGTGGTTTTGATTGTTCTCTTGCTGCTGGTCTTTACTTCGTCTGAATTCAATCCACCCGTCCATTCCAATTCTCGTTTTTGTTTTCATTTTCCTTCTTCCCTTTCTTCCTTTTCCTCTTCCTCCTTAATCTACACCTGGTTTTACGATTCTTAGTTTCAAACCAGCTACATTACAGGATGTCTGTGTGCATGCGCATCATGATTAGGTTCACTTTGAAAACAAGCAAACGCACACACTTGATCAGAGCCGCAATCCCAAGAGGACTTTTGGGTTGCAAGACATGTACAACAACCACAACACCACAACACCACAACAACCACAACAACCACAACAACCACAACAACCACAACAACCACAACAACCACAACAACCACAACAACCAACAACCACCACAACAACCACAACAACCACAACAACCACAACAACCACAACAACCACAACAACCACAACAACCACAACAACCACAACAACCACAACCACCACAACCACCACAACCACCACAGCCACCACAACCACCACAACCACCACAACCACAACAACCACAACCACAACAACCACAACCACAACCACAACCACAACCACAACCACAACCACAACCACAACCACAACCACAACCACAACCACAACCACAACCACGACGCCCACGGCGACAACGAGGACAACCAGGACAACGAGGACAACGAGGACAGCAAGGACAACGAGGACAACACTGACGACAGCAACAACAACAACAATAACAACAACACATGTATGTATGTATGTATGTATGTATGTATGTATGTATGCATGCATGCATGCATGCATGCATGGATGGATGTATGTATGTATGTATTTGTGTATTTGTGTATGTATGTATGTATGCATGTATGTAATGTATGTATGTAATGTATGTATGTATGTATGTATGTATGTATGTATGTATGTATGTATGTATGTATGTATGTATGTATGTATGTATGTATGTATGTATGTATGTATGTATGTATGTATGTATGTATGTATTTGTGTATTTGTGTATTTGTGTATTTGTGTATTTGTGTATTTGTGTATTTGTGTATTTGTGTATTTGTGTATGTATGTATGTATGTACGTATGTATGTATGTATGTACGTATGTATGTATGTATATGTTGTAACTCGATGTAGCTCGATGTAACTTTGTGTAACTCGATGCAACCCGATGCTACTCGATGTAACTCTATGTAACTCTATGTATATAACTCCATCTAAGTCTATGTAAGTCTACGTAGGTCTTTGTAAATCTACGTAACTCTATGTAACTCGTCGAAACTCTTTGTAATTCTATATAACTCTATGCAACTCCGTGTCATTGTATGCAGCTCTATGCAACTCTATGAAGCTCTGTGCACATCTATGTAAATCTATGTAACTCTATGTCAAACTGTGTAGACCTATGTAAGTCTATGTCACTGTATGTAACTCAATGTAACTGTATGTAACTTTTTGCAACTCAATGTAACTCTCTGCAACTCTCTATGTCACTCTATGTAAATACATGTTGCCCTATGTAATTCTATGTAACTCTATGTAACTCTATTTAACTCTATCTAACTCTATCTTGTTCCATCTAGTTCTATGTAACTCTACGTAATTCTTTGTAACTCTATGTAACCCTATGTAACCCCATGTAACTCTATGTAACTCTTTGTAACTCTATGTAATTCTATGTAATTTTATGTAACTCTATGTAATTCTCTATGTATCTATGTAGGATGGTAGGTAGGATTGATAGTCAAATGTATGTAAGTGTATGCAATGTAGTAAATGTATGCAGGGTATTTCATGTATGCGATGTAGGCAATGTATGTTGTGTATGTTTTGTATGTCATGTATGTTGTGTATGTTGTGTTTGTTATATAAATGACGTTTAATCAATTTTAATGTGTATGTAATGTGGAATTATGTTAGGTCATATTTTTTGATGTTATGATATTTTGGGTGTTGTATCTTATGTATGGTATGAAATTTATGTATGTTACGCATGTCTTTTGTGCAATGTATGTAGTGTATGTAATGTATGTTAGGTTTGTTATGTCTGTTTTGTCTGTTTCTCATGTTATGCATGTTATACATATGAAATCGTTGTATGTTATACATGTGTGTTATGTGTGTTGTAGGTACTATGCATGTGATGTACGATGTGCATGTTATGTATGTTATGTTTGCTATGTTTGTTACGTATGTTATGTAAGCTATGTCTGTTATTTCAGGTTGTGTCATGTTCTGTTCTGATATGAACTATGATGCTATGTAAGTGCGTATGTTTAAATATGTTCAGATGAGCGAGAGCACACAAAAAGCGGACGAAAAGTCTTACATCTATGCAGATGTGACACCATACACTCACACACACACAGGCAACGTGCTTTGACGGCCTACTTTATGTCAAGCACTTTTGCAGAGCAGCCTTACGCAAAGCAGCTATTCTTGCATCACTCGCCTTTTGCACCAGAGGCCTTGTGCACCGAGATGCTTCTATTCTAACAACCTTGTGAGCAATGCGAACTTTTGCACCAGGTAGCTATTCTTATCAAGAAGCACACCACAAGCCTTCGATGCCCAGAAGCTTCTACACCAAACAGTTTTTGCACGAAATCCCTTTTGCAAACGTTAGTCTTTAATCCAAAGTGCTCCCAACCTTCTGGACCTCTCTCTACTCATTCTTGTTATATGTACCAGCCTCCACATCATGAGGTCTTTACACAGGCATCTACACCATATGCTTCCACAACAAATGCGAACTCCCGCTGCCGAAGGCAGACCAGTCATGAAATAAAACTTGAGGCCCAGGTAAGGGACGAAAGCTAGCTCACAGCCCAGCTGCGCAGATTTTTCGTCAACATGGGCGAGCAGGTCTGAAGGGGCAAGCCGGCAAGGTGAACATCCAAACCTACGTGTTGAGGCGATGTATGTTGGAGGGGACGAAGATGAGAACAATTGATGATTATGTACTGTTGCACGAAGAGGATGAGGAATGCAGCATAGCCAACATGATGACTAGTGATCGGGGAAGATTCAAAGGTCCACCTTCGGCATCGGAGTGGACCTTTGGAAGTGCGGGAAGAAGTAACTCAGTGCAAAGCCGAAGGTGAGGACAAGAGGCAGTGTGCGTGCGCAACATGAAAATAAAGCTAGGCCAAGGTTCCATGCAGCGTAAAGTGTGAAAAAGTGTAAAGTTGTGAGGGTGTAAAGTGAAGTGTAACGTGTGCAGTGTAAAAGTGTAGTGTGGAGTGTGGACTGCAAAGTGCAGAGTGTGGAGCGTACAGTGTACAGTGTAAAGTGTAGAGTGCGCAGTGTCAAGTGTGAAGTGTAGAGTGCAATGTGTAGAGTGTGGAGTGTGAAGTATAAAAAGTGAAGTGTAAGGTGTAAAGTGTGAAAGTGTAAAGTAGAGTAGAGTGTGTGGACTGTAGAGTGTCGAGTGTGGAGCATACAGTGTGCAGTGTGAGGTGTAAAGTGTATAGTGTGCAGTTTAAAGTGCATTGTGTAGAGTGTGGGGTGTGGGGTGTCAAGTGCAAAGTGTGGAGTGTAAAGTGTAGAGTGTGAAGTAAAAAATAGTAGAGTATAGAATGTCAAGTGTAAAGTTCAGAGTGTGGAGTGTGAAGTGTAGAGTGTGGAGTGTCAAGTGTAAAGTGTAAAGTGTAGAGCGTGGAGTGTAAAGAGAATATATATATAGTGCGCAGTGTCATGTGTGGAGTGTGATGTGTAGAGTGTAGAGTCTGGAGTGCCAAGTGTAAAGTGTGAACTGTAAAATGTAAAGTGTAAAGCAAAGAGTGCAGAGTGCGGAGTGTAAAGTGTGGAGTGTGGAGTGTCAAGCGTAAAGTGTGAAGTTTAAAGTGTAGAGTGTAGAGTGCGCAGTGTCAAGTGTAAAGTGTAGAGAGCAATGTGTAGAGTGTGAGGACTGTAAAGTGTAGAGTGTGGAGCATACAGTGTACAGTGTGAAGTGTAAAGTGTAAGGTGTGGAGTGTAAAGTGTAGAGTGTGGGGTGTGGGGTGTCGAGTGTAAAGTGTGGAGTGTCAAGTGTAGGGTGTAGAGTGCAGAGTGCAGAGTGTAATTTTCTGTGTAGTGTGTCAAGTTCAGAGTGTGGAGTGTGAAGTGTAGAGTGTGGAGTGTCAAGTGTCAAGTGTGATGTGTAAAGTGTAGAGTGTGTGGACTGTAAAGTGTAAAGTGTAGAGGGTGGAATATAAAGTGTATATAGAGTGCGCAGTGTCATGTCTGGAGTGTGATGTGTAGAGTGTAGAGTTTGGAGTGTAAAGTGTAGAGTGTGGGATGTAAAGTGCAAAGTGTAAAGTATAGAGTGCAGAGTGTGGAGTGTAAAGTGTGGAGTGTGGAGTGTAAAGTGAGAAGTTTAAAGTGTAGAGTGTGGAGTGTGGAGTTCAGAGTGTTGAGTGCGTAGTGGGCGTAGTGCATGAAGTGCAAAGTATAGAGTGTGGAGTGTAGAGTGAGAGTGCGCAGTGTCAAGTGTAAAGTGTAGAGTGTAATGTGTAGAGTGTGGAGTGTAAAATGTAAAGTGTAGAGTGTGGGGTGTCAAGTGGAAAGTGTAAAGTGCAAAGTGTGGAGTGTAGAGTGCAGAGTGTGGAGTGCAAAGTGCAAAGTGCAAAGTGCAAAGTGCAAACTCTGAAGTCTAGAGTGTGGAGTGTAAAGTGTAGAGTGCGGAGTGTCAAGTGTCAAGCGTGAAGTGTAGAATGTAAAGTGTAGAGTGTGGAGTGTCAAGTGTACAGTGTAAAGTGTGAAAAGTGAAGTGTAAGGTGCAAAGGGTGGAGTCCAAATTGTAAAGTGTAGAGTGTGGAGTGTAAATGTAGAGAGTGCGGAGTGTAGAGTGTGGAGTGTCAAGTGTAAAATGTAAAGTGCAAAGTGTAAAGTGTAGAGTGTGGAGTATGGAGTGTCAAGTGTAAAATTAGAGAGTGGAGTGCCAAGTGTATAGTGTAAAGTGTGGAGCGTAAAGTTTAGAGTGTCGAGTGCGGAGTGTAGAGGATGCTCGTGGTGCTGGCGGTGTCCCCGGCAGGGGTTGAGCCCACGGCCAAACTGCTTTGGGGGGCAGGGGGGGTAGTTAAGTGAGAAGTTTCTCGCGATTGGGGATTCCATCCCCCCCAATACCTTGCTAAAGCAAGAGGGACTTCAGCTGGCAGGCTATCTTTCGTGACATGAAGGGAATTCAGGCGTTAAAGCGACACTTTTGTCAATCAGTGACCAACTAGAATCAAACCACATTATATTCAAACCCAGCGGACCCCAATACACAGATGGCGCGCCAGCGACTCCACATCAACGTCCAACTCTTTGGCTGCGATCACCAAATATGCCAAGTCCTGACAGGCCAAGCAGCCCAGCAAGCTGATCTTCAAGACATTACCTGGTCATTACCCTTACTGGCCCTTATCTACCAGATCTCTGATACTCAGTATACATCATGCCACTCCTTATGCAAATGTGAACACCCACGCAAGGATCTTAACATTTGTCTTGATGCAAGCTATGTTCGACGTTTGGAACAGGAACTATATCTGCAGTTGCCACTAGCAAAATATTCCTTTGCATTCGGGATGACCTGCTACTGTCTGCCTTCGTTTCGCATTTTTTACCAGACATATTTCTCTCCCTTGACTCTGACCCTTACATTGCTTTTTCCTGTAACTATAACATTCTGACTCGTCTCATAATACAACACTAAATAGGGCAAGCTGAAGACACGGTCTTTGGACAAACTCAGGACCCTGGACTGTCCTGGACATCCAAAAGCACTATTCGAAGATCTGGGAACAACTGATGCAAGGCCTTGGCTACATCCCTCGTGACCCACGTGCCAGGCTTTAAACCAGGTTTAAGACGTTTACGAAGATCCCACAGCATAGTATCCATTAGCCTCCCACAGCATAGTATCCATTAGCCTCCCACATCTATGGCATCCCACAACACAGCACCCAGGATATGGACTTTCTCCTGAATGTTCTGAGCTTCCCGCCACATACATCTCTAGGGAAGCTCTGCCAAGACCAACGAAGCACAAAGTGGGTTTAAACTTTGGAGGCCTCACTGTCCAAAGGGTGAGTGGCAATGGCTTGCCAATGTCCAATGTCGAAACTGAGACCCCCTGCAAAAGATTGCATAAATTTGCATGAAAATCCATGGTCAAAGCCCTAGGCTTATGTTCACCGCTACCAGCTAGATCCTATGATTTAGCAGAACATGTTTGAAAAAATGTGAAAGAAAAGCAAAACAAAAATGCACAGAAATAAAATGAAATCGGAAAGCCAAAAACATGCGGAGAAAAAAAGTAAACAAAACAAAAAAACAAAAAAACGACGGAATACACGAAAATTGCGCGTTTTGTTTCGCAATGTTTCGCATGTGTTCATTCTATTTCTCGCATTTTTCTTTTTTTTCGAGTAATTTTTTATCGGGTTTTCGTGTTTTTTCGCATTCAGTGCAATTTGCACGGCTTCAGTGTTTTTTTTCATATGTTTGTTTCATGTCCATTTTTCCCCTGATAATTTTCATTTATTTCGCCTTGTTTTCACATTTTTTTCGCTTTGTCTGCGCATTTCTTGTTTGCTGCTGTTTCTTCGATTATTTTTTTTTCCAATGTTGTTCTTTGTGCTTGGATTTACATTTTTTTCCTTTGCATTGTCTGTTTTGTTTTTTCCGCGTTTTTTGAAACATATTTTGCTCGAGCTTAGGATTCGGGCAACCTGGCGAACATAACCCTAGGCCCTAGGCCCTGGATTACCTGAAGATTGCCCTTCCTATTCGAAGAACTCCTGCAACTGTATGATTTCCCTGTCTGAACCATTGCTAGCAGAACCGCGGCGGAAACACATTCAGGTCAAAATGAACTTCACTGTTGGTCAGACGCCAAACGACTATTCACTCGAGGCAAGGCCCAGCCATTGAGGCGTGCACCATGCAAGTCCCTGGGTCAAAACCTCAGGCACTGTGGAAAATGCTACCAGTCAAGATTTCAACGTTGGTTTTGCATTTTTTTTTCCACAACAAGCAGTATTTGAAACTAAGAAGCCCATCGCATCACCTGCACCGTTTTGATCCTTGGATGAGGCAAAGGCCTTGTCCTCTGACATCACAAAGATTTTGTGGCCTGCAGGTGACCTGGCAAAAACATTCAAAATGAATCCAAATGATGGATATCTCAGACGGATAGTTTCTCGTAGATTCATCATTTCGATGCACTTTGGGTACCAAAATGGGCTTCAATGTGTTTGTTTGTTTTTCTGGCGCGTTTGGTAAGCTGTGTTTTTTCTGATTTCATCTTGGGGCTAGGATTTTGAAGAAAAACTTGCACAGGAAAACTTATGCAGGAACCTCTGCGCAAGCCGGCATTTGAAAGGTTTCTTGCTGCGAGTGTTGCTGTTGCAGTGTTGATTATGCCTGTTGGAGGGAACCTTGCGCGGATATTTTAGTCGGTTTTCGCTGCTGTTGCACGGTTGCTTAGGGCCACCCTTTTTGAGCGACCTTACATTAGAACCGATTTTTGTGTTGCTGTTGTTGCTATTGCTGATGTTTGGGTTTTGGCATGTGAAGGACGAAAAAAAAAACGGGAACTATGGATTAGCCGTTGCTGGCGTTTTGTGGAGTATTGTTTTCGAAGCACGTTTTGTTTCTTTTGGTATTGGTGTTGAAGTTGATGATGTTGATGTGTTGATGTTGCTTGTGATGATGATGATGATGATGATGTTGGCGCTGGTGCTGGTGCTGTTGCTATGGTTTTTCCGGACACCAATGCAAAGTCGGGTACAATATAGAATGTCATGGTGTGGTTGGTGCTCTAGCTAGTTTTATATTTGCAGATTTCGTGACACTGAGGGGGGAGGGGCATGGGGTGAGGGCACACCAAAATAAACACCTTGAGCGAGATTGCCATTCCACATGTGATTGTTTTTCTGTTTTATTTAGTTCCTCTCTTTCTTCTACTACTTTTTTGCTGCCTTTTTTTTTGATTTTCCCGCCAGCTCCTGCAAAAGGGTTCCTTCCAAAGAGCGGCTGCCACGTACATTTTCAACATCGCCTTTATCATAATCCTTTTCTTCTTCATTATCATTTCCATGATCCCTATCTTCATCAGCATCATCGTCATCATCAACATCTACACATCTACATATCGGTGTAAAAGTGCCTGTGTGTAAAAAAAATTGTGTGTAAAAGAATTTATGTGTGAAAGTTTGTGTGTGTAAAGGCCTTCGTGTAGAGAAGTTTTGGCGCAAAAGGTTTAGTGTGTGTGTGTGTAAGGTGTTTCCTGGTCAAAACGTTTGTGTGTGTAATTTTTTTTAGATCATCACCATCTTGAAAAGCATCATTTCCATAATTATCCTCACCAATATCTGACCATCGGTCTTTTTTTCACACATATTGCCTTTTGGAAGGAACTCTTCGCGTGTGTGAGTTGTCTTTGGAAAAAACATTCGTTTGTCTCCTGGTTTCCCTTCAGGCAACAGTGTCGTCTAGTTTTGCTTTATGTGTTTTTTGTTGCTTCTTTCCGTGCCTGTTGCTCTTGGTTTTGTATGTTTTGTTCTTCTTGCTCTTCTTGCTCCTCTTATTCTGATTGATATTTATGCTGCATGTTACTTTTGTTATTCTTGTTGTGGGCTCGAACGTCGGGGCGCCTCGCGCAAAATAGGCTCGTTTCGTCCTGTAAATTAGAGGACATTTGGTTTCCAAGACCATTTAGCACTGGGAAACGCAAGAGTTCATAGGGGCCGCATTTTATCCTATTAATCGCAAGGAATTTAAGTTTCGACGCTCAAAAAAAAAGTTTAGTACATTTTGCATTCATGACATTCCAGATCAATGGTTGGTTGATATTCATACCTTAAACATCAGCAATATTTCATTGTTTCGGTAGATTTCCTTGCCCACGGATGTCATTGACTTGGCACCTCGGCCGATGTTGACATATGTGTACTTGCTGAGCAGCATCAACCATTGTGCCCCACTGCATCCAGTGGCACCTGATTTCATTCAAGCTTTGGATGTGCCTTGCCTTTGCTTCGGCTGGTTTGGGGGGCGAGGTTTTCGGGGGGTGGCTAATAATGTTTTTGTTTCTGCGTTAATTGGTGCTACGTTCTTCAACTTGCTCAACAACTTCCAGGACGCTCTTGAGACTACACTCTTCGAGGGCTTCACGTAACTTCCAAAAACCGTTTTCTTGAATTGTCGGAAAACGCTGACTGGCTGTATCACCCTTTTGCGTGACAACGAACACCGCGAAGGAAAAACAACTGAAGCTGAACTGGTTCCACCAAAGTGATTCTTTGCTGTTCGAAACATGTCCCAAATTTGCCAACACATTGGTCCCAATCGCGTGGGCACTCAGTGCTGCTGAAGATGATAATGATGATGAAGATGATGATGAAGATGATGATGAAAATGATGATGATGATGATGATGATGATGATGATGAAGATGATGATGATGATGATGATGATGAGGATGATGAGGATGATGATGATGATGATGATGATGATGAGGATGATGAGGATGAGGATGACGATGGCGATGGCGATGGCGATGGCGATGGTGATGGAGATGATGATCATGATGATGATCATGATGATGATCATGATGATGATCATGATGATGATCATGATGATGATCATGATGATGATCATGATGATGATCATGATGATGATCATGATGATGATCATGATGATGATCATGATGATGATCATGATGATGATCATCATGATGATGATGATGATGATGTGCTGGGGTGGGGTGGGGTGGCATCAAAAACCAGCGTCTGAGCGTTGTTGTGTTGAGTCTTGAAATCATGTTTTGTTCTTCTGCTTGTCCTGTTTCCCTCTCCTGCTCCTTCTCCTTCTCCTTCTTCTTCTGTTAATTATCCTTTTCTTATGCTGGTTCCCGTTCTTTTTATTAGTTATGTGGTGTTGTTCCTTTCATTGTTCTTAGAGGTGATTGTTTTGTGTCTGGTATTCTTGTTCTGGGAACAGGATTGTTCATTGGGTTGTTCCCATTGGTTTTGAGAAAGCGCGGATTTGGTGGCACAGGATGGAGCACCGCAGTGCTTCACCCACATTGGCCTTCAGCGTAATCAGAAAAACTTCAGGAAGAAGAACGAAAAGCACAGGAAAAAAACTGACAGAACCCACCACAATTCATATCAAACGGTTTGCCTTACAGTTTGGAACTAGAACCTGTCATTTTGCATGGTATTTGCTACATTTGGGCATGGTCACTTTCTATTCTGCATGGTATTTGCTACATTTGGCCATGTTTGCCTTCCATTTTGCATGGTATTTTCCACATTTTGGTACTTCAACCGCTCATTTGATAGTATTTGCTACATCTTGCTACTTCAAACTCAAACATTCATGTGGGTTTCTTCATTCAGTGCTTTCATTTAGGGCTTCATTTAGGGTTTCTTTAGGGCTTCATTTGGGGCTTTATTTGGATTTTATGTTTAGTATTTCTTTAGGGTTTCATTTAGATTTTTTTTCGGATGTCATTTAGGGTTTCTTTAGGGTGTAATTTAGGGTTTCTTTAGGGTTTCCTGTAGGGTTTCTTATCAGGAATTCTAAGGTTCATGTGGGTTGCACTAGGGTTTCTTTCATGTTTCATTTAGGGTTTCTTTAGGTTTTCATTTAGGGTTTCATGTAGGGTTTCATTGAGGGTTTCATTTAGGGTTGCATGTAGGGTTTCATTTAGGGTTTCTTTAGGGTTTCAGTTAGGGTTTCTTTAGGGGTTCCTTACGGTTTCATTTAGGGTTTCTTTAGGGTTTCTTTAAGGTTTCATTTAGGGTGTGATTTAGGGTTTCTTTAGGATTTCATTTAGGGTTTCTTTTGGGTTTCTTTGAGGTTTCACTTGGGGTTCCTTTAGGGTTTCAGTCAGGGTTTCTTTAGGGTGTCGTTTAGGCTTTCTTTAGGGTGTCATTTAGGGATTCATTTAGGGTTCTTTAGAGTTTCATTTAGGGTTTCTTTAGGGTACATTTAGGGTTTCATTCAGGGTTTCTTATCAGGATTTCTTTGCACGATTTCTAAAACGTTCAAGTGGGTTTCTTTAGGGCTTCTTTAGGGTTTCATTTAGTGTCTCATTAAGGGTTTCCTAAGGGTTTCATTTAGGGTTTCTTTAGGGTTTCTTTAAAGTTTCATTTAGGGTGTCATTTAGGGTTTCTTTAGGGTTTCATTTAGGGTTTCTTTTGGGTTTCATTTAGGGTGTCATTTAGGGTTTCATTTATTTCATTTAGGGTTTCTTTAGGGTTGCGTTTATGGTTTGGTTGGGATTAATTTAGGCTTTCTTTAGGGTTCATTTCGGGTTTCATGTAGGGTTTCTTATCAGGATTTCTTGAGGGTGTCTTTGGGTTTCACCTAGGGCCTAGGGTCTCTCTAGGGATTGATTTAGGATATATATTCAAACAAGAGAGAATAAAGCAAAAGAAAATGAAAAACAAAGAGACAGTAAAGACAGGAAGCAGGGAAGCAGAGGAGCAGGAAGTAGAGCATCAAAAACACATGACTGAAGAAAAGAACAAGTAGAATAGTAGAAGTAGAAAGGCACAGAAGCACCAAAAACAGAAAAGCCGAGAAGCAGACAAGCAAAGAAGCAGAAAGCAGGGAAAGCACAGAGCAGAAAATCAGAGAAGCAGGAAAAGCAGAGATGCAGGAAAAGCAAAAAGCAGAGAAGCAGAAAGGAACAGACGCAGAAAAAGCAGGAAAGGCAAAAAAAGCAGAGAAGCAACGGACGAAAGCAAAAAACCAAAAAAAACAACACCTGGCCCAGAAAAAAAAAACTAATAAATAAATAGCACTCCTTACTTCATATAAAGTCGTATCAGTTATTCTCAAGTCATATCAGTTCATAAAGGCTAAAAACAAGTCATATTACTTCATATCAAGTCATGCCACTTCATATCAAGTCATATTACTTCATATCAAGTCATATCAGTTTATATCAAGTAAAATTACTGCATATCAAGTCATATCAGTTCATATAAGCTGAAATCAAGTCATGCCACTTCATATCAAGTCATATTACTTCATATCAAATCATATCAGTTTATATCAAGTCATATAAGCTGAAATCAAGTCATGCCACATCATATCAAGTCATATCAGTTTATATCAAAACATATCAGT